CGACATGGCCACGGGGAGGACCAAGCTCCTGCCGTACCAGTAACGTGGGCGAGGGCCACAGACAAGACGTCGAAGGACAAGAAGCCCGGCTCCGTGAACGCGCGTGGCGTGACTTGATTCCGTGCCGTGCGAGAGTGGGCAAAGCAGATGGTCCCTGGTACAGGGGTCAGCGCGGTGGGCGGCACCCACAGGAGCATCGCTGGGTATTGATGGGACAATGAGTGGAGGCGCCTCTGGGGTGCCAGGTAGTGGTGATACACACGTACTTATTTTTTAATTATGTAGTTGTTTAGGGGGAACAGAGCTTTGCCACTCCAAAATATGCCCGTTTGGGAGTATTGGTTGTTTTCAGCTGGCTATTTTTAAGAAAATGAGAGACTCAAGAACTTTTTACTCCCCTCTTACCTGCCCGGAGGGATTCAGTTAGAAGAGCCTGCTCCTGGGAGGGGTGGGCAGGGAAGGGCCCGGCCGGTGGGCTTGTTAGTTTGCCTTCTGCGTCCTGTTGTTTCTGGGGGGCCCGCGGGGGTTCGTTCTCTAGATGGCGCTCTCTCATCTGCCTGTGGTTGCCTCCCTTCCCTGTGAAGGCCAAGTCACTACCCGCTCTTTCTCCTTAGCTCAAGACAGCGATTAAGTCCCGGCTGGTGCTCGGTTGGAGCATCATCCAGTGAACCAAAAGGTGGTACGTTCGATTCCTGGTCAAGGTGCGTGGCTGGGGTGAGGGTTCAGTCCTCGGTAGGGGCGTGTATGAGATCAGTGTCTCTCTTTCACATCGATGTTTCTCTCCCTCTCTCCCCCTTCCTTCCCCTCTCTCTCAAATCAATAAACACATCCTCGGGCGAGGACAGAAAAATGGCGTATGAGCCTCAGCTGCCCACTTGCCCTCGGGTCCCCTAGTCTTACAGAACCTCCGTGGGGACATATGTGATGCATTTGACTACTTTCTCCTGTTCATCCATCCCTTGCCAATTTCATTATTAGACCAGCCAGAAGAACTTGGAAGGGTAGAAGGAAAATTCTTCTTCCTCTAGAACATACACTTAAGGTTGGTGCCCTTGACCGCCCATTGCCACTGCACGCCATCAGACATTGGAATTCACTTTTAGAAGCATTCCTCCGGGGTCCGAGGAAGAGGCCTTTTTTTTTTTGCTTAGTTTCCGTTTCCGTTGTTGGTTCCTGTGTATATTCTCGTCTTCACAGCTCGTCATGTGCTTTTAACAAGGGACGGGAAGTGCCTCGTCTGTGACACTCACAGCTTTTTTGCTGTTGGGCTTTTTTCCCAATTTAGTAAGTATTCAGTAAAGGTAAAAGTTAAACAGGTAATTTTTTTTTTAAACAGGTAATTTTTGATCATCAAAAAAAGAACCCCTAGTTGGGCTGACGTACGGGCCCCTGGCCAGAGTGCCATCGGTCACTCTGAGCTATGTCTCATTCTGCTCCTCAGATGGCAGTTTGCAGACCTCTGCGGGGGGTGGGGGGTAACTGCGAAAGCCTAGAATCTGGGGTCATTTCTACGCCCTTGAACCCCCTTGGCAGTCTGTGAAGCCTGTAGACTTCTTAGAATCATGTTTTCAAATACACGAGACAAAAATACCTGGGATCACAAAGGAAATCGGGTGTATTGAAATGGTCATCAAAGAGGAGGGAAGGGGTCAGTCACGAAATGTGTGAGTGTCCCGTGGACGTGGACAGCGGTGTGGGGGTCGACCATGGGAGTGGGGGGGGCGGGCAGAGGAGGGCAGGGGGAAAGGAGGTGGGACAACCGTAATGGAATGACAACAATAATTTTTAACATCTTAAAAAAGGAAGTTACCAGAGTGACTTTTAAAACCCAATGTATGATACTGTAATATGCACACTTTTCAAATTAATGCATGAAATAATAACACTAGCAGCAGGTTTCATAACTCTTGTGATTTTGAACAGTGAAGAGTGTAAACAGTACTTCAAGATACCTGCCATTGTGATCCTGAGTTCTGAAAATATCTGTCACTTTTTATGATGTGGTCGCCAGAGCTTTATTCTATTGCAGGTTTTTGCATATGTTCATAATCGAATGAAATACTAAATCTTATTAGAAGTTGGGGAAAATAGATTTTTTTAAATAACTTTATTTTTTAGATTTTATTTATCTTTAGAAGGAAAGGGAAGGAGAGAGGGAGAGAAATATCAGTGTATGGTTGCTTCTCATGCATCCTCTGCTGGGAACTGGCCTGCAACCCAGGCATGAGCCCTGACTGGGAATCGAACAACGATCCTTTGGTTCACAGGCCTGTGCTCAATCCACTGAGCTATAACAGCGAGGGTTAAAGATTTTTTTTTTTTTGGCCCCATCCAAGTTCATGTCCTCCCTGGATTTTCCAGAGCCCCGGTATAGAGCAGTGATTCTCAGAGCTCAGTGTTCATCAGAACTGCCTAGGTGGTAGTTAGACGTGCGGGTCCTAGGGCCCTGCCCGCAGACAGCCCGAGGAGGTCTAGAGGGGACCCAGGGTGCATGTTTATGCAAATGCAGAAGCCCCGAGCCGCCCTGCTGCCTCAGACAAGCCTCTCTGTGCCGGGCCAGTGCTGGAGGCTCGAAAGGCTTGAGTGTGCTGGTGGCTTAAGGGTCCCTTCTCCAGGTTCTGCCAGGGCTTCCTCGGATCCAGGGCCCTGGGACCGTGGTCCCAACCACTGTGGGTCCTCTCTGCTATGTCTGGCCAGCTGGTGCCTGTGGCTTGGCGGCAGCTCCCAGGGCCATGCATCGCTGTGCGGTGGGAAGAACTGCCAGGAGGGCTGCCGTGGTTCATGGTCATAAATGAATGGCTGTTGGTAATGAATCATCCAGAAAGTCTACAAGGAACAAAATCCAATTGCCGCCCTTCCTGAGTCACACCAAAAGGTCAGAGCTAAGAGGCAGCATCTCGAACAGGTGATAGCCTTAGCATCACCATTAAGGAACAGGCGGATGTCTCGAGAAGCTGAGAAGGACCTTCATAGTGTCCGCCTGGGTGTACGAAGCCTGAGTCTAGTCATGGGGGCAAACCTCAAATGAGCAATACTTTATAAGAAAAAGGGGGAGGCCGGTGTGCTACATTCTTCACAAATGTCAGTGTAATAAGACACAGGAAGTCTGTGGGAATGTTCCAGATTCAGGGAATCTAAAGAGACATGGCACGAAACAAGCCTGTACTGAAGGGGGGAAGCTTTAAACGACACTGCTGAGTCAGCCGACAAAATGGGAGTGGGGACGGCAGATGAAAGCCTGCGTCAGGGTCGAATGTATACAAGTTGGTAAAGCTGTATTGCGGTTGTGCAAGAAGATATCCCTGTTCCTGGGAAATACACACTGGAGCCTTTAGGAATAAAGGGCTGTTATTCATGCACCATCGTCTTAAATGATCCAGGAAAACTGCAACGTGTGCATGTGTGCACCTGTGTGTATGGGCACGTGTGTGTACACGTGTGTGGGGGGGTGAGCACACGAAGCGGTGGGATAAGCTGCTACCGGGAGGCGGAGCTGGGGAAGGGCTCTCAGAGGCTCCCGCTGTCTTCCTGCCGTTGCAGCTTCTATGTGCGAGTACACCTATCAAGCACCAATGGCTGGGAATGCAAGGAAAGCCAGTAAAAGCACATTAATGCTAAGAAACTTTAACCCATATTTTCACTCCCTGATAGATAAAAAAGGGAGAACATTAAAAAGGACACAGAAGATGATGTAAGGGTTAAGATGAAAAAAGGAAATAAATAAAGCTATGAAACTGGGACTGATTTCCGTTTCAGCTCCACTACTTACTATCTCCGCAACCGGAGACGACAGACACAAACTCACTCAAGCCTCACTTTTCATCCAAAAGTCGGGGGTGACCTTGAATCTCTCTCGTCACCTGGGTGGAGATACAGTGAAGCTAATGCTGCGGCCTGGAGCTTGGCACGCAGAGCCCGCTCACTGTGTGTCCGTATTTCCAGAGCCGTGAGAAAGACAGAAAGCATCCCCGTTCACTTTATAGAGGAGTATAAGGCTGAGAGCACGACAGAGACCCATTCAGAAAAGAAACCTACGGTTCCGTCACACTGGCGACCGTGGCACGTGGGTCTGTGTTCCGTCCGGCAGTGTCAGAGGAAGCCCATGCCGGCGACCCCGTGGGCTGCCCTCCGGATGTCTGAGAAACATTCAGCACCAAGAGAGCTAGTGGAGAACTCAGTACATGACTGAGATTCCCCCCACTTTACATATTCTCTCGATAGTTGCCCCCAGAAACCTTTCAGTAAAATTTGACATTTATTCCTAAGAAAATCCTCTTTGTAACCTTGGACTTGAAGGAAACTTCTTCAACATGATAAAGAAACTGACCACAAACATCTAGGAAATCACTAGAGGCTCGTCCGAATCAGAAAGCTCTGTTCCAGACGCCTGTCTCCCACGCGTGGCGCCATGCAGGTGTCAGGGGAATTTTAAACTGTTTACGCACTGTGGTTCCATTGGGCAGTTACATGTGGCCACACACGTAGGACAGACAGAGGAGCCAGGCCAAACCGTGCGCAATGGTTACCTTTGGGTAGAGGATTCACACTGTCCATTATGGTGATCTGTATTTGCCACATTAATTGAGTTGCATTATGGTAAATTGTTAGAATTCTACAAAGAATATGAACTTGACTAAGAGGCTGCCGAGGTGTATTCCAGGTGACATGTGCCTTACAGGTGACAAACAGAGGGGCATGCCTCTAGGGGTCGCCAACTCCCAGATAGAATCGTGGAACCTTCTGCCCAAAAAGGAGAGAGGCTTGAATCTCAGGTTGGAAACAGCTGAACTCCCTGCTCCGCTTGGTCCCGTTTCCACGCCCCAGGATGCCTCTGTGATGCGGGCTTAGACCGGCTGTCTGTTCGAGTGGTGACATGTGACCCCGGCCCTGTTTGCCTATTTCCAACAATGACTTCTGGTTCTGTGGCCTCAGGTTCATTGTCAGCTTCTTCTTTACTTTCTGAATTAGGCTCTTAATCGCACAACTTTGTTCCGTCACAGAATGCAAGCGCTCTGCCAGGTACTTGGAGAAGAACAGATGTGCACTTGGAGAACCCAGAATACCACACCAGGTGGTACTTCAAGTATTTTTTAGGACAAGGTAATTACGCCATCGTGGTGGTTGGGGAGGAAGTTCCATTCGAAGTGAAAGGCGGTGTTGGTGCCATTTCTGGGGCCCTGGATGTGAGACTAATTGGTGTGGGCTCACGCACGGCAGGGCATTTCACCGCAAGGTCGGCGGTAAGATTTGTAGGTTTGAAGCTTCGGCCGAGTTTCAGCTCTAGGAGGTTTTTTCCTCGCTCTCCTTTTTTGGGGGAGGGGCAGTCATTTTTGTCTCTGGGGAGTTCAAGGGGATTTGATGATCCGAATAAGTGATTTGAGACATAAGAAGAATTTGCAGGGTGGAAAACAACTTTAGAGTTAGCAAGGCAAGTGCCTCATCCACAGTGGGGGGTTGAAGACTGAATCCAAGGCAGTGAGGGAAAAAAATAGTTCTGTGAGCTCTGGGGCCAACACAGAACTGGTGGAGGCAGCCAGGACCCCCACCCCTGCGGAGACCGCGGGAAGGATCTGAATCCTGGCTCCGAAGGTGTTAACCACAGGACCTCACGCTCCTTCCCCTCTGCTCCACTGAGACTGGGCTTCCTTGTCGGCAAAGCGGGGCTGTGACTAGCACACAGCTGGAGGGTTTGGGCAGATGTTTCAGTGAGATACACAGGGAAACACTAAGCCCGACGCCTGGTCCCTGGCAGGAACTCAGCCATGAACAGCGACGTAGGTTCAACGAAGGGTCCTCGTGAACGTGGACGGAAGGGCAGAAAACGGGGGGGGCGGGAGGGATTCGTGACAGAAGTGGAAGGATGATCACCACTGCAGGACTGGAAGCGAGGCAGACACCTTTCCTATCAGACTAACACATCCGTTTGTAGAAGGTGTGATGCTTGAGCTATAAAATGAGCGTGATCAGACCCAAATGGTGGCTTTTAAAGAAAAACCTGATACCATACTAAGCTAAGAAGTTCACTTATTTGGCAAGGGGTGTCTCGTTACAAAAAATGAAGTCAGTGGAAAGTTGTCAGCTTCCCAAATGTCTGGAAAACACAGTGACGCCTGGGGGGAAATGGGGCTATCAGATGCCTTCAGCTTCCTCACCCGGTTCAAACTATAAGGGTACAGTTAGAAACCCAGGCTCCCGGCTTGGTGGGTTCAGAGGCTCTGCGATGTCATCAAGGCCAGGCCTCCTCGGGGTTGCAGGATGGTTGCAGCAATTCCAGGCATCACTCCTACACACCACCAGCCAGAGCTCAGAGGAGGCCATCTTCAGCAGTGAGGAAGCCTTTCCAGAACCCCCTTGACACATTTCTGCTCCTGTCTCATTGGCTAGAATTCCTGAACCAGTCACCAGCCAGGGGAATGGGAGCGCGTGGCTGGTGGAGTGATCAGGCTCCATTTCACGCCGGGTCTGGGATTACTGGGCCCTGACGGAGTGCAAAGGGCCGGGTACCACCTGAGGGCTCCACACCACCAGGGACCAGGAGGACCATGTGCATTTTCACTGTTCTAAACCCGCTTCTTCTCCAGTCCATCAGAATTACATTGGAAACGACGCAGAGAAGAGCCCCTTCTTCTTGTCCGTGACCCTTTCGGACCAAAACAATCAGCGCGTCCCTCAGTACCGTGCAATTCTTTGGAGGAAAACCGTGAGTAACTAGCTCGCCCCTGGAGTTTCATCCCCACGTGACCTGGGTGCGGTGCCGCCTCTGTTTATATCAGCGTCCACGTAATGTGTCGGAAAGGTTCTTCTTTTTCCGAGCAGGTCTGAGGTAACCACCCGATGTAACGGAGAATTAGGTCTCACGCGTGAATTACGTCCTGCAGGAAACTTCCAGCACTAGCCCTCTCCCTGCCCCCGCAACCGGGCCGTCCTGCCATCCGCGTAGCTGTTCCTGAAGCAAAGTCTGTTTTAAAAGATGATGTTGGAGAACCGAGTGTCAGTTTCTCCAAAGTGCATCCATGATGGTCTCACCTCATTGTTCACGTAGGGAAAGCAGTCCATGCCTTCATCCAAAGCCACCACCTTCTGCACCAGGGGGGCTGCTTTCTGTGCCCCCCCCCCCCATTGCTAGTTGCAGTGTTCCGACCTCTTCTGGTTTAAACATCCTCTTTGGCCTACTCTGTCTCTTTTGGACAAATAATCCATCCTTTGGAGTTCTTTCCCCTCACTGCTCCTGTCGAAGTAGGTATTTGGGCGACTGGAAGAGGGCCTGTGGCAGAGCCCCTGGTGGTAGGAGCAGAGGACCTGGGTCCACACAGTGACCTCTGGGCTCCACTGGCTTCCACTGTGGGGAGGCTCTGGTCTCTGAACTAGCAACCACGGGCATGTGACTTGTTCCCTCCGCCTTTCTGGGAAACCCTTAGTCCCCGCCATTTGCCCCTTGTGAAGTCGCCAGATACTGCAAACTCTTTGGCCTGATCGCAGTTCTCTGGTGTACCGTCTTAGTCTCCTGGGCCTAATCTTGCTGACCATCCCTGCTTGAAGCTACCGGGTTACTGCCCCTCCCCGTGTTCAGACGGGTTCTGCCTGGCCTTCGGATCCCTGCAGAAGGCCGTGCTGGGGAGGGAGCCGCTCATCCAGACGTCCTTGTGTGTCCTCGGATCTTACTGTGATATGTGTGCAGCATCCTTTCCACCCCTTCCAGGCCTGCCCTCAGAATGGGGGAGCCGTGCACCCGCATCCAACCCTTAGCTTTCCTATCTCCCCTCTTCCTTCCTTCCCCCAAGGTGGGAAGGGGGAGGTTTCGCACTTCCTCTAAGTTTCAGGAACACATCTTCTCCATGTCACTTCTTCCCTCAGGAAGTAACAGTCACACCACCTCCTCACCCGGACGTTGCCAGGTGCTGGGGGAGAAAGAGTGGAGCAAATGCAGGGGAGGCATTTTTGCTTCTTTTTCAGTTTCCAGGGGCGTTGTCTCTATTACATCATGAACCATAGCAAGCGCTCTGAAGGAAACCGAGTCACAAAACGACATGGGAGACCTGCTGAAGAGGAGGCAGCGCAGGGGACGCCTTCTGAGGAGGCGACCTTTAGAGACCTGCAGGATGAGAGGGAACCTGCCCCTTAGAGAATGGGGCAGGGCTGGGGGACAGGAGGGACCACAGATACAAGACAAATGAGGTGTGCTCTGGGGGTCCCTGTGAGCTGGAATTGGAGAAGTCAGGCGGTGTCAGGGATGTAGACCCCTGGACCACCGTGAGGGTCACAGCCCAGGGCTGGGCACAGTGTTTGTCCCTGTCATTGACAGCTGCCAGTGCCTTCATCCAGAGCTCCCACCTGGGCCCGGTCGTGTGCCAGCGACAGGGAGCGCCGCAGGGCAGAGAGGCATGGCGAAATCAGAGCAGAGCGTTGGCATGGGGGTCGGCGTTTAAGCCCCTTTCGGCCCAGCCCTCGAGCTGGAGGCCGTGGAAAGCCAAAGAAGTAGATGACTCACCACCCCCACCTCCCTACCCCCTCACCCCCCGAGCTCACATTCTGTTACAGAAACAGAAAAATTGTCAGGGACGGGAACCCTGCTTGAAGCAGTCTTGGTGATCTCCGCCGCGTTTCCTCTAAACACAGAGACAAGGGTTTTTTCTTCGTAATGATTCAAACTTACAGAAACCCCATCACGACACTACAGCAGGTGAAAAAGAAGAGGACCAAAATTGACCCGCTCAGAGATGATCACTGCAGCTTCCTTCTAGCATCTGTTCATGCACACTCACGCGTGGGCTGCATGCATGGGCCGATGGTTGTGGTACACGCGTGTCCTCGCTGTGCTTTGTGTTGTCCGACATGGACATGGACTTGCCTTTGCCTCTGCATTTGTTGGTCTCACTGGAAAACATGGGATTGCAAGGCGTTCCTGCTGGCGCGACTCTGGAAGCTACGGAAGGGAGAAGGTGGGGGGAAGGACTTGGTCGGTGCTCCGCCAGCCAAGGACATCAGGTTCAGGGGAGTTTGTAGATTGCATTACAGAGATTTAAAATATTTAAATTTTTCTTCCAAATATAAAGGGATATTATGATAGAAATATGCATTTTCAAATTCCATGTAACCCACTCATTGAAATCTGAGTTGTTTCTGTGGCCTTGCTTTTTTTCCTTTAAGTGTATATTTATTGATTAAGCTATTCCAGTTGTCCCATTTTTTCTCCCCTCGATCCCCCTCCACCCTGTACCCTCCTTCGCTCCAGCATTTCCTGCCCTTAGTTTATGTCCACGGTTGTACATATAAGCTCTTTGCTTTCTCCATTCCCTGTACCATTCTTAACTTCCCCATCTATTTTGTCCTACCATTTATACCTTTTAATCCCTGTACCTTTTCCCCCCGTTCTCCGCCCTCCCCCTCTTCACTGATAAACCTCTATGTGGTCTCCATTTCTGTGATTCTGTTCCTGTTCTAATTATTTGCTTGTTTTTTTGTTGTTATTGTTGTTTTTAGGTTCAGTTGTTGATAGTTTTGAGTTTATTGTCATTTTGCCTTTCAAAGTTTTGGTCTTCTTTTTCTTACGTAAGTACCTTTAACATTTCTTATAATAAGGGCTTGGTGATGATGAACTCCTTTAACTTGACCTTACCTGGGAAGCACTTTTATCTGCCCTTTTGTTCTAAATGAACGCTTTGCTGGATAGAGTAATCTTGGATGTAGGTCCTTGCTTTTCATGACTTCAAATACTTCTTTCCCTCCCCTTCCTGCCTGCAAGGTTTCTTTTGAGAAATCAGCTGATAGGCTTGTGGGAACTCCTTTGTAGGTAACTGTCTCCTTTTCTCTTGCTGCTTTAAAAATTCTCTCCTTATCTTTAATCTTGGAAAATGTAATGATGATGTGCCTTGGTGTGTGCTTCCTTGGGACTCTCTGAGCTTCCTGGATTTGTATGTCTATTTCCTTCACCAGCTTTGGGAAGTTTTCCTTCATTATTTTTTCAAATAAGTTTTCAATTTCTTGCTCTTCCTCTTCTCCTTCTGGCACCCCTATGATTCGGATGTTGGAACATTTAAAGTTGTCCTGGAGGTTCCTAAACCTCTTCTCATTTTATGCCATTTGCTCAGCTCTCGCCCTGCTTTCAGTCACTTCCCCCACTACCCACAAGTGACTTGCACTCTTCTGATGCTGATTCCCAGGTGGGTGGGCTTGTGTATGTTCTAGGAGCCCGTGGGCCCCTCCAAAAGACTCTTTTATGAGGATGGGAGTTTCTGCCACCACTGCAACCCCCACAGATTTTTACAGCCAGAGGTTTTGAAGCTTTCTTTTCTGCCACTGGAACCCTGGGTTGTGTGGTCTGTCTTGCTCCCCAGTTGTCCCTCCCTGTTTCTGCACATGAATGTGGGACCACCCAGCCCACCAGCCCTCGCCTCACCACGCGCCTTTCTGCCTCAGCTGCCCATCTCTGGCCCTCTTACCAGTCTACATGAATGATTCTTTAACTCCTTGGTTGTTGGACTTCTGTACAGTTTGATTTTCTGGCTGCTCTGATTGTTTTTCATCTTTAAATTGGTTTGTCATCCTTCTTTTGGGTGTGTAAGGAAGCAAAATGTATCTACCCACGCCTCCATCTTGGCCAGAAGCCTATGGCCTTGCTTTTTTATAGGCCCCGGCCGACCCCATAGTGTGGCCGCCTGTGTCAGATGCCCTCCTGTCTAGAAGAGGGTCTTGAACCTGACCTCTTGCTCCACCCATACCTTGTGTACCTTTTCTTCCCAATATACACTGCAAACGTGGCTTCACAGAGAAGCCAGGGGCATATTGAGGGCGAGTATATGGAGCAGAGAGAGGAGATCGGCCCTGCCCAGGGGATGGTGGTGTCTTCAGGAACTGCCTCCAGGGAAGTGAAGCTCAGGGCTCGTGGGATTGGCCGTTTATATTTTTTCTTCTACTTAAGCTATCCGGATTCTTCGTTCATTCCCTTTCATGTGACCAATATTCACTGAGTACTTTCTATGAGCTAGTTACAGTGAGTACTCATTTAGAGAGGAGGAGACAGACTTTCGACAAGTAAATGCAGACACAGGTAGAGCGCACCTTACGCACACCTGTTCGGAAGAGTCAGGTGACTTCTGGTTCAACGTGTCTGACCTGGAGCTGTCACGTTTGGGTCCCGTTGAGCACATGGAGGCTGTTTTCTTCTTATGATCTTTGAGGCCCATCTGACTCTTGGCTCAGAGACCCAACCCCCTTCTCATCTGGTCCAGATGTCCCGTCTGCTCGCCGCAGCACCTGCGGCCCTGGGGAGCTGTCTGTGCCGACGTTGAACAGCACCGCCATGCGGAGGTCCGTCACCGTTGGGGGAGGGGGGCAGCGGAAGATGCTGTCAAGCTTGAGCAAGATTTTCCCAACATAGAATGTGTTTGTTCACGTGCACGCCCCCTGAAGAAAACCAAGAAAGGCTGGACGTGGGTTTCTTTGAAATGATGAGGGAAGGCCCTCTCAGAGACGGACATGGCCAGTCTGTGCACTGATGTGGTGTTTTGACTTCCCAGGGTACCCAGAAAATATGCCTTCCCTACAGTCCCACCAAGACTCTCTCCGTGAAGTCCATTTTAAGGTGAGTACGAATGAGCAGAAAGCCCGTCCCGGAGCCTCTGTCAGTGTTTTTTGCCGTGATCATTCTGTTAGCTTTCCACCCTCTCAAGCCTCGGCCGCGTGCCAGGTGGTTTGCTAAGCACTCGACAGGCATTAGCTCATGTCACCTTCACAGCCACCCTATGAAGCAAGTATCGTCATTGTCCCCATCTCATAGACGAGGAAATGGAGGCTCAGGGAGCCAGCCAGGGTCACACCTCAAGGGCGCAGTGAGCTGGGGCCCCACCCAGGTCTGGCTGATGTTGAGTGTTGCCCTTCCCCATCTCAGGAAGGCCTTAGTCGTCTGCTTCCTTTTTCTTTGAACACATGCAGGTGCTTTGGTTTCATAAAAAAATCGGGAAATATTGTTTCCTTTCATTTTCTGCTTTGAAATAGAAATTATATCAGCAAATGCTTCTCAGGGAAGAATGTGCTTATTCTTCACCCAACAGAGAGTCAAGGGAGCCGAGCTCGTAGCTGTCCCAGGCCCGGCTGCCTCTCACGCGCCCACCCTTCCCCTTCCAGCCGGGTCCCTCCCGTGTGGGGTGGCAGCCTCCCCTGTGAATGCCACCTCTCAGAGCGGGCCTGTCGCTTTGTCACCAGCTACTATACCCCAGCACAGGAGCAGCAGCTTCTGTTTGTCAGGCTCTGCGCTAAGTGCTTTGCAGGCATTCTCTCAGCGAATCTTTGAACCAGCTCCGCAGAGCTGGCCCGTTGTTATCCCCACTCCACCCAGGAGGAGGTGGAGGCATTGGGCAGAGGCCCCGGTCTCTGCGAACCAGGGAGCTGGGGTTGAAACCCGGACTCGGGGCTCCAGGGCGTGGCTGTGGACCTGCCGTCCTATCACGGGAAGTGCAAGCTTATCCCAGGGGCCAACTCACTCTCCCTTCAGCGGTGGACCAGGTGGTGGGAGGGGATGGTGTTTGCCATGTTCCCAGCTGCAACTCCCAGATGCCGGAGGGTCCCTTAGTGACGCACTTGACCCTGGCATCTAGGATTGCATCTGGCTGGTGAAAGGGCACTGAGTTAAGAAGCAAAAAGTTTCCTATCTCGTTGTGAAGCCTGATTTGGTCTCCAGACTACAGCCCGCCTCCTCTCTGCCCTGGGCCTCTGGGGTTCCCTTCTCAGCCTGAAGCCCAGGCTCGGAAAGCGCTGTGCAGAGAGGTTAGCCTGCTTGCTGAGCACGGAAGAATCTTGCTGTTTCTAAATGGCAGCTTGCTTTCAAAGGGACACTTTGAATTATAGTGGCTTAAGATTGTTGCGAATCTTTTTCTTTCCCTAAAAAGAAGTCCCCCCAGCTCCTTTCTTCTTTATGTTCAAAGACAAGGGATTTCATGCAGCTACGATCTCAGTTAGTTATCTGAGTAGGGCCCTCGCCTCTCAGCCCACCTCTCACAGCCAGGGCCACCTTCGCCAAGAACGTAGCTTTAAAATGTGAAAAATTAAAACTGCTACAGTTTCTGCCAGTTGAAGAAGAGAGTTTTTCTTCATTTGTCACAATCATCAACTTGGAAACTTAAGGGGAAATTAAAATATAGATACTATGGCGTTGGATAAGCTAAGCCCGAGTTCAAATCTTGACCCTACTACCTAACAGCTTTGTTATCCTGGGCTGAGCCTCAATCTCCTGATCTTTAGAATGGAGATAAAATAGTACTCGCCTCACACAGACTAAATGAGGGTGCCTGGAATGAGTAAGTCCTCTCTCAGATGCGCTGTTATTTTTATCGTTCACTTACAAACATAGGTGCCCCAGAGACCATCCAGTTCCATTTCCCTGGGCTTCCTCTCAGGGACTTAGGCTAAAGGAAAGTCCCATTGCTTGTCCTAAGTAGAACAAAGAACGACCTTGTTAAGGACGGACAGACAGTCTTTTGCCCTAAGTGGCAGAGGAGTGACCAGCAGAAGAAAGGTACATATCATCAGGTCACCTTAATTACACTTCATTTTGTCATTAACTGCTCCATACATGTCGATGAATCACTGTTGTAGGAAATAAGAGTAAGACTCGAGGAGGCCAGTGGAGGCTGCCGGGGGCAGGCACGCACGGAAAGCACAGTGCGGTGTTTGGGGGCCGCCCTGTGCTCATGGAGCCCCACGTGGACTCCTCCTTCATCGGTCGTTTCTTCCGTGGGCCAGGCCCCTCCATGATTTCCCAGGAGACAGCGATGGCTTCTGTCAAGACCCGAGCCTGGTCCCGGAGTTTCCACCGCCCCGCGCCTCACTCTGTCCGTTCTATTGCAGTGCCATGGATCTGGACAAATTCGAGAAGGGCCCCAGGGAAATTTTTCATCCTGAGATACAGAAGGTAACAGAACTTTATGCTTCGTAACCACGTCCATTGGGTCAGTGTTAGATAAGAACTGACGTTATCATCCATGACCCTTAGCGACGGGTACAGACCAGCGTCACCTGCGTGCGGGGCTTCGAAAACAGCATCATGCTGGAACTCACACCCGAGGTTCTGGGGTGCTTGGTCCGAGGTACAGGCCAGGAGTCTGTATTTTTCAAATGTTCCATGAGTGAGGCTGAGGGTCCTCCCTCCATGAGCCAAAAGGTGTGTGTTCAGAGGGATCTTATCAGCCTAATTATGTGGAATGTGAGGGCTTTTTTGTAATTAGTAAAATACACATGTGCCTACTGAGCTCGTAACTCAGGTAGAAGGCTGTGCTGGGTGTCACAGAGGACAGAGAGTGGCCAGGAAGCTGTCCTGTTCTTGGGACGTGACTGTTAGAACAACGTGTGTTGGGAGAAAAACACCTGAGTCATTAATGTGGGTGATGGCCCCTCAAAAAGGTGTCGACCACACTTTTGTCTTGCAGTTGCAACCAGTTCAGCTCTGGAACTCCGCCCGTGAAACATAGAAACACGGCCGTTCCTAGTAGCATGCCAGCTGTGTGACAGGGACGTCAGGACGGGTGACGGGGGGAGGGGCTGGAGAGGCAGGCTGGGGTTCCATCTGTGAGGCCGGGGGAGTCTCGGCAGAGGAGTGCGCACGCGCAGCTGCCATCCCGGGGATAACTCAGGCAGCGGACGGTGAGCCGTCTTTGCTGGGAAACCTTCAAAGTAGTTAGATTGTGAAACACAGCTATTGGCTCTCAACTTAGCTCACCCCAAACTTATAGCATTGTGAATTCCCATAGCTTTTGTCTTGATTTAGTGGCTAAAATATTATTTGTACCCTGACTCAACCCCAAAAGGAACTGAAGCAAAAGCAGGTGTGTGAGGTTCAACTTTAAGCAGCTGCCAGCTCTGCCAGCGGATAAGCACTTTTCATAGCGCACTTAAAAACGAATCGGAACTAGACATACGCCAGCTCCGTGTGCCTTCTTTCCTTCGTGTGTGTGGGTTATCATGCCTGGCCCTTTTCTCCTTGGGGACGGGTGTGACCCCAGAGCCTGCTCCGATGCCCCTCTGTGCAGCTCGCTGCGGAGGTCGCTCATCTCCGTGCGGTCCCCTCCCTGCTGTCTCTCCACAAAGTAACAGGACAAGTAAACAAGACTTTCATGCTGGCCTTACCTGCGTGTTTTGACTTTCTTTTCCTTAACAAGTAACTATTCCTGAGCTTTCCCCATCCTCTGTGTGTGTGTGTTGTGTGTGTGTGTGTGTGCATACGTGAGTGTGTACACGTGAGTGTGCAATGCAGCAGCAGTGGTTTCACGCCTGTTGTCAGGTCTCTGTGGACTTCTCTTAGGAAGCCTCGGGCCACAGGCTTTGGGTTTAGGTGGAAGAGTCCTTACAAATCCCTGGCTCCAAAGAGTAAACAGAAAATAAGCCGTCTGCATTGAAAAGAAGGCATCTTTCCGCCAAGCAGGGAGGTGGCAGGTGCTGTTTTAAGATGTTATTCATCTATTTCTGGCTGCTGTAGTCCGTGAGCGTCTTTCCGGCCAGAATCCTCTCAGCGGCAGCGTGTGATGAGCCGGCTCTGAATGGCCAGAGAAGCCCTGTGTCTGTGTCTGGTCCCGCTGCTGAGCACCCTCTTTGTCTCCAGGTCATCGTAGTCTAATAGGACGTTCTGAAACGACCAGGCATTTTACAAAACGCTGTAGAGCTATACTTGAATTTTAAAAGCACTTCTGAGAGGGTGGGGGGAGCGGTGCAAGTGCCGGTAGATTACAGCGTGGCTTTCGTGGGAAGTCAGAATAAAATGATCCCTGTCAAACATGGCCGTGACTTTTCACACTTTGTTTGACAGGACCTGCTGGTTCTGGAAGAACAAGAGGTAAGTAACGTGATGCGCTCTCTGTCCCCCTGCGCCCTGCCTTCGTTTTTATGAACAAGCTCCCGCCCTTCCTCTCAGCCAGACCGCTCCACCCCCGCCCCACGCAGACCCACCCTGTGAGGTCTGTTTACGGACGTGGTTTGTCAACGTGGTTTATCAAGGTGCGATTCAGAATTTCTATGCAGCTGGCTGCCTAGATATAAAAACAATCAAGCTACTTAAATCTGCTTGGAAATAGTCCTATTTTAACCTTGCAATCACTGTGGGTAATAGGTTTCAATTTTCATTAAAAATAGGGTGTTTGTACTTCCTACACACTCGGTTTATAGAAGGCCACATTTATCTGTGCATTTCCAGTCCCCGTTGCCCCACTTAAAAAATGTACTGGGTTTTCTAAGTACATAGAAAACAGGGAGATAGCAAACAGGGAAGTATCTGCAGTACTGTGCGTGGGCGTTTAGAGTGCATTAATTATAGTTTGTGCATACCAGCCGTACCCCTCAGTAAAGGAAGGTATCACTCGCCCGGTTCTCAGGCCAACCTCGGACAACCCAACAGCCCTCTCCCCACGCCCTGTGTCTAATCCGTCAGTACGGATTACTGACACTGCTTCAGAACACACCCCTAAGGCAAGCTTTTCTCAGCGCTCCCCTACGGCCACGCCACGCGAGTTCGCGCCCCTGGACACCACCGCCGTCCTCTCCGGCCCGGACTCTGCAGTGTTCCCCTGTTCCCGCTCTCACCTCTGTTCTAGTCTTCATACTGTGTCCCAGTGGTCCTTTTAAAATATGTCAAATCTAACCATCCCTGTGCTCAAACTCCAGTGGTTTCCCGTCCCACTCAAAGGCAAGCCCAGCAGCCTCATCGTGGCCTGTCCCAGCCCGTGTGGCCGGGCCGCACCCTTAGTGGGTTAGGCTCCCTGGTCAGAGAGGCCTCCCTGATCACCCTAACACTTTCTTCCGGGAGGTCAGGGGAGGCCTCTCTGGAAATGGACGTTTGAGCTGAGCCCCGCATGATGGGAAAGCACCACCAGACAAGGAGCTCCAGGTGCAGGCCCTCCCTCGTCCCTGCCCTACATGGAAAATCACTAGATAGGAACTACTATGGCCCTGGCCAGTGTGGCTCCGTGGATTGGGCATTGCACTGTAGACCAAAAGGCTGCCAGTTCGATTCCCAGTCAGGGCACATGGCTGGGCTGCCGATTCAGTTCCTGGTCGGGGCATGTAGAAGAGGCAACCAATCAATGTTTCTCTCCCTCTTTTTCTGCCTCCCTTCCCCTCTCTCTAAAATCCATAAGCATGTCCTCAAGTGAGGATTAAAGAAAAACTATGCCTCTGTCCCTCAGGTGTGCTGGGAACAGAAAAATGTCTGAGACCCTTGCTGCTCAGAGCCGTGGGGCTGCGGGGCCCAGTGGTCCCGCAACCTGGCGTCCTGCCTTCACCTCCTGCCCCTGACCCCTGGCCAGTGCTTTAAACACCTCTGTTCTCGTCTGCCCCTTAGATGACCATCGAGAATTCCCCCAGCCAGGGGTGGGTCTAACAGCCTTGTCAATGTTGGTCTACTTCCAAACTTACATTTTACTTTCTTATGAAATAGTTCAAGAAAGTTTTTAAAAGTACTAAGAATAATATAATGAAGACCTGTAAACACATGACTTGGCTTAAGAAAAAGCTATTAAGAATACACAGAGCTCTCCGATCCCATTCCACCATCTTCTGTAGAAGTTCTTCCCTTACATTGGGCATTCATCCTTCCTGCAGGAGCCAATTTTAATCCAGTGGAGAAAGTGGGGCGTCGTGAATACTTGTACCAGCTACTTCTTGACCGCCTCCCCGCCCCGCATCTGTTCGGTCACTTCTTGAGGTTAAGTGTCTTTAGGAATTGGAGGAAGCGAGCTTTTCAAATAAATCACCTGCAGTTCCCATTTCTATTTCTAAAAGAGTCCACAGGTTTCAGCCCAAGATTGCTGTGTGGAGTTTTGGGGTCTGGGCCGCTGCTGGTGGGGGGATGATCAGATATGGTGTCAGTCCCGTGGGTCCTGTGTGCTGTTCATCTTGAGCTCTGTTGGCCTCAGAATGGACCTGGCACCCTGCAGATGCCATTGGCAATGACACGCCAAACGAATTAGCTCACATGAAAGCATAGTGTTTCTTCTGTAAGCTGTAAAAACGTGCAAAAATAGAAGAATGATTGTCCTTCATATGGGTCAGAATTGCCATTTCCCTAGATAATGACCAGCACGTCTCTTAACTGTGTGTGCTTTGATGACTGAATTAAAGTCACCCCCTTTTCTTGTCCTATTGTAAGGGCTCTGTGAATTTCAAGTTCGGAGTTCTTTATGCCAAAGACGGGCAGCTCACCGATGATGAGATGTTCAGCAATGGTGAGTGTCTCCCCCCCGCTTTCTGCTGATGGACACCCTCTTCTGCCTCGTCGCAGTTTCCATGGTCCAAGCTGAACTTGCCAGTTCAGTTGTAGTCTTTAATACAAAGGAACAGCCAGTAGTTTTATGAGGTTGTGGGGTAGATTTTGTAGGGCAGGTGTTGTCCAGTGTCATTCATTTCCTAAATGTCCATCACGAAACATGTACCAGGCCCTCACCCCGGAAAGGCGGTCTCACTGGAAAATTACACGGGATTCGAAGAAGCCGGTTCTACACGGTCTCAGGAGCAGAGAAGGGATTTTTCTCCCTGATTTTCAGGATTGGGATAATTACAAAATGGTGTCTTTGTCCTGTTATTTGCATTTTTCATGTTCAATACCTGTGTATTACTTGGGAAACAGTAACAACGTTTTCATCTTGAAATACAAAACACCTGTGACCCCCGCCCAGCAGTGGGGGAGGTTGGGTGGTCTGACCGTGTGGTTTCCTGTCGGTGGGTTCCCGGGGATCATGGGCCCTTCTGTGGGGGATCGTAGAAGGAAGCGCGACTTCCCCATTCTCTTCCCACCGACACATCTGCAGAGCCTCCCAGGCAACTTCAGTTAGAAAATGAGGACTTGTTGATACCATGCCGTCTTCACACTTTTACCTCTTCCTGCAGAAATTGGAAGTGATGCTTTTCAAAAGTTTTTAAACCTCCTGGGTGACACCGTCACTCTAAAGGGCTGGACAGGCTACCGCGGCGGTCTGGACACCAAAAGTAAGCTTGCCTCTGGATGTGTTCTGTTGTGATATGTGTAACTTTTGTCTTCAGACTCATCTGTGTTTGCACTTATGCCCACACTGGGAGGAGGAGGACAAGAGGGGGTGAGAGCTTCACACCTAGGCTGGCATGGGGGTCACTGCTCATGTTTGGTGGCTCCACTGAGCTCTGCTCGACTAAGTAGCCCTCACACCCCGAGGTGTAGCAGAGTCACTGTCTGCCCATCAGTTCTTACCCTTGACCTTGCTCCAGGACCGTGCGAGGCTGGTGGGGGGTGGGGGGTGGGGGGAACAGAGCAGTGGGTGAACCAACAGGGTCCCTGCTTTCTAGGAGCTTGTAGTCCAGCAGACAGCACAGACACTGAGCAGATAAGTATCAGATGGTTTAGTCCTACAACTTGGAGGAACTAAGAAGGAGGAGTCCAGAGTGCCACCGGGGCATTCGACCAACCATTAGACAGAGGAGGCCTCCCTCCAGGGAGTGACGAGTGGGGATGACTTGAAAGTCTAGAGGGGAAAAAAGAACTCTATGCGGCGAAGGTTTATGAAGTTCCTGAGGCAGAAAAGAGCAGGATGTGTTCTAGAAACTAGGAGGATATCTTTACAGCTGGAGAGAGAGAGAGGAGCGGCTGGGAAAAAGGGGAGGATGATCTCACGGGGATTTGAGGTCACATTAACAATTCTGGATTGTATTCTAAATGGATCTGCATCGTGAAAGGATTTTAAATTGGGTGTGGTGGGTCAGAATGAGCCTTTGAGCAGAACACTCCAGCTGCTGTCTGAAGAGTGGGGGGTTGGGCAGGGCAGCAGGAAGAGCTCATGTTGTGGGCAGGGGTGGGGTGGACAATTCAAGAGCAGGTTTAAAGGTCGAGAACCGATGTGATCTACCCATGGCTGATCGAACATGGGGACAAAGAGGAGAAATCAGAGGACACCGGGCTTTCTGCCCTGGGCAGTGGGGTGGGTCGGGGCTCCAGCAGCGATACTGGGAATATCTGAGGGGAAGCCTTGTGGGGTGTGGGGGGGTAAGGGGGGGGTGAAGGTAAATAAGATCCACGTTTAGATTTGGAATCACCTAGGCTATCTTCCAGTTGGATAGCTTTTCTAGTTTTATCCGCTCTTGTCAGTCAGTCCTTGAAGTAATCCAGGCAGGTGACGCAGAGCTCATTTGGCCTGGATTTGACAGGCCTCAAATCCAGGTCCCCTTACCCCCGGGAGCCTCAGCTCCCCACAGCCCACACTGGTGTCATTTCAGAATAGGAAAGGTCAGGCAGGGTGCGAGGCCTGCGCTGCACTGTGAGCAATTCAGCCGACAGCTGCGGGGGTGAAGTCTTCGGCCCCAGGGGTCAGGTCTGCCTTTGCCCCACAAGCCTTGCGGGCCGCGGGGAGTCCGGGAACGCCTGCCACTCATCTCCCCGGTGCCAGCCCTCAGCCCCTTCCGGTCATGGCCGCCGTCCAGCCAGCCCTTGCTGTGGCCAGGCACTCTACTAGCTAAGCACTTCACAGGCAGGATCTGGTCGACATCCCCAGGAGCTGTGTACTATTTTTATCTCCATTTTCAAAGGAGGAAATGGGGGTTCAGAGAAAAAGCAAGGTGACTTGTGGAAAGGAATGCAGCTCACGAGAACCTGAGTCCAGGTCTGGCCGATTCCAGGGCCCGTGCTTCCCCTCGCTGGGCAGCTCTGCCAGCACCACAGCCCTGTTGTTCGTGGGCGTGGTCACTGTGCGCCCGTCAGCCTGTGTTAATGTTGCCCTGGGCACCGGCAGTAAGTGGAAGGCAAGGACACGCAGCACGCTGGCCTTTTTAGTCCAGACTTCTCAAGGCGTCCACCCTCCGAGGAGCGGGGCGGGCCTCCAACAGCGCACGAGCTGTGACTGAGCACAGGCCCTCCACGTGGGCAGGGCCCAGGCCGTCGCTTCCCCGCAGGGCGACGGCGATCTCTGGCGCTGTACCGATTGTGCACGGTGTCCCCGTCATCTGCACAGAGACCCCCTCCTTCTGGTCCCAGAAGGCTCTGCGCCCACTCAGCGCGTGCTTGTGTTTCGCAGACGATACCACAGGGATCCATTCGGTTTATACTGTATACCAAGGGCACGAGATCATGTTTCACGTCTCCACCATGTTGCCGTATTCCAAAGAGAACAAACAGCAGGTACGTGCCAACACAGGCAGCCTGGGGACGCGGGCCTCCAACCCATGGCCCGAGCGTAGGTGTTGCCTCTCTGGGCCTCTCCTCCTGACGCCTGTGGTGTCCTGCCCACTGACTCCCTCTGGTCTCCCAGCCACAGCCCTGGTAGCAGATGAAAGCATAGGTTCTGTGATCAGCCGGCTCTGGACCAAACCCCAGCTCTGCTGGGGACTGGCTCTGGGTCTTGGGCGCATTTCATGCATTGCGGTGCCCAGGGCTCAGTTCTTGACCCTCTTCTCCTCCTGTGCCCGTTCACTCCTTGGCTCTAAACAGCTCTTCTAGCCCAGTCTCATGGCTGTAAATAGCTCTGCTATGCAGCGACACCCAAAATTACACCTCCAGCCAGACCCTTCTTCGGAACCCAGGCCCGGTGAGCCAGATCCGCGTTCTAATAAAGCCTTCTCAGGACACAGCCATGCCCACTCACTCACCTGTGGCCCTGGCGTCTCCTGAACCACAGCAGCAGAGCTGCAGCAGCTGGTTGCAAGAGATGATGCGTTCTACAAAACTGAAAATGTTTCCTATCTGGCCCTTTATGGAAAAACTTGCTGACCCCGCACCTAGGAGGTCATTTTGGAAAGGTCAGCTGGGGTCAGATAGATAGGGCACCAGGTCTATGCTGCAGACTAAGGCATTTCTAAAAATACACTCTGGGGAATTCTGATGTAAGGCCTCTTGTTTGGGGGCCTGGAGTGCGAGGCTGAGGAGGTGGCGAATGAAGATGAGCACGGTCAGAAAAGTGCACTGGGAGGGAGGAGGGAAGGGCGACTGGCTAGGGGGCTTGTGCAGAAGACAGGCGGGGGAGGGGTGGCGGCAGAGCCAGAGACGGCTGGTAAGATGCGGGAGGCAAGAGGTCAAAGACGCCTGGCGTCTGGGCTCTGGTCTTCGTGCTCGCTCGTCTGTGTTAGTTTTGGGACTCTGTGCTGTGTTCCAGCGACCTTCTCAGTGACCTGCCTTATCTGTGCTCACCTCCAGGTGGAAAGGAAGCGCCACATCGGGAATGACATCGTCACCATTGTGTTCCAGGAAGGGGAGGAGCCCTCTCCTGCCTTCAAGCCTTCCATGATCCGCTCCCATTTCACTCGTATCCTGCGCCTTGGTGCCGCGCCTCGAGCTGCGGGCAGCCCCTCCCGCCAGTGCTGTAACGGACTCGTGTGTTGTCATTGTTTGGCCAGATCTCAAACGCACCTTTTGGGGCTTTCTCATCGGCACTGTTGCCTCTTCTCTCTCCATCCAGTGGGGTCGTAGATGGATTGATTCCCAGACGATGCGGACTCCTGCGATCTGTTCCTTTTCCCCAGGTAGTCTGTGAAGTCAGGGAGGCTTCCTGCCATCCGTCAGTGAGGAGGAATTCGTTAGAAGAATTCTAGTTGAATCCTCTGAGAAACTTGCAAGGGAAGAAAGATAAAACACCAAAATAGTGTTTCTTCATTGATTCTAAGCCCCAGTAACAGCCGCAGCATCGTCAGCTCTCACACTCTGAGAACTGACAGAGTTGGTCATGTTTTCACTGCTTCCGCTCTGCATCCTCTCATTTCTGTTGAGCTCACACGGCAGCAACGTCCTGCTGAAGTTCCATGTGACGTCCAAGTTCAGCCAGCGAGGCAGGCGAGGGGCATGAGCTGGCCCACCCGCCCCACACCCAGTGTGGCCCTGTCACTCTGGGCCACGGACCCCTCAGGGGTCACCCACAGGGAGGGAGACCCAAGGTGGTGCCTCTGCAGGTTGTACCTAGTTAGTAAAAGGTACCTGATGGGTATTTTCAGGAGACTCCAATAAGAGGGCTGGGAGACAGGACCCTTAAGACTCATTGCATCCCAAAGTAGGTTGCTCTGCAGACGTGGGCTTATTCGTTGTCACCTAACAATGTAGCGTGGGAGTTTTTTAAATTTGAAATTGCCAAACTCCTTCCTCGCCCTCGAGGGCAAGGAAGGAGATGGAGGGCACCCACACTCACGGCGAACCGTTTCCGCTCCCAGCCCTGCTTCGCTGGGACAGTCGCTCTGTTGGCTGGGACGTGGGACCACGTTTCCCCGCCTGCAGAGGTCCCGTGGGCAGAGAGCCTCTCCGCGGCCACTGCAGGACAGGAGGGAGGCAGCCCTTTAAGTGACCGGGGGTGCTCATTCCTTTTAGAGTGTCCCTCAGTGGCCCACTGTAGCTCTGGGGCTCGGCGCACGTGTGTCTGGAGAGGACTCTCCAGAACCTTCAGGGAGTCAGTCTGTGCAGACTCCTTCCACTGCGTCTAGTTGTGGAGACACTTTGAGGAGCTTACTATGGCTTTTCAGCCTAGTAAGCAAAGCTGGGCTGGGCGGTGGCGGGGAGGAGGAGCCGGAGGAAAAAGGGAAGCTGGTGGGAGGGTTGGTACTGTTTTAGCTCCGCGGGTCCGGCACAAGCCAGGTGGAGGCTCCCCGGGGGCTGCCGCCAGCCACTTGGGTTTGTTTGGGTTTGTTTAGTCTACCAAAGCCAGAGAGAGGGGAGGTGTGTGCACAGAGGGAACGTCTGAACTGCTTCCCTCTTCAGAATGTGTAAGATGAAGTCCATGACTAATTTCCTGTTGGGATTCTCTACATTTCCAAGCGACAGAATTGCTCTTTTCGCTTCGTTGGCTTCTTTGTTGCTTAGTAGCTTTATTTATATTGCTTTGCCGACAGATTTGGAGAGTTAGCTCTTCCCCCAAAGGATGAACATGCAGAGGGTGAACCTCAGTCCTCCTGGGCTGTCTCTTTCAAAGAAGTCACCCTGAGGGTGACAGGTGCCTGGCCACAAAGGGCAGGTCCAGGATGAGACTGCAAGGGGGGTGCAGGGGAGGCGGGTGTTCAGAGTGCAAGCCGTCGGCTGTGAGCACCCGGTTATTGATTGATCTCCTTAACCATCACCGCAGATATTTTTGCCTTAGTGAGGTACGATCCACAAAATGACAATTACCGGTAGGTACTGCCATGGTCATCGATTGCCGGTTCTAATTCTCATGTTTACTTGTTAATTTAGCCATCATTTTATGAGACTCTGGACAGAGGTATTTCTCGATTGATGTGACGTGTCCTAACCTTGGAGAACTTTCTTCAAGGCCGTCATCTCTTCCGGGAAACCTCGTTCCGTGTAACGGTACCACGTGTGGCCGACCCAGGGTCGGGGCTGGTTTGGGATTGTATCGCCCTCCGCAGTGGGCACTGGTCTGACATCTTTTGTCTGGAGCAGAGTATCTCCTTTCCTAGATCACATCCTGTCTGTCTGTCTGTCTGTCTGTTCTCAGAAACCAGCCTGTGAAGGGTGTCATGAGGTTGTGCAGAGTGTGAACTTTGAGCCAAATAGAGCCCAACAGAATCCCAACTCCCCGACTGTCACTTACTAACTTTGAGGCTTTGGGAACAGTGTTGCCCTCCCGTCCCAGGCAATGACAGAACGAAGGTGATGACACTAGCTTAGCACATTGGCGAGAATCCACCAAGGATGCTGCCTGGGACGCGTGGGTGCCCAGTGGTGGCCTTTGCTATTACTCCTGGGGTACCTGGCCCTGCCCAGGGCAGTGGGTTGGGCCACAAAGACGCAGGAAGACCTGGCCTTGCCCTGAAGCACCCGGGGGAGCTGCGCGGTGCCCAGGGCTCCGGCACCCACAGGACGGCACGTCCTGCGGAGCGAATATTCCCCACACGTCACAGGGGCAACCAGACAGATTTTGAGGCCGGCATGTCGGTGATGTCCGAAGCAGACAAATAACCCTGAAATGCTCTCTACGTCGTAGGCTGAAAATATTTTCGGAAGAAAGCGTGCCGCTCTTTGGCCCACCCTTGCCATCCCCACCGGTGTTTACAGACCGCCAGGAATTCAGGGACTTTTTGCTAGTGAAACGTAAGTTTGGTTTTGAAATGTTTTTGCTCCTTGTTCTACACCAGAATATCCTTCTTCCAATTCCCCCGGATTGCTGCGTAAGAAAGCATCACTGTTCAGGCATCGGTTCCGCTCTGTGTTGTTAATTCTTCACCCAAAGCGTGTTCAGTGGTCTGGCGCTGTTGCACGGGTTTTCCCAAGTCCTCGTCTGTACCTACGCCCTCCTTGCCTTTGGGAAAGGGGCTTGAAACCTGGGGCTCGGGAGGCCGGCCGTTGTCGCTCAGCAGCACTCAGGACCCAGGTTATCGGTGGGCAGGGTGACCCCCTCCGAAGCGTGGGGTGGCGGGGCATGAGGGGTGCAGTCAGAGATTCGCAGCGGGAGGAGACAGGCTGCCTGTCGTGGAAAGGGCGTGCTCAGGTTCCCGGAGGAGGGAGCCAGGCGGGCCGGAGGGGCTGGGACTGGGAGCGCGGGCAGAAGCCCAGGCTCCGACGTCTCCGAGCTGCAGCGTGGCTTTGGGTGAGGGTTGCAGAGGGGGGTCAGGTGGGGAACTCCGAGAGGACAGGGAGAGGCACAAAACATCTCGATGAAACACTTGCACTCTCCCCCTATTCAGCCAAAACTGAGTCATTTAAAATGGATATTTCTGGGGCACTAAGGAGAAAATACCCTCAAACAAAAACATCCCCGTCACAGAGTGAAAGGAAAGAGTAGACAGGCGGAGTTTAAATTCCTGAGGTGCCCGCCGGCAAGCCGCCCCAGTTCGTCTCCGGTGCAGGTCTTCCCAGGAGACGCCTGTCCCCAGGGAGCCACCGCCCGTCTGTGAGCACTGCCCTTCCTCCGGGACGTCTGTAGGCGAACAGGGGTCCTGGGTGAGGGCAGACTGATTCCGCCCACTGTGCTCACTCCTCACGTTTGATATCGTTTAACAAGCAACAACGTCCCTGACAAGGAAATGCTGTTCCCGGCACCTGTACAAGGCTTACACCCGTTTTACAAGGTAGAGAAGTGAAGCCCCGAGGAGCTAAATAGTTTGCTTAAGAATGTGCAGGTAGATCGGCCTGACCTCAGGTTCCTGGCCTCTGTCACACGCTTGCCCCTCTGTGCTCCCATGTGTAACCGCACAGTCCACTGCAGGGACTCCTGGTGTCCAGTCCGCTAGCCCGCTAGCTTTCTATTCCCCAGAAGAAACTTCCAGTAGGCTAAGAAGCTGAGCACTCCGCTGAGGCAATTATTATTTTTTTCTAAAACATAGCAAATATATATATTTCATGCTGTCGAATGGCATGCTGGTGGTTTGGCCCCAGTGTTGGGCAGGTAGGTGGGTGGGTGGACGGACAGATGGAGGAATGGGTGATACTATGGGTGGGGTGGTAGATGGGGCAGGTTGGGTGCATATTAGGTCTTCGGGCAGTTGGGTGTGCCCTCTGCTCGGGAAGCTTGCAGCCCAGCGGGAAAGTAAGGTGGCCATGGCTGCGGAGCACGGGTTTGTATAACGGAGGCCGGGGAGTTCGCGAGCCTCCTTCCGTGACGGAGCTACCAGTGGTGATGCTGGCGTTAGGACAGCGGGTGCTGTTTCCTACCGGGCATTTCCTTGGAAAGGACGCTCTTCAGTAGCACGTGGATATCTATAACTGCCTTTATAACCTGGTCTATTTTAGTAATTAACGGTGAAAAAGCCACTCTGGAAACCCCAACGTTCGCCCAGAAGCGCCGGCGTACACTGGACATGCTGATCCGATCTCTATACCAGGATCTGATGCCAGATGTACATAAGGTAACCCGGCCTGCGGGCCTCCCTCCTCCCGTGAGGTCTGAGTGGAGAGCACAGGTCCCTGCGAGCACTCCTGGGTGGGATGGCACAGGCGTCGCCTTGGTCCTGCTGTCACGGCTAGGCTGGGGCCACCCAGCTGACGTCTCGCATGGTTCCCATGACGAGGAGGGATGCTGACTCTCCATACACGGGAACGTGAGTTTCAGAAGCCAGGGCCCGTGGAAATCGAGGTGCAGGCTGGGGCTGGCGTGTCGAACGGGGATCCCTGGACGTCGGAGCGTGCTTCGGGTGGGGGGCTGTGCTTGGTGGCGTTACTCAGCATGACCGTGCCACAGACCTGGTGGACAGGCAGACGGGGGGGTGGGTTGTGGAGAGAGGCTGGCACTTTTTTACGGGTTTTAGGGTTCGCTTGACTTTGAAGCCCCTGCTGTCCACACAGCACTGCCTCTGTGACCCCAGCATCTGGCGCAGACCTTGCACGGGGGGCGGGGGTGCCCCCTGAATGCCTAGTGAGCGGATGGACACAGAAGGCAGAAGCAGGAGCATTTGGACAAGTAGTCCTGTGCCTTCCAAGAAGCCAGAGAAGGAGGTTTGACAAGCGTTTGTGGAACTCATAATGTGTTTTTCTTTTTTAGAACATGCTTAACAGACGATCTTTTAGTGACGTCCTGCCAGAGTCGCCCAAGTCGGCGCGGAAGAAAGAGGAGGCCCGCCAGGCCGAGTTTGTTAGAATAGGGCAGGTGGGTTGTGTTCTGGAACCTCTCTGCAGGGCGTGTGGTTGTGAGTCCCACCCGAACCTGCAAGATTGTGTTTGCACGCTCGTGCAGAGGCGTGTGCCTTCCCCCAGGCTGACTGAGGGAACCAAGAGCGAGATTTCTGATGAGCCTGCAGGCGCGGGTCTGTGCAGGTGTGAGTGAGAGGGATGCGGCTGATGGAGAGCCAGAGGTGGCAGGGCCCAGGGAGCATGTCCTGTCGCCTGCCTGCCTGGGGAACTTTCTGAAGAGCGGCCAGCCGATTTGGGGACAGGAGGGAGCAGAGTGGCCGTGTCCTCACAGAAGACCAGAATTTCCACCCCACCACCTGGACGCAGTCGCCACAGGCAGGTGGCTGCCAGGCGCCGCCCCCCTTTGCCTTGCTCCCACACGACATTGTGTTTCTCGGCTCCGAGAGGCGCCACCACTTTCTGCCTTGACCCCACGTCACAACAGGGCGAAGGGGAGCTGCCAGCTGCAGAGAAGGATCTGACCCAAAAGCAGAGGGTGAAGCAGGGTGACTGAGGGGAGCTTAGAGGCAAGGTCACTGTTTCCCAAAACAGGTGCCCTGTGTCAGGGCCCCTGGCGCCAGCCCTTGATAAAGATTCCCGACTGCATGTTGGGACGTTCAGATTCGTCAGGTGTCAGGAGGGGTCTGACACCTGTCTTCTATACTCAGGACGTGGCAGCCACTGTATTGATATGCTGATTGGTGGGAATGACAGGATGCACCCGGGGTGCCTGGGTTGGGACGTTGTCGTTGGGCCCTCACCCTGTCAGGCCGAGGGGGCCCTCTCTTCCATGATAGGGCGGTGCAGGAGCCCAGAACTTTAGTCTGAAACTACTCCTGTTTAAGTTTTTCTAAATGTCCAATCATATTTCTTGATCGTGCTGTCTCTCGCTGCCTGATAACACACTTTAAAAAAGGTCTCTCTTCTCTAAGGCACTAAAACTGAAATCCATCGTGAGAGTGGATGCTCCACCCAGCTTGGTGGCCTCAGGGATCTGCAAAAAGGAGGTGAGTGGACAAGACTTTCGAGTTCAACCAGGAATGTCATTTTTCCTCAGTGAAGTTATTTAGATCTTAGAAAGAGGTTTGTGGGGCAGGAGGAAGAGGAGCTTGTCTGTTGTCCGGGGGTCCTCAGAGGAAGCCCTGGTAGCAGGGAGTGTGAGCCTCCCTGTGCCCACCGTACACACCTGCCTTTTCACGCTCATGGGGAGCAGAGCTGAAGACCCGGTCGGACAGTGCTTCCCAGGCCCTGAGTGCAGGCAGCTCACCTGGACATGTTGGCCAGATCCATGCTCCAACCCAGCGGTCCTGGGCCGGGTCAGGGTCTGCATTTCTAACAAGCATCATGTGGCCACGGGCACACTCTGAACAGTGAGGTTCTGGGGCTGGGCTTCCAAGCTTTTGTGTGCATGCGAATCACCCCTGGAGTTTCTGACGCAGGAGGTCTGGCAGGGGCTGAGAATTTGCAGCTATAACACACTCCCAAATGATGCTGATGCTGGTGCTGTTGGTCTGAGGACCACGGCTGAGAAACCACTGCCTGCTGGACAGCTTGCTCAGCCAACCAAAAACTTCGTTTCCGCACGGGGAAGGAACGACGTGGTGACCAGGAAGAGGAGAGGGAGGAAAAACCAAGCTGCAGTATGAACTTACTGTTGGCATGAGTTTGTATTGTAAAGCAACATATGTGCTTAATTATGTCTGAGTCCTGAATCCGTAGGTTAGTTAAATGGGGCAGATTTATGGACAGCACAGCACCGCACAAGTGTCCGCTATAAAAGCAAAAGGATTACGAGTATGTTGACTTCAGCGATAAAGGCGCAGGTGGTCTGTATCCACATTGCAGACCCTGCACAGGGTGTTTGGGAAAACGATGAGCTCAAAATACAATGGACACAAAAACCACAACCCAACTTACACAAGACCAAGAGCAAAGCCTCTTTGCCAAAGTTGCAGAAATTCCCACCAGCTGCTTGTCTGTGTGAATATTGGAATTTGCAGGGTTGCCAAGCGCTTTATAAATAACAAATTTCAGTGATTTTTAGTAGGCTTCTTTGTAAGCAGTTCCGAGGCATACAAACAACTGTAAGTACATGGACTAGTAACTTGTCCAGCAGTGACCAACAAAGAGTGAACGTCCATCTTTTGGGTCAGTTTGAAACGTGGCAGTGGGCCCCAGGCCATCGCCGGAGAAGCGCAGCTCCAGTCGGCCTCGTGGACTCTCGTACAGTGGGCTCCAGGCGGCCTCGTGGACTCTCGTACAGTGGGCTCCAGCCGGCCTCGTGGACTCTCGTACAGTGGGCTCCAGCCGGCCTCGTGGACTCTCGTACAGTGGGCTCCAGGCGGCCTCGTGGACTCTCGTACAGTGGGCTCCAGGCGGCCTCGTGGACTCTCGTACAGTGGGCTCCAGGCGGCCTCGTGGACTCTCGTACAGTGGGCTCCAGCCGGCCTCGTGGACTCTCGTACAGTGGGCTCCAGGCGGCCCGAGGCCCACGTGCTGCTCCCAAGAGGGTTCAGTTTCCAACGGAGGGGCTTTGTCAGCCTCCAAGGCACCCAGCACTTCGTGAGCTGCGTTGATGTTCTTAGCAAGCGAGGTTCCAGTCCTGCGCTTAGGGAGGCCCGGAGGCCACGCTCCTGCCCTGCGGAATCCATACGAGCCCCCCAGCTGGCAGAAGGGAGTTCAGTGAAATGGCAAACACAACTTGCTTTTTCCTGATCTCCTGGTATGTTAAGTCACAGTCCCAGAACTTCCAGAAATCTTCTTCCAGAAATGCCATTTCAGTTAATGACGTTTTTCGGGTTATGCCTTCGCATTCTTTGTGTGACATTTTCGGAACAGTCGGGCCTCATTTTAGCAATTAGCATATTCACTTTGAGGCAGGTGGGTTTCTTCGAGGGAAGAGCATGCTTTTCTGAGAGTGACGATACAGAGAATCTGCCCTCACCCCCATGACACCCTTGAAGGTGACCTCAGAGCTGTCACTTCCGCTCTGGGTCCGTGAGCGTGTGTTCACCGGGCGTGCACAAGCAACCAGTGCGCTCAGGCGCTCCAGCCGCCCTGGTGGGACATCTGAGTGATGGAGAAAGTGAAGAGCTACAGCTTTGGCTTGTCCCTGAGAATCCCCAGAAACCTCTCTGTCCGGTGAGGCCAAGCTCCGCAGTCTGGAGACATGTTCACGGTTCTGCTAGAAATGTCCACGATTCCAGGGGGTCTAAGAGCCCACTTAACGAGGCTGGGCGACCCCAGGCACCCACATGCAGCTCTGAGGCCATGGGCGAGACTTGCCGTGTCTGAAAGGAAATGAAACTAAGGACGAGTCACGGGGTGTGAATCTGTCACGGGGGTGGAGGCGGGGAACGTCAGCAGGTTTTATCGCCAGCATTGCCGTGTTTCTACAAGTGTGTTATTTTTTTCTTTAAGATCATGTTGCTTCGACCGGGCCAGTAAGCATGTTCCTGTTAAGACAGTATCAACTTCTTGCATTGTGTATGTTTTAATAATTTTGCTGAATCAGCAACACAGGAATCTAACACTTTTAATAGAGTTTTGTATAACTCCCTCCCACGATGAACTAGAGTGAATTCTCCAAAAGATAGGCATCAATGGGTCCAACTCCCAGGTGTTAAAAACATCTGCTTAAAAAAAAAAGAAGTTGCCAATGCCTCTATTGCCCCTAAAGAACATTTCGGATACAGGGACGGGCGATGGTGTCAGAGACATGTGGTGTCGCTCTTTTCCTGTTGCATGTGTGTTTGAAAGGAGACTTCTTGAGTCAGGGACCCGAGCCCAGAGCCCACGCAGCCACTGGGCGGGGCGCCTGTGTTGCTGTTTCAGGCGGGGCGCAGCGTGACGGGGCCGTGCCGTCTTGTCTCTGGTGCACTGACCTTCCGATGCTTGTGTCACCTCGCAGCCCTGGGAGCCCCAGTGTTTCTACAGCCACTTCCCCCATGAAGCCGTGTGTGCAGACCCCTGGGGCCAGGCCTTGCTGGTCTCCACGGATGCTGGCGTCTTGCTAGTGGATGGTTAGTGAGTAGCCGCTCCTTCCAGTGTCTTTATTTGTGTGACTTGTAGTACTTCCAAGGTGGGGGACCGCCAGTCCACTCTCTCTTGATAAATGTGTCCTCAGCCACAGAGGTTAGCCACAGTTCATTTCCTGATGAGCTCAACCCCTTGTTTTCAGGACAAGCAGAGGGAATATTTTCTGAACGAGCTGGCCGGAGGGTGAGTTGTGCATTATAGGTTTGCCCCTTCCCCGGATCCCTGAGCGCTCTGTGGGTGTCAAATGACCCACGGAAAAGAATCTCCCTGCAGTTGGTACTTGTCACGATTCCAGCCTTCACCCTAAATGGACAAGTACGTGTTGTTATTTGGAGCCGCTCTCCCGGGGACATGCTCTCTGAGAGCCTGCTTCCTTTTTTTAAGGTTTCTAATTGAAAAAAGTATTTGATGTCCAAAACAGCAAGAAGCTTAGATAATCCATTTTTGATGGATAAGGAAACAAAAAGATTTTGACAGGAAGACAGATTTCAACTCAATGCACAATCAAACTTCCTGACATCCGAGTGGACCGGGCTGCCTCAGGGGTGGTCAGCTCCTTGTCAGCGCAGATCAGCCCCACCCCCGATCGGACCTGTCCTCCGAGAGGATGCTGTAGAGGGAGTTGGGCTTCAGGTTGCGGTTTAACTTAGACTCCAGGACCCTGAGGCCCTTCCTGCAAGAGGCCCCATGGATGGTTCCAGGCTCCAAAGGAATGTTAAAGGGGCTAAACACTGGTCAGGAGCATCTCCCGGGGGCTGCAGAGAGAGCCACAGGCAGGGAGACAGCATCCCCCAGGGCACACCCTCCACTGCGTGGAAGCCACTGCCCATGGTTTTGGGTACCACAGTGACGTGTCATGAGAACCCTGAAAGCCATTGCTGTGGGAGTGACATAATGGCCTGCAAGTGCAGCATCTTCCCACCCTTGGCCGTCACCTTTCCTCCCCGCTCAGACCCCGACGCGGCATCTGTGCTAGGTGCCTCCATAAAGACAAGACAGGTGGGCGAGGCTTCGTGATAGACTTATTTCTGACCGTATCTGTTACTTCTGATAGATGTTTTCATTGCATGCCCATAACATAATTTTTTAATTTTATATATGTAATTGTGCATATAACTAATTTACTGAAAGGCAGGTAATTTTAAATTCATAATTTAAGAATTTAAATTAAATATTTAAGTTTAGAAAGTGCAAGACAGAACAGCTTTGTGATCTGAAAGGAACATAACCTCTCTGAGCTTCAAGCTTCTCTAAAGTGTAGGTCATTCTTTTAAGTGCCTGGAAAGCAGCTTATGATCATGAAAAGCGATGAATAAACAAAATGGGGGCGGCCACCGTAACTACGAGGAGGGAGTGGTGGAGATTAAATTGTTACAGAGGTCAAGTGCTTAGGCATCTGCACAGAGCCCTCACTCATTAAACGGCCGGCCGTTATCTTTTCTGTATCCTTGTGAACTTGCTACATGGTAACAGCCCATAGATTTTACCAAAAGTACAACCAAAAAAAAAAAAAAAGAATCTTTTAAAAACACACACAGCCCTTAGAGGTTCAGTCTGGTCCCTTAGTTTCATAGATGAGGAAACTGAGGCCTACAGAGCAATCGAGGTGCTTGCCCAAGGTCACGCTGCATGCAGGTCAGCGCACTAGACTTAGAACCCAGAGGTGACTCCTAGCCCCGTTACATTCTATTAAAATTAAACTCTTCCAATGTTACTGTCTGGACCTTACCACAGAGTTCCAAAAATATAGTCCTGGTTATGATTAAAAGAATGTTAATTTCTATCTATTTGCCGCTGTGGGAAGGAGTGTACGCTTCATGGTGACTATGGTAAGGCTTGCCCAGAAACAGCAGGAAAAAAAAAGTTCTGAGTTGCTTCTGTCTTTTGAAATGCAAATTCCAAACCAAGAGCACCAAGTCCCTTTTTGAAATTTTCCTCTTTAAGGATGCACAATTTAGTGGAGGTGGCAGACGTAAGGACCTTTGTGATTTGCCAGGAGGTCCTTCCCCTTCAAACCTGAGAGCCGCCTGACACTGGGGCGCCCCCGCACCAGCCGGACACGGCGCGGGCCTCTGCCTTCCTTTCCCTGTAAAGCTTCCCTGTTGGCCTTTGCTAACAAGACGGTAGGCCTTCCTGGGATTCCTGGTTGTGCTGTTAGGCCATCATTCTCTCATTATTTCCTTGTTTACCTTTTTCTTGCCTCTACTTAACCATATTATGAATTGCTTCCACTACTGAGTCTCTCCTTCCGCTGCAGGCTGCTTGCTCCACCCCAATAGCCTCCGCCTAGTTTCATCAGACTCCACCCCTTGAGAGTCTGCTCCTCGCAAGGCCCTGATTAGGGAATCAAGAGCCTTTGTATCCTCAGTGGAGCAAAACCTACTTTGCAGGGAGACTCGGTACTGATCTTAAATGTGCCATCACCATTTTTTTTTTGGTTTTGCAGTAACAGAAAAGCCAGCTCTAAAATATTATTTCTTCACAAAGGGAGTATAAAGAAAATTACGAAGCCAAATCTGCATGTTACTTGCTCAGCCCCCTTGCCTCCTCTCCGCTCCTGTGCGGCGTGTGTGCCAACCTGCTCAGCCCCCGGGGAAGGTGTGATGGGGCACAAAGGCCGGCACACTCTGCACAGCACAGTATCGCCTGTTTTATTAAAATAATGTTTTATTTTTCAGTTCCAGTTGGCATGCAGTATTATATTAGTTTCAGGTGTACAACCCAGTGATTAGACCTTATATAACTTACTAAGTGACCACCCTGATAAATCTAGTACCTCTCTGACACCATACATACTACACTATTATTGACTGTAATAGTGCCCTGCTGTAAGTGTGAAATGAAGTGCTTCTGTCCTAAGTTTACACTGCTGTTGCTTCCAAGGACACACACCCCCTCCACAGGGACACGGCAGCTTTTAGGCGACAGCACTGGCCAGGGGCACGGACTTTGTCCTGGCACACATTGGCATTCCGCATGATCAGGACATGACCTTGGACAAGTCATTAGCGTCTCTGAGCCTCAGGTTCCTCATCTGTTCAATGGGCATATCAGAGGTGCCTGCCTGACAGGGTCCCATGTAACATGCAGTGAAATGACGTGCGAAACACTTCGAGTCAGGGCCTGGCAGGTTAGGAGGCCCTCCGTATCTCGTAGCTGCCATTCACAAAATGAAATAAGCAGTTATTTCATCAGATGGGATGCCGGGTACTGAAGTGATCATGCCACGTTTGAAAAAATTCAGTCTGCCCACAGGAGCCCAGAGAGCCCAAGACTCAGTTTCTCTTGGGGTAGGAGAGTTAGGAAGGGGGTTTGGTGGGCTCTCACAGAACTTACATCTGCCCCATCATTCCGGGAACCAGAGGCAAGCCCTGTGTCAGGCAAGCTTAGGAGGCTTGCACTCTGACCAATCAGGGCTCTGACCAGCCCGCAGGAGGCAGGACCCCTCCCCCGAGAGGTGGTTATCAACCCGTTCTGGCACCACCCAGTAAGGATGGACTCCCAGTCAGATTTCTGGAAGAGGCACCATGCTGGGGGTGCCTCGCACCTAAATTATAACCAGACAAACCCCCAGCAGAGCACTCAAAGATCTAAGTGTCTGGATAAACAATAGGCCGGCCGCCTCTGCCTGCAATGTCTCCACCATCCCTGGGCATCCTCGCCTGGCCCCGACTCCATGGCAGCCTCTGACAGACCCTTTGCTTAGGAAACAGCCTTGTAGTTCTGTTATCCCTCTACGACCCCCGCCCCCAGCACAGTAACCGCTGGCAACGCGAAATCCCAGTAAGTGAGCCCGAAGCAAACCCTGCGTGCGATCGCGTGATCGTTACAGTGCCTCCGGTCGCCCGTCACTGGCACCTTCCGGAGCGTTTCCACCGAAATGAGTTCTTTCCCCGTCACTTGGGCAATGTCACTGACCTTCCTCTCCTAAAAAGGAGATTTTGTGTTCTCGTGTGGGGGAATTTTGAAGATGTGTAGGTAAACAATTCTTGACACAGACATGGGGCATGTTGGAAGAGGCGATCTTGGTATTTATTTTTAAATGCCAAAGGAAATTTTATTTTTGCTTTCTTGAGAAATACACAAAGTATCCTAAGATGGGAGGCAATTCCAAAAATTACATAAAAATCAGAAACTACTTAAGAGAAATGGCCAAGGATTTTTTTCAAAAAACAAATGAAAAACGGGCGTTCAGTCCTCTGTAGCACCCAGTAAAGACAGGACTGACAGGCGCTGCTTTTCCTCTGGGGAACGTTGACGAAATGCACACAGTTTACCGGCTCTGCTGCCACCGCACTGTCTCCAGAGAGCTCTGAATGCCTCTGGGAAGGAGGAGACTGGCGCTTGAACTGACTGGACAGCCCTTAGGAAGGCTCTGGAAGCTGACGTCCTTCCTCACCCAGACAGAACCAGGCCCCAGAGCGACCCACAGGCACCCTTTCTGGGCTCTGGGAAGCATGGCGGGCTGGCGGCGCTGGGTGACCAGACTTCCTTTGCAGACGACCTCCTGTCCGTGCCGGTGTTTGACAGGACGCTGCCGGTCAAGCAGATGCACGTGCTCGAGGCTCTGGACCTCCTGATTCTCAGAGCGGACAAAGGTGCTGCTCCCCTCCGGGTGCTGCTCCCCTCCCGGCGGTGGTCCCTGGGAGGAAGGGGAGTGAAGCCCTCTGTGACCAGCGCCAAGGGTCACGGGGTCTGACTACGTAGGTCAAGCCAAATGGCTCTGCTCCTGGTGCCCAGTGCTCAGGGTTCCTGGGTGGCCCCGGGGTTCTCGGAGGAGGGAACAGTGAAGGAGAGAAGGTGGGGGTGGAGCATCCTTAAGTGCACAGCCAGGTAAAGGCAGTGGGGGTTTCTCCCCAGTTCCGAGTCCTGACCCCTCTAGCACTAGTTTTCCCGCGCCGCCTGCCCCGCGGCTCTCCCGGGTCCTGCTGCTTTCCCATCCGCCCCCGCTCTGCCCGCCTCGCCTCCCCAGGGAAGGATGCGCGTCTCTTCGTCTTCAGGCTGAGCGCCGTGCAGAAGGGCGTCGAGGGCAAGCAGGCCGCGCGGAGCAGGTGCGACTGCAGGGAGAACAAGCTGGAGAAAACCAAAGGTGACGCGCGGCCTCGGGCTTTGCTGGTTTCGGTTCAGACTGCCCAGGTTGCACTGACCATCAACAGGAGTGGGGATCTGATTTGGTTGGTTCGCACTTTACTCGGGAACATGGCAAAGATAACATCACTGGTTCCCTGAGAGAAGCTCGAGCGACAGAAAGGCCTGCCGGGGGCCAAAGGGGCTGCTCGGCCCGTGGAACGGGCTTTGGCGGTGGGCCCGGCCCTGTCCACAGGCTTGTAAAGAGACTCCCGGGTTTTCAGGCTTCTGTGTCCGCAGGTCTGGTCGCCCCTCACTCTGATTCATACCAGGTTGTGAGTGCAAAGCTGGGGCTCCAGGCTCTGCAATACAGGGAATATAACTTCCTTCATTTTCCTGTGTCTCAACCCAGTTTTTATTCCAAGCCTCCGTTTTCCCAGGTGGCGGCAACATCCTCAGTCGTGGTACTGGGTTATGCCTAATTTCCAGGGCTCTAGGTGTTGCCACATTGTCAGGGCCCCACCTCGCGTCCTGCGACGGGCATCATTTGTTCCCCTTCCCAGGCTGCCACCTGTATGCCATCAACACGCACCACAGCAGAGAGCTGAGGGTCGTCGTCGCCATTCGGAACAAACTGCTTCTGATCACGAGGAAACACAGCAAGCTGGGCGGGGTGACCGACCCCTCCCCGTTGTCCCCCCTGTCGGAGTCCCCTGTCGAAGAATTCCAGTACATCCGGGTAGGTTTTCTCTTCTAATTGCTGCTCTCCTGGCCAGGGTGTCAAGTCTCGGCCATAGCACATACGCACTAGGTGACCACAGGCAAGTCGTGCGACTTTGAGCCTCGGTTTCCTCATCTGGAATATAGAGTAATAGTCTTACCTACTTCACAAGGCTGTTATGAGGGTCCGGTGAGAACAGTGCCTGGCACTGTGCTAAGTGCTCCACAAAGTCAGTGATTGTTACTGTTCTATCATCGTCATTATTAAATCATAGGATAGGGCCAGACCGTCTGTGGGGTAGCCAAGTTAGCAATTACTGTGATTTTCATCACAGTAATTATGATTACCGTTAAATCACAGAAGAGGACCAGACTCCGAGAGGGCTAACGTGGACCACCCTGTTGAATCACTTTTGTAAAATTGTTTCCCGGCATCTCCCCAGTGCAGTGGTCAGAGGTCTGGTCTCAAGGACAGGGTGTGGGAGGCCGAAGTCTGATGCTGTCCCTGCCTGTCTCTGCCACCCCCGCCACCCGCAGGAGCAGGGTCTGCAGGACCCTGGGCAGGGGGACTTGAGATTAAGATGGCCACCTTGTATCCCAACCCCTTTCTCCTACTCCACCGTCTGCCACACAGGAGATCTGTCTGTCTGATTCTCCCGTGGTGATGACCTTAGTGGACGGGCCAACGGAAGAGAGTGACAATCTCATCTGCGTGGCTTATCGACACCAGTTCGACGTGGTGAACGAGAGCACAGGAGAGGCCTTCCGGCTGCACCACGTGGAGGCCAGCAGGGTGAGTGGTCGGCGGCAGGGTGAGGGGGCGGGGCTACAGGGTGAGGGGGCGGGGCTGCAGGGCGAGGGGGGCTGCGGGGCGAGGGGGGGCTGCTGGGCGAGGGAGGGGGGCTGCGAGGCAAGGGGGCAGCGGCGGGGCAGCTGAGATGGCCAGGGTTGCATCTTCTGCCTGTGCGGTGCTGTATTTAGGGTTTCTTTGCAGCGACGGGCTCGCCGCCCTGTCGGCATTACGTGCTGTACTGCCTAGGCTGTGCCACAGGTCGTTGCCATTTTTGTAGGTCGAAATGGCCCGATCTAGTGTCTCGGCCCCATTGCCCTGTTCAGCTTCTTCACATCTCCCCCTGCCATTCCTTTCTTCTCCCCAAAAGAGAAATGAAGCATCAAAAAGCTAAATATAAATAAATAAGTAAACAAGAGCATGTGTTCAGTAACACATGGAAGGGCTTTTGGAGAACGAATTTGCTCTGCACACTCACAGCTTGGGGCCTAAGCAGCTGGGGAGGGCACAGCCCTGCCTTTCTCCCCTCGGAAAGGAAGAAGGGACGGAAGGACAGAGAGAGAGAGCCTGTTCGCCTGGGGTCTGCATCCCCCCCGCCTGAGCTGCAGAGGGCAGTGATGCCCTGGGTTTGGACGAAATTTAGGGCCGCCTCAAACCTGGACAGAAGCTCTAGAGGTAACTGTGGCTCTGAACATTAGTGCCCCTGGAGGCCGTGAGCACTGACTGTGCAGACAGCTGGTGACCTGCCTGTCCCCAGAGCTTCCCCGGCAGACAGTGACTCAGCGGATCAAAGAGCTCTCCAGCCCACCGATCACTGTGAAGCAGGGCGAGCCTGGTCACACTTGAGCCACTTAAAGTCGGCACTTCTGCCTAAGGACCAAGGACACCGCAGAATGGGGACAGCAGAATTATTCTTCTAAGAAATAAAAAGTGCGACTTGGATTAGGACATGCCTGCATAAATATCCATTAATATTGCTAATTACTGTATTAAGAAGATGAAACACTTCACAACAGCAGTGTTTTAAGAAATAGAAAAGTTAGGGAAAAATCTAGATCTAATTAAGAGGCCTTCTCCTCAGCTGTCATCTGTCACACCTCAGTCTGCCGTTCCTTCCCAGTAGATTGCTGGTGCCCGATTTGTCTGCTTTGGAGTCACCTAAGAAGCTTCAAAAGCTACCAGTGCCCTTGTTCCCCCTCAGAGATTTCTCAGGTCTTGGGTGTGGCCTGGGCTTCAGAATTTTTAACTGACCCTCAGGTGCTTCCAACGTTCAGACAAGTGTGGAAACCACCCGTACCCAGGGCTTCTCACCTCTGGCTGCGCTGCCCGGAAAGCTGTGAAAGGACCGGCGCTGTCCCCCTGTCCCCCAGATCACTAACACCAGAACTTCCGGGTGGGCCGCACTTGGCAATGGAATGTTTTAAGTCCCCTCATCCCTCCCCTGCCCCAGGCGATGCTGACAGAAAGCTTATTTCAAGTCTGGAGGACGTCCCTCTGTGCCCGTGGCTGGGAACCTGTGATGGCTTCCAGCCTCCTGACTCCCGAGGAGGAAGGGCCCGGTTTCACCTTTTAAACTTCTTTCGCCACCTTGGCCAGGTGGCTCTGCTGGTTAGAGTGTGGTCCCCACACACCAAGAGGCTGCAGGTTCGATCCCCAGTCAGGGCACACAGCTAGGTTTTTGGGTCCAAAAACTTCTGGCCTCTTCTTGCTTTTCATGCCTCTGTGACCCACCAAAGGGGCAGAAAGGTCACGGCCTGACAGATCTAGTTCGGTCACCCTTTCCTCGGCAACCGGTTTCCTGTAACTTAACCTTTTTCCGGTGATTATTACTTTTCACTTATACTTACTGCTCTGATCACTCATTAGAGTGTTTGTGGATTTTTTCCAAGAGGCATAAAGACCCAGGAAAAATTGGGTTAAAACAGTTTTTTAAATAAAATTTATGTTTTGTTTTCCTGAGAGCAATGAGGAACAATTCTAAAATTTTCTCTTTTCTTTCATATGCTTTTTAAAAGAAAGATGTAGAGAAAGAAAGACATAAAGCTTTCCCCTTAGAGAAAATGGTTTTTTTTAATGTTTAAACCCTTCCCGAGCGTAAAGACCTTAGACACAGGGGCTCGGCTCTCGGCAGGGCTTCCCGGTCTCCCTGGGGCCATGAGCCCTGGAACCGTGAAAAATTCCGAACAACGTGTCTTCGAGCAGCTAAGTCAGAAGTGCCCCTCGGGATCAGGACCGGCTTTTCGCTGTGACGTTCCCACAGCGCAGCCCGAGGGCTGTGGTGGCCCGAGAGAGAGAGAGAGAGAGAGAATGGGCAGATTTCGGGCCTTTCCGGCTGCACGCATGGCTGCCTGCGGTGCGCGCGGCCCAGGTGGATGGGGTGGCCCAGCCTCCTGCTCCCCTTCCTCCGCTCCGCCCCGCCTGCCCACGCTCTGCTCCGCCTGCCCACACGATTCCCTTGTCAGGCTTCAACCCCACCTCGGGGACTGAGACTGTCTTAGCTCCAGAGAAGAAGTGCTTATGAAGCACCAGGGCAGAATTCTGAAAGTCAACATCAAGTTCATCTTACAACAGGCCTCCTGTGACCTACTGCCCCAGCTCCAGCAGCCAGCATTGGCCTCCTTCCCAAAGCCAGGGCTGCTCTGGAAGGAACCGCGGACCTGGTGACAGGATCAAGTCTCTGGCTTATTCTCTGGGCCCAGGTCCCCAGTGGTCCTGACCGGGAAGCTCACCCCTGAATCTCATAAAAGGCTGGACACAGCCCCCAGTGGGGCTTCCTCCTCCAGCTGGGGCTGGGAGGGCCGGGGGCAGACGTCACTTGTTACAGGTCTGTGTTTGGAATTTTCACAACCACCGTGTATACTTTTATCATTTTTAAATCCAATAAAATGAACTACTTATTTTTAATCAAGTAGAAGTTAAAAAGCCAACGCCTATGTCCTACATTAGACCTACTGTACCAGGATCTCTGGGAGTGAGAACCTAACAGGTGCTTTTTTTAAAGCTCTCCTGTCGACTCTCACGTCCTCACCGGGTCAAGAAACAGTGTCGCAAAGACTGACTCCTGCCAGGCCCCTCCCCAGGGTAGAGACAGACTCACGGACTCAGGCATCGAGCAGCAAGTGGGTCTCACCTGCTGTGCTAAGAAAGGTCTGATGAGAAGCTACCAGTCCTCAGGAGGAACCGGTGAGCTCCAAGCTGTGGTCTCTGCCCCTGCCCCTGGCCTTTCCATCTCTGACCATGGCTGGAGCTCCGTCCCTGCCCGCCCTGCAGCCTGAGTCTCTGAGGACAGCCGAGCTCATCCGCCCGTCAGCACAGTCCTGGGATAGTCCCCTGAGGGACCCTCCCCGTGTCAACTACTGCCCTGCTGTCTTCTGCCACCGTGCACAGCCCTTGGTCTGGACAGCTGCCTGAACTTCCTCCACCCCGTCACTGCCTCGCCGCCCCACTGTCCACCGCCACCCCAAACACATCCACAGGCCTCCCCTCTAAACTGCCGGGCGGTCCAGTTCCACCTTTCCCGCTGCGGTCCACCCTCCCGTCACCATAACACGGCGCCTCCGAAGGACGTGGCTCTGAGCCAGAGCGCTTCGCAAGCATCTTCTCACCAAGTCTGCCGGACAGTCCGGGGAAAGCACTGTTCGCATCCCCATTTTGCAAAAAAGGAAACTGAGGCTCAGAAAGGAGGAGTGGCTCGTTTCCCTGAAACCACACAGCTGGCGACGATTAGGGGCCGCCTGGAACGTGTCAGACTCTGAAGTCCAGGCCCCTAGACCCAGCGTGCCCTGGCGCCCACGGCCGCACCACGAGGCATGGTGGGGGCAGCCGGTCCCAACTACAAAGCTGGTGCCCTGGCCGCTGCCCTGCAGAGGTTCACAGTCGGAGGGAGTGAACGCACATGTGCCCATTGGCTGAGATTACTGTCATCAAACTGACAAGTACTGGGACGCCTGAGGAGGTCGTGATTCCAAGTCAAAGGGGTGGGGACAGGAAGCTTTTTTTAGGGGCCCTTGGGTTCAAAGGCTATTCCCTCATGTCCGGCAAAGCAAGTGTTGTCATTATACCAGTTCGCAGATGAAGACCTGAGGCCAGAAGTGAGGCCATTGGCTACAAACCACAGAGGCAGCAAGTGGCACAGGCAGGATTTGAACTCGGGTCTCTCTGACCAAAGTCCATGCTCCTGCCCACTCCCCACCGTGACCTCCCGCTTTTGTGGGTATGGAATTTATTGCATTGCCTGATGTTGTCAATGCAGAGATTTTAAGCACCAAGTAAAATTTGAAGCTATTAAGGTGGGTATTTTTCTAAGTGAGAAAAGAGCCAAGAAATGGAAGAATAATCTGAAGTGGGAGAGAGGACAGGAAGGAGGAGGAGTCAGGCGTCAGAGCCTGGGGAGAGGCTGACGGAGGGAGGTCGTCCCCGGAGAAGGGGGCCTGTGTCCCCGAGGGCCTGGGGGCCAGGCCGCCGGCGCTGAGAACCCCAGTGAGGAGGGTCTGGGAAATGAGAAGGACACGAGGACATCGTCAGACCGAGCGTCCTGTTCTCAAACATGGAAACGGGCCCAGAGAGATGGGTTCGCCCAGGTCGCAGAACCAGGTCTTCCCACACCCTTTTCATTGGCCGAGTCCAGCGCCTCCCTCCACGTGAAGGAGAGACGGAGAGCAGAAGGCGGGCCATGGGGGTCCCAAGAGTCAGAGGCCCGCCCTCGTGTGTGAGGCGGGAGGGGCCGGCAGCGCGCAGGGGAGATGGCACGAGATGCCGCAGCCCAGCTCCGATCTTGGCCGCGCAGTTACCGGCTGCGGGGTGGGAGTGGCTTCACCTCTCCCAGCCTCTCTCTCCTCACCTGGGAGTAAGAGCGTCTCCTCCTGAGTTGACAGCAGAGTGAAATGAATAACCCACGGGAACCAGCTCGGGGAGCCGGGGCACATGCATAAATGGCTCATTTTGCTAAGGGGAGCTGAGATGCCTGCCACAGAGCGTCTCACAGCGGTGAGAGTGGGGGGCGAGTCCCGGGCAGGGCGAAGGGGCACCACTCCTTTCTTTATGCCGACCGTGTGCTGGAACCAGGCCCCTACGTGGTGCGGGGGTGCGGGGAGGCGGAAGTGCCCCGCAGGCCCTGAGTTCACTGGCACTGGTGGTACTGGCGGCTCGGGACGGTGTCCCAGTCCAGCCCGCCCACGACACCACCCATGACCATTGCAGGTTCATTTTGTCGCAGCTATTGATGTGTACGAGGACGGGGAGGCCGGGCTGCTCCTGTGTTACAACTGTAAGTGAGCCGTGTTTGTCTCTTCATTGTCCTTCAGTGTCCTTTTTGGCGGGCAAGCTAAAGGGACTTGACCTCAGACTTACCTAACGTATCGCTCCCGTGGCCTGAACTGCACTGCCGGGAGCACCTAAAAATCGCACTCCCACCTGGGTGCGTGCGTTCCCAGGGCGCCCAGACCTGTGGCCCTGTCCCCAGGGTACGGGCGTGACGGTGAGGGCAACAGTGCCATCTGCGTGCCCGGCACTGTGCTCAGGACGCTGCAGTCATCGTCTCTCTGATTCTCAGGTACCGCCATCACCCACGGTTTGGAGATAAGGCAGTTGAGGTCGGGAGAGGTGAACTGCCTTTCTCAAGGTCACCCAGTTACTGTTCCACTTTTGCTGTCTCTCAGGTGCTAATGAAATCAGCGTCTCCCTAGGTACCCGGTGTCCCAGGTCAGGTGGCAGGGTGGGCTTGGCAGACCAGAAGCGCCAAATAGGTTCTTTAAGGATTTCCAGCATTTCCAAAATGAGTATTACACTACAATAGAAAGGACCTCTTACGGGTAAAAGCAGTCATGTGTTTTCATGATTATGGCTGCCCAGTCTAACTAGCACAGGGAAACACATTTTTTCAGCGTAGAATTGAATTAATGCAGAGTGGCAATGCTAGTTATGTCCCATGGGGCAGATATTTTAATCGATTAATCCTTGATTAATAAGCATGGGAAAGATAACTATTAGCAGTGAAGTGTGTTTGGGAAGCACAATCCTTCAGAACTTGAGATTCACGGGGCTGCGTGGGGAGAAGGCATTCACACGGGGAGCCCCTGGCACAGCAGGTCTCTCTGCAGGGTGTGTCGGCCTCGGCTCTGTCTGAAGCGTCCTCAGAACAACCAGAACACTGCGTGAGGAGGGCCACACACAAGGCGGCAGGGACAGGCCAGCGTGGACCCTAGTGCCAGGGCTCAGATGGCCAGGCCCCCGCTGGACAAGGGGCACAGGGGTCACATGCTTAAAGTCACTTCCACGAGATGTTAATCTCTTCAAAGTGTGGTCTTTTGACTTAACTGAAAAGTCTGTGAGAAAACTCGTGACAGCATACTTTGAACACTGATGTTGATTTTTTTCCTTTTAACTCCATGGAAAGATGGGCAGGGTTTTAGGTGGGCAAGAACTTACGGACAGAAAGGTGGGTCAGGTTTTTAGAATGAGTCCCCAGATGAAGGGGGTGTGGGAACAAGTGTGAACGACACCCACTCTGGACCACACTCGAAGCCTGGGCTACTCGGGCAGGCAGTGCGGCAGAGCGGCCATTTCCCCCGGGTTCCCACATCTTCTGGTCTTTTCTCAGCCGGGGACCGGTGTGCGTCCGTTTTCCGAGACCCACCAGCCCCTCGGAATGTCATCTCTGCATCTTTAGGCCCCACGCGGGTCAAGGCCTAGGCAATCCCAGAGGTTCCCAGACCCGCCTCGATCTGTCCCAACCACATCACCTCCTCCTGTGTCTTTGGGTCGGGAGTGTGGCTTGGGTTTTCCACCCGCCTCCTTCTCCCAGAAGGTTGATGGTACCCAGTGAGTCAGCCCCGCAGAACCAGTTGGTTTTCCCCAGTCTCCCTGTCACTTCTGTAGCTGGGTCCCAGGCGCCCACTCACTTGTTTCAGCCCCTGTGCTTGTCCTGGTCCCAGACGCCTGTGCAGCCAAAGCCCTCCCAACAGGTGCTGTGGACGGTGTTGCTCCCCCCAAATTTGAAGCTGATCTTTATCATTTAAGTTCATTCCTTTTTGTTAATAAACAAAACAAAATAAAAATAACAACTATCAATCGGAGTTTGGTATAGAGGGATTTTTATCTCAGGTGTGTTAAAGATGAAAAGTATTTTATAACAGATATTGTAACTTCTAACTTCGAATTCATGTTATTTGAGAGAAATGGATTTGCAAGATAAACTGTAGGGGGGAGTATAACTAGGGCGATATGTTAGAGACATTCTTATTTTTTGTAATCAATCTCTATTTTGAGTACCAGGGTCAGTCTTTGCCTAAAAAAAGAAAGAAAATGTGGCTGTAACCTTAGCACACAGTAATGACCTTGCCTTTGATGCACATAATCAGTCTCAGCACAAAGGGCAAACTCTGTGTTTGCTGTGGTTGTAGAGACAACCACACAAGGAAAACTAGAGAAGCTCAGCTGCACCCCTCATTCTCAAGGCGACTGCATGCACGCCCAGCACCTTAACTCCCAGATAAGTGAGGTTTAGGGCACACCCCTGCTTCTCATTGTGGCGATCAGACACGATTATTCACGTAAAACCCACACACACCGCCAGGCACTGCCAGGTTTTGTTTTCCCTGTTTTCCAGACTTGTCAGAGTATTAATTCAAAACCCAGTTTTTAACCTGTGTAGACTTTTCTACATGCATGAAAGGACTTTTCTTCAAAGACATGTGTTTTCAAATTGGAAATAGTATCTGTCGCCCGGCCCTCCTCCTGCTGGATGCGGAAGCTCAGAGGGGTCAGGGTTAGGCTCCGGCTTAGGCTCCGGAGACGCGACAGCCAAGAGCACAGCCAGGGACGTCTGAGCTCCCAGATTAGTTCAGCATGAATGGCACTTAAAATGGGTGGATTTGATGGTACATAAAGTGTATCTCAATAAAGCCGTTTTTAAAAAGAATTTAAAGGTAAAACTGCAGGGCTAAAACATGACGGGCTCTGGAAGGAAAGGAGCCTCGGCTTCTGCGGGAGCCTCCTCCCTGTGAAGAGGCTCTGAACCACCCGGGCTTGTGTTCCTCGCTCAGAGCAGCACAGCTGAGGGGCCCAGCCTTAACCCAACGCCGGCTCGGGCTCACCCAGGCCGACCGGGCCTAGGGCTCCAGGTTTGCCTAGTAAAACGTGGGGAGGAGGGGCGCTATGTCGCTGTCACCACCCTTGCCCTGCTGATGGGGCTCAGTGTGACCCGCCTCCCAGGGGGGGGGGGCTTGCCCCCTCCAAAGACTGCCATCGCCTGTCCCTTTTTCTCTGCAGTCTGGCAGACCGGTGTTTCCCTGCTCCTGGCCTCAATCTCCTCGTCTGTAAAATGCGTGTAGTAATAGCATCTGCTCCATCATATTCTGCAGGTTACACGGGGTGGTGCTTTTACAGCTCAGTGCCTGGCCCGTGGCAAATTCCCCCCAAGGGGCAGCGATGATTGCCGTAGCGGTACCGACCGAGAATCCGGCCTCAGGGTGCTGTTCGCACCAGCCGTGTGTAAAGAAGGAGCAGATAGGACGCTATTCCTGTTGCCTGTTTTTCGTTCTTCTAATTGCAGTGGCCTAAGTATCGTCTCTAACAAAAAGGAGTCACTGTTGTCTCGTTGCAGACAGTTGCATCTATAAAAAAGTTTGTCCGTTTAACGGGGGCTCTTTTCTGGTTCAACCCTCTGCGTCAGATTTCCAGTTCTGTTGGAACCAGGCTCCTTGCGCGATCGGTAAGAAAACCCTGAGCCGGCCCCTCCTCCCCAGTAGATTCCTCTGAACCGCTGGGTCCCGTGTAAGCCAACCCGCTGGCTCTCTGCTAAACTGCCGCAAATCCCGTGACTCTGGGAACTCCGCGTTCTTTTTCTGCCTCAATTGCTCGTGTCGTTCCCCTTTGGGAACTGGCCTCTCCACCGTTCCTCCCAGTTCTCAGTGCCTGGGCGTGTGCCCCTTTGAGGTCAGTGAAACCGCAGCCTTCAGGACTGGACTGCCTCTCAGCGGCCTTTCATTTCCGGGCCTCCCTCGCCACTTTCTAAACTGCAGGAGCAAGATGCCCAGGCCCAAGACCCCGAGCAACTTGGGGAGCCGCGTGGCACTTTCGGTGCCAGTCCTGTATTTTTTGAGCTTGAAAGTCTAGCATCACAGAGATTCGGGCCCTTTGCCTGCCCCTGAAAGGTCAGGACCTGGGCGGTGGCGCCTCGTTGGTGCGGCTCATGATCCACGCTGGGCATCCGCCCCGGGAGAGTCAGGTCCCAGCCACCACTGTCTGAGTTCGCCCCATGTCCCTCGGGATAAAGTATTTGTTGGGAGGTAACATCGTAGAGTTCGGACAGGAGAACAGAGGAACAGTCGAGGTACGGGAGGACTGGTCTGGCTTGGTGACAGATTCGATGTGATTTAAAAAAAAGGGAGGACCAGCCAGAAATGGCTCGAAGGTTCTGAGGCACACAACGCCCTTGAGAGATCGAGGCGAGAGGCGTGGGTGAGGTAGAAAGTCACCGGGGTGGAGCCGAGAGAGACACAGAGAGAGAGAAAGAGAGAGAGAGAGAGCATTCACCAGGGTGAAAGACTGGGCGTGAGGTGGCCAGTAAGAAAGGCGAAGTGGGATCGCTGGTCCACCAGGGAAGCTGTGGTGTTGGAAGTCCCAATGTATCATAGAAACGATGCCAGGAAGAGGGGCCTGTCTCCACAAACCCACTGAACGAGGCGGGGGCAGCAAGGGAAGAGACACACGACAGGAGGAGGAGAGTCACTACTGGCAGGGAGTGCAGCATGAGTACAGGCCAGGGAGCGGGCGTGTCAGCTGCAGTCTGGACAGTAAGGGGGCAAGTCTCACGGGACTCGGGCAGCCAGCCCCTCGCCCCCTCTTCCCCTGCAGGTCAGATCAGGCTCCAGGGCTACAGGAGGAAGGGAGGAAGGGGGTAGGGAGATGTGGAGACGGTGCTCTCCTGCTGGAGGTGCTTGGCACCTGAGGGGAGGCCCTCTGAGACCCAGAGCACACGCCCCATGCAGGAAGGGAGAAGCAGCCAGGCAAACAGCAGAGGTGGAGTCTTCCAGAGAAGTGAGGCTGGACGTGAGCCGGTCACCAGCCACAGGCGGCTGGCCCGGGAGCTGACGCGCCCCGTTGCCTTGCAGTCTGCGCTTTCCCGTACCTCCTGGCCTTCACCACCGACTCCATCGAGATCCGCCTGGTGGTGAACGGGAACCTGGTCCACACGGCTGTTGTGCCGCAGCTGCAGCTCGTGGCCTCCCGGGTGAGTAGATGGGGCTTTTACCTCCACCCCAGTGGCTTTGGGAGCCCTGAGCCGCAGGAGGTGACAGGCGAGCAGGGGCACTCCTCTTAGGCGGTGGGGCAGGTGACGGCTACACCGCTCATGTCAGGACACCCGCGGAGAGAGAACACCCTGGAAGCAGACTCACCGGCTGGGTTTTCACGTGTGGGCGCTGGAGCTTCAGCAGGCCCCTTATCTAAGTTTAATAACGGCCGCGTGCAACGGCTTGTGAAACCCTGAAAACCGGGCCTCCTGCGGCAGCCCCAGCACAGCCCCGCTCGATCACGACGGAGCCAGCGTGACACGGGTGGGCGGGAGAGCGCGTGGACCCAGGGCACGGGCAGCCCACTTCCCCACCCGCGGGTGGTCCTGCTGGAGGGCGGCAGCCTGGGCGCCCGACACCCTGTGAGGGAGGCGTGGGTTGTGTTGTGTCCACAGACAGAGGAGGAGTGTGGGAAGGGGAACACTCGGGGCGGGCCCGAGGGGCGGTGCTGGCTTTCCCAAGGGGCCACCCTGGCATCGGGCCTGTGATGAGCTGGGGGAGCCCAGGGAGGGAGGCCGGCCGGCGGGTGCACGGCCACAGGGCCCGCCGCTCTGACGTCTCTCTCCCCTTCCAGTCGGACATATACTTCACAGCCACCGCGGCCGAGCACGAGGGCCGGTCTGCGGGCAGCTCCAAGGCCGCCAGTGCCCACAACTCTCCCCAGACGCCGCCAGGCCGAGATGCTGCCGTGTCTCCTTCTTCCCTGGGGGAAGGTGAAGTCCGGTTTTTACTGTCTTATTCATAGGTATTTTTAATCCACTCACTGTCAGATGTCAGCGTGTGATTAGCGCCTAAGAAAGACACTATTTAAAACCAGGAAAAAAAAAACTTGTATTCTGAATGCTTTGGTTGCATTCTTAAGAAACTTGGTGATCATGTAAAGAAAAATCCCATCATGGAAAAAATTGTTTCAATGGAGAGAAGTGGGGGCTGAGAGCGAGAGAGGTTCTGACTTGCCAAGAAAAGTTACTTTCCCTTCAGGCATGTTAACCAGAGTGGGTTTTATAACCACCAGGATAAGGCCAGGAAACCTACACGTGACTCGGCTCACCCAGCCGTGCACTCTGCCTGGCTTCGCACGTGAAGCCCAGAGGCCTTTGCCGTGGCTCCCGGTCGCTCTGGACCCAGCTTCCCCCAGCCTCTCGCCACATCAGGCCCCCGTGTGGCTCCCGGTCACAGTGAAGCACGAGCTGCCCAAGCAGCCTCCGTGCAGCGGGGGGCCGGCAGCTGCTCGCGGTTCCCATCTGCTTTGCCTCCGTGCAGGGAGCCAGTACTGGGTGCATTTTATCCACTTCACCCTTGAGAACGGGGGGCCCTTGGGAAAAACAGAGCGGTGGGCACCCTCCCTTGACTGCTCCTAACGGGACTCGGCCGATCAGCAGGCGACATGCAGTCTTCCTCCGGGCTAACTCCGCTGAGGTGCTAGAGATCACCCTCTAGTAAATCGCATGAAGTTTTCTCAAAGTTCTGATGTTCTTTTCTAAATCACATTTCAGGCGAAATTCAGTCAAAAAATCTGTACAAGATTCCACTCAGAAACCTGGTCGGCAGAAGCATCGAGCGGCCTTTGAAGTCGCCCTTAGTCTCCAAGGTCATCACCCCACCCACCTCCATCAGCGTGGGCATTGCGGCCATCCCTGTCACTCACTCCCTGTCCCTGTCCCGGATGGAGATTAAAGAAATAGCGAGCAGGACCCGCAGGGAACTGCTGGGTAATGGCTCTCAGTGTTTTTGTTGTCACTGCTGGTCAATATGCCAGCTGGTTTCATCTTTGGACATTCATGATCCTCAAAAACAATGAGTTGAAAGGAAAGCTCCCCTTCAGTACAGGATTTATAAGTAAATTACAGTGCGCCCCCACCAAGGGGTGCAGCCCATCACACCCCCAACAACAGCGGCTCAGTCTGGATGTAGTGCTGTGGGGAGCGGCCCACACTGTGGGGGAGGGAAAGGCAGTTTGTTAATAGTATGTCTAGTCTGATACAGTTAAAAAAAATAATAATATATATATATTATTTCCTAGATAAGTATCTAGAAGGATGTATATATCCTACAGTTCTGAGATAACATTTGATATTCGTATCTCCATAAGTTTAAATTTACCACATTTGTCGACATTTGTGGGACAGTTCAGGTATCACTTCTCCAAGCCCCTGGACCGTGGGGACAGGTATGTGGGGTGGACGGGGGCAGACACGTGCTCCCAGGCAGCTGGAAAAGGCTAACTTGTTGGAGCACCTGTGGCTCCCAATTGTGAAAACAAAATGAGGGAAATGGAAGTAATGCTTTAAGCCAGAAAGAACTCAAATGAGGACCTGCATGGAGTCCAGCTAGAGGGACAGTGGCCTTAGCACATGCCCGCCCAGGGTCATGTTTCCTGAACAGAGAAGGGGATCCCGGCCCCCCAGGGGGGTGCAGGCTTTGACACTGGCAAAGGCGGTTGGTTTCAGCAGTCAGTGCCCCCCGCTGTGCTTTTATAATATGTGTGTTGCTATTTTTAACCCACCGTGCCCTGTGAAAACTTGATCTCTGACCACTGTTGTACAAGCCACAATGCTTTTCTGAGATACAACTGAACTGAGTTGCAGAACTAGTTTCCAGTGCTGGGATTCTAGACCTTCCCTCCTTCATTTGACTTGATTCTCTCTAGTTGAGTCTTAAAAATTTTCAGCAAGACATATATTCTTTATAATCAGGGGGGAAGAGCCTTCCACCTTCAAGAAAAACAATTATTTCAATACATACTTTTTCTTCCGCCTTCCTGACCGTATCCCAATAATGCACCAATTCCCAACCAGAAGGAAAAGGGCCTTTTCTGTCTCCGTGGCGGCCCCTGGTGGCGGCCCTCTGACCTCTGCTTCTGCCCTGCAACCCAGGCCTCTCCGACGAAGGCGGACCCAGGCCGGAAGGAACACCGAAGGCCAAATCCAAAGCCCGGAAGCGGTTAGAAGAAAGCCAGGGAGGTCCCACACCAGGGGCAGTGAGGTCAACTAGCAGCGACAGGTAAAGAAAAGCAGCCCTGCAGCCCCTGCTCAGGGCAGTGGCCCTTCGAGTCACGGCACTTCCCCGAGGCCCCTCGAGCAGAGCAGCCGCAGCTCAGGGCTCCCAGAGAGCACAGCCTGCCAGGGAAGGGCCCCGGCAAATGGGCGACCTCACCAGCAATCCAACAAACGCTCATTAAAACACAGTGAGACAGCTTCATATTTTTCCTCACCATATTTATTGACAGGGGTGTTTTTAAAACAAAAATGCCCTGTACTAGTGATGGGAAAGGGCACTTCTGCAAAGCTTGTGGTAGGAATGGCCACAGCCACAGCCTCTCTGGGTGGCAGTTTAGTGCCGCAGGCCAGTGAGTACGTGTCAGTCCCCCCAATCTGTCCCCTGAGGTCCTCTGTGTCCCTGAAGCAATATCACCACACTCCATGCATTCCACATGCATTCGCGGAGTGCCTGGCACTCCAGCTGGGTTTTGGGGCCAGAGATGACCTTCAGGGGCTTCCCAAGCCCGTGGGGAAGACCAACAAGGACATTCCAGGAAGCACAGCATTTCTGGGTGGCAGGTGGTACAGCGGAATGCAGGGTGCCGTCCACCCCACACCTGGGGCAGGGAGGGCCTCAAACATCAGGAGAGTGGAAGGTCTGTTTTGGGGAGTGGATCAAGGAAGGCTTCCTTGAGGAGGTGGCACTGAGCTGAGCAAGAGACACACAAATGGGAAGAGGCTGGAGGGTCCGCAGGGCCTGTGGCTCCATGGCCCTGTGGCCCTGTGGGTAGGAGTTTCAGCCTTAACCTCAGGCCATGGGGACCACGGGTGGGTGTGAGGTGAAGAGTGATTTCCCCACGATGGGCACCTGAGAAAGGTAAATAATGCCTCGCCCACACCTCCGATACCACCACTGGCCTTTAACACCCTCACTGATCCATGGGGTAGGGCTCTCGGACTGCAGGCCTCAAGCTGTGTCGGGATGGGGGTGACCCCGGCACGCCCCCACCACTCCCCTAGTGGGTAGGGGAGACAGGCCTGGGAGCTCAGATGAGCAGGACACCACCGCCAGGCAGCAGGCCCAGCTCAGGGCTGCTCCCAGCGATCCTTCCCAGTGACTTTTCTCTCCTAGGCTCACGTCGGGCTCCTTGGAAAGCCCCTCTGCTGCCGAAGCCAATCCCGAGGGGCCTTGCCAGTCAGCAGGCTCCGACCAGGACCCTGGGGCAGACAGAGAAGGGAGCCCCGTCTGGGGCAGCAGCCCCTTCCAGCTCACGGCCTCCTCGGACGAAGACACTATTGACTTGAAGTGAACAGAGCGCGAGTGGAGTTTGCCACCTTTAACTTTCTTACGGAGGTTTATACTCTTGAACCAGTGCAGACACCCTTTCTCAACGAAATGCGGCTTTGAGCCTGTCGAGATCTAGTGGACCAAACCTTTGCACCCTCGGCCAGTCTGGGTCACTCTCTAGCGTCCAGTGCCATCTCTCTCAACCTCTGTTTCTTTCTGTTCAGGAGCCATCCGTCCCCTTGTAATACAGGTGGTAGATTTCACTGAGGTTTTAGATTGAAACTTTGAATAAATCAAAAAATGTTCATTCTTACTTATGGCAGCCTTCTTTTATATTCCATATACCTAGATGAGAAAATTATTTTTATTACTGTTTTTTTGGCATACGATGTGTTTCTTTTGTAAAGGAAAGTCGTTGCTCTTCAAATGTATTCTAAACACGGTTTCCTCCTGCACCCGTGGCCCCGTCACCGTTTCAGGTCCGAGTTTGGAACCAGCTCCATTCCTGCCCGTGGACTCTTGAGAAAAGCTGACCCACTAGGTCTCAGAAGCTCCTGTTTTCTTCCTCCTTGGGTCTCACGAAAAACCATAAGGTATAGGAAGGAGCTTGTTAAGAGTCTAAAGATGGTTTTGTTGGGTTTTATTGTTACTCCGAAATCATACAACCAGAGAACAGTTATCAACATCCTTCTCAAGTTCATTCCTCTTGTTCAGGTCTGCTTTCTTTTTTCACGTGAACCAAATGATTATCCTTCCTCTTGTTGTTTATCTGTCTTTCGCTGCTCCCTCTGCAAAGTAAGAAAATGTGGGTTTGGCCAAGTGCAACTGAAACAATAGAAGGGCTAATGCTCTAGCCAGGACAGATCAAAGGAGGGACCTAGTTTCACTGACTGTAAAAACCTTCACATTCGAAGGAGGTAATTTACTTAGGCTTTAATCTGATAATTCAATTTCATTATGTCCCTTCTCTACTATTTCAACTATATTACCCACCACAAGGTACTTAAAGCCTTACCCCGTTAAAGCGGCTCTGAGTCCTTCTGCAGGTCTTCTCCATAAGCACAGAGACCTGTGTGGGACCTTGATCTGCCAAATATCTGATCCTGCCTCCCCACCGACCTCACACAGTGCGGGGAGCTCTCCTCCCTGCCTGTTGCCCAAGTGGTTCGACATGATATGAATTTAAACTGAAGGCTGCCTGCCTCCCTTCAGCAGAAGGTGAGAGGCCAGAGTCAGAAAGTAAATTAGTCAGAAAGTAAAGACAGTGCTTATAGGTGCGCCCGAGTGGGGCGAGTACAACCCATGTGCCTTCTCTCGGTCTTGGTGGAGCTCAGCTTCACCGTTCTTCCTCGGTGTCCGTTACACCCTCTTCACACACAGGCGGAATCACACACTCCACTGCGTCCTGCACCTTGACCCCACCAAAAGTCTCCTGAGCTAGGTTTTGTTGTTTTTTACTTTTCAAAGTAGGGCACCGGCTCAGAAGCGAGCAGTGGCTGGAACCTGTGAGGTCTCTGGCCCCAGAGCTGGGCTCTCCCCACTGACCACCATACAGAGCCAGGCCGAGCCATGGTGTCCCTTGGGTCTGGCTGATGTTCATGTCAAACTAACTTGTGTTTATATGTGTGTGGGTTTTTTTCTGTCAACTTTTCCCCCTGAAGTTTCTTGCCTCTCAGCCTGGAATAGAAAAACCAAAGGCTTTTTAGACCATTTAGAGCAAAGATTGGCAGCATCAGCGTCACCCATGATGTGACACAAGTCACAGGTCTGAGGAATAAATGCAGAAAAGGCAAAAGGTGGTGCTTAGCTCATCCAGTGCAGGAAGAGGCTGCACTGACAGCAGTACTGGCTTGCAGTGGTCACGAAGTGGACAGGGCGAGAGCGGGTTTGGGGGCTGGTGGCTCAGAGGGCTGGCCGGCGCTAGCTGGGCTCCCTGGAGCATCCTGGTTATGTAAGCATCTCTGCATACGCCCTGGTGAGTTACAAAATAAACTGTCTCACTGAGCAGTTTACCCACGGACTTTGTCATGCATCCACTCTGCAAGCATCCAGCGCTATCTGGGCAAGGAGGTCACGTGCATTGGAGGAGGGAGCAGAATAAACAGGTGATCACAGCTAAAGCTGTGATAAGAAGGTATACCTCTACCGAGAGCACGAGATGCCGCATGGAGCCCAGAGAAGTGGCCTGTCTTTAAAGGTGTTTCAGTCAGGTGACTGCACTAGAGCATACAACTACCATGATCACATTGGCTAGCATTCATGCTCGGTGTTTATGTACATTGCCCCTACTCAAAAGTCTCCTGGAAGACAGGTACTGTGATCCCCATGTAGAGATGAGGAAACACAGGCCCCGAGAAAGATTAGAAGCTACGGTAAGCTTCTTACTGGCAGCCCCAGTTCTTTCCAGAATTAAACATCACTCCACTGCAGGGGTCTGCACCCAGAGTGTCCGTACAAATGGCGCGGTTCTCCCAAACCCTGGCCTCATTCATCCTTACTTCAGCAGTGACTCGGGTGGACACCTAGAGAGGCTGGCTACTAACATCCACAGGGGACCCAAAGCTGGGAGGTATTTGAATGAAAGTTCAAGAAGTCAGGATTACCTGTGAAGTGAGTGGAATTTAGGGAACCTGGAGCTCACCACTTAAGCCCTGATCAGTCCTACACAAGAGGTATGGGGAACTCCGGGTCCCCAGCACCTGGAGGTCCTAGTCATCGTAGGCTCTGTAGCCGTCGACAATCTTAGGACTCCCAACTGATGAGCTGCACGAAGGTAGGCTGCCTAGTGCAGGGCCGCGCCTCCGCCCCCCGCCCCCCAGCAGCCAAGCTGGAGCCCCTGGGCCAGGCTCTGCGTCTGAGAGGAGAGTGACACACAGCAGTCATTTGGATAACACCAGCCCCGCGGCTCTCGGGGGGGCAATGAAGGACAAGGCGGAGGGGCCAGTCCCCTCCAACTCAGGCCCTAGAGCAGCGGTTAACACCAAGCAGGAACAGCAGACAGTCTACAGGACTGGCAACCCCCAGAGTGGGTACTGGAAGTCCTGGGCGTGACCCACGTACTCCGCCTTCGTCCGGCTCCTAGCTCCATTGGTTGAAACAAGACCTGCCCTCCTCCCTCATTGGCCTGCTCGGTCAATGGCAGCCATTTGACCCCGCCTGGCTCGCACCACACTCGTATTGGATGATTTGCTCAAGGCCCCCAGAGCCTCCAGGAGACGCTCATTGGCCGGCTCCGCTGGGAGAGGCTGGTGCGGACATCAGTAGCGGGGCTCCTGGCAGTTCAGGCTTCAGAGCGGACCCAGCAAGCGTTGGCCGCGGACATGACGCCTGAGGACAGGGTAGAGACCCAGCCTCTCCTGCGGCCGCCCGGCGGCAGGTGAGCGGGCTGGAGAGCCAGGACCCGAGACGTGGCTTCGCCCCTCTCTCGGCGCCCAGGCCGGCGCCACTCACCCACCGCCTTATCCCCGCAGCGTTCCCCGCGGCCGCCACGTCTTCCTTGCCTCCTTCGCCGCTGCCCTCGGCCCGCTCAGCTTCGGCTTCGCGCTCGGTTACAGTTCCCCTGCCATCCCGAGCCTGCGGCGCGCCGTGCCGCCGGCCCCACAGCTGGACGACGAAGCTGCTTCATGGTTTGGGGTGAGACCTCCGGCTGGTACACTACCTCTTTCACCCCGAAGACGGGCTCCGGGTCCCTCCACCCCATCCCCTGGAAGGGCACTGGGACCCTCCACGCCCACCCCCTAGGACACGTGATGAGACTTTCCCCTGCCGACGTCACTCTCTCCCAGACCATCAGCAAGGGCATTAATCCCCTTCTTTCCCAGGCCACTGGGAGTGGGATGGCGGGCGAGATTGCCCTATGATCCCCTAGCGGGGCGCCCCCTCCTCAGCCGGCGATTGCCCCCAGGCCATCGTGACGCTGGGAGCTGCGGCTGGAGGTGTGCTGGGCGGCTGGCTGGTGGACCGCGCAGGGCGCAAGCTGAGCCTCCTGTTCAGCACCGTGCCTTTCGTGACCGGCTTTGCCGTCATCACCGCGGCGCAGGACCTATGGATGCTGCTGGGAGGCCGCCTCCTCACCGGCCTAGCGTGTGGCATTGCCTCGCTAGTGGCCCCGGTGAGTGGTCCCTAGCCTCAGGCCCTAGGACGGGGAAAAAAGGAAAGACCTTGGGACAGAGTTCTCCCCTGGGCCTCCTGGGTGGCCCTTATCTGCTTTATCTCTCTTATGGGGCAGTGGGCCTCGGCAAGAGCTGCTGTTATTAACCCGTTTGCAGATGAAGTGAGTTTCAGAAAGGTGAAGTCCTTTGTCCAGGCTCAAGTAGGCAGTGATGAAGCGATTGCCCAGGATTGTGCCACTTAACCCGGCTTTCCCTTCGCTCTACAAATAAGATGGCATTTGTGGGTGGTCAGCGGAAGCCTCACAGTACAGCCCAGATGGCCTTTATCATCCCCTTTACTACAGTTTAGCAAGAAATTCCTGTCAGGTTTGTCCCAGGGGCACAGGCCCCTCCCACCTGCCACACCCCTTCCCTGCTCCACACACCAGTCCTCCCGCCCCTTCCCTGCTTCTCTGCCAGTGCCTGAGCCAGCACTGTCCGAGCTGCTCCTACCAGCTCACATCCTGGCTCTGCCCCTTCCCTAAGCAGAGCACCTCTCCAGGCCTCAGTTCCCTCCCCTGTACAGTGAGTGACAGGTTACCTCATGCAGTGGGCAAGGAATCAGAGAGACACTGCACATTAGCCCTGTGAAGGCCTTGGACCCTGGCAGCTGGGGTGACTGGTGAACCGCTGCTGGCCGTGGGCTTGGATGATCCACCACCCACACCCTAGCCTGGTCGAGACTGACAGCACCCACACGGGTCCTCCTTGGCTGTCCCTGTTCACCTGCAGTCGTTGGGCAGCTGGGTTGGATTTTATGTTGGGGGTTTTTACTGGACAAAAACACACTGGAGTCATGAACGTAAGGTATGGAGTAACCCAGAAGTATGGGCAAGACCTTTCTGGCCCCTGAGCCCAGTCACCAGTAGCCACTGAAGCAAAGAGTTCCTGTATTAACTCCCAGGGCACCCCACCAGCAGCCCGGGTGTCACCTGGAACTAGTTAGAAAGGCAGGATGCGGGGCCGCGCTCCAGACCTACTGCACCAGAATCTGCATTTTATCCAGGGGAGCGATACCATTACATAAAAGTTTGTAAAGCTCTGTGCCCCCACCCACCCAGCCACCTACACACAGCAGCCATACACACACACACACACATATGTGTGTGTATATATATACCATGAATCCCCTTGAAACCCCTGCCGCAGATCACTTGGTGGGGTGCAGGGAGCTATGAGGAAGGCCCTGACCTGCGGCTTATAATTAGTGGCCCTCCAGGCCTGCAACTCCCGTCTTACTTGCTGACAGGTCTACATCTCCGAAATTGCCTACCCGGAGGTGCGAGGCCTGCTCGGCTCCTGTGTGCAGCTGATGGTCGTCACAGGCATCCTCCTGGCCTACCTGGCAGGTAGAGTTTTCACATGATCTCTTTTGATTCCTGTTAATGGGCACTTTACAAATATATAGAAACTAAAGTACAGAGAGGTCACAGGACTTTCCCAGGGTCCCACAGCCTGTACTCAAGGTGCTAGGTTCCCTGATCCCCTCCCAGAGACCCTGGGATGTGTGGGCTCCTGAAGAGCTGAAGAAGGCGATGTCCTCATCCTCCGAGGCGGGAGCCCATCCCTAGGGCCTGGGGAGGGCTGACCGGTTAGGTTAGCACCATGCTGGGCAGCAACAGTCCAACGACTCCAGGCGCAGAGGGGGCACCCCTGAAATCTTCAGCCCAGGAGCTCAGAGGTCCCAAGCCTGCCTCGCTCAGAAATATCAGGACTGGATTGGCAGCACGAAGGAGGCAGATTCCAGGAGACCTGAGGTCAGAGCTGGGGCCTGCAGTGGAGACAGCCGTGTTTCCACCAGACCTGGGGTAGAAAGAGGCCAGGCTCCGCATCTGACAGCCCCACGCCAATAGAGGGCCTCCGCTCCTTCCTGGCTGGGCAGCCTTGGCCTACTCACACAGCTTCTGGGAGCCTCAGTTTCCCTGTCTGTAAGCAGGGGTAACCCCCCTCTTCCAAGGCTGCTGAGGGTTTAAACTCAGTGCCACGTGAAAAGCAGCTGGCGGCAGACCCTGGATGAGGGTTTTCCAGGGGCAGCCTGAGAAACACGGGGAGGGCCAGGGGTTGGGGGCTGGCAGGCCTGATGGGTGTGGCAAGGCCTGGGCTGCGGGCTGCAGGGGTCTTTAAAGTGGTCGATAGGCAGGTCCACGGTCTTTCATTTTCACCCACTTACCATCCTGACTCTAACTCAGAGTCCTGCCTGTAGTCCGGCTGCTGTGGGGGCCCAGCATGTGCCAAAGCCCTGCCATGTACAGACACTGGCATTTGGGACAAACTCATGGGTGTCGAGACACCCATGAAATTATCTCCACTTCATCATAATGTGCCCTTGCATTGACCACTTCCTGTGACTTATGATCCTCTGCCATTCAGAGAAAAGTCCCCCCGCCCCGTGCCCCTTCCTCTCCAGGGCACCAGCCTTGCCTGCCTCTGGTGCCCTCCTGGGGTCGGCATGAGGACTGGATGGGGAACACACATATTGATTTTCCCGCCCTGAAATGTCACATGCCCGGTGCCAAGTCATACCCATCCTTGCACAGTAAGCGCCTCGTTCTTTGTGTAACGGCTCCGTAAATGTTCACCGAGCAGGCGCAGCGTAACGATGTACCCCCATCATTTCTGCAGTCAGCAATAGTGACAATATTAGTAACCAACTCCAGGGAGCCATGTGGAGGTAGTGAGGCCCCCACCCTTTAGGCTGAGTCCCTGGGGCTGGTGAGGGGCCGGCTTGCCGGGGCTCGGACATCTGATCCTCCGTGTCCAGGCTGGGTCCTGGATTGGCGCTGGCTGGCCGTGCTGGGCTGTGTGCCCCCCTCCTTCATGCTGCTGCTCATGTGCTGCATGCCCGAGACCCCGCGCTTCCTGCTGACTCAGCACCAGCGCCAGGAAGCCTTGGCCGCTGCGCAGTTCCTGTGGGGCTCCGAGCAGGGCTGGGAAGAGCCTTCTGCTGGGGCTGAGCACCAGGTGAGGGGCTAGTAGGCGGAGCTGCAGGACGGGGTCAGTGTGGCATCACCCCTTTGCAGCCAGGGAGGCCGCACAGCCAGTTCCCAAGGATGTACACACATGCACGGGCAGGGGGTGCCATGTTGTCCTGCGTGCCAGCAAGCAAAGGCCTGCTTGAGCCCCATGGCTCGGCGGGGCCCTGGCCTGGCAGATCGCTGGGAAAGCCTGGCCTTCAATCTTACTGAAAAGAAAGCCCAGGCCGGGTCCCAGGGACACGAGGGCAGAATTGAGGACTCGGATTTGCACCTGGGGGTTACGTAGCAGGGGAGGAGATGGAGTCTGTGCCACGTACCTGCGGTGTGTCTGTCCTGTCATTAAGCCTTAGTTTCTTCATGTGACACAGGAGTCCCAGCACAGGCCTAGTGGTGGCAGTGGAGGAGAGGCTTTGTTGGGCTGGGGGGATTCTGGACCCCCTGGCTCTCTGCCCACATGCTCTCATGGTGGCTCCCCTAGCAAATCAGGAAGGGGTGTGCAGGCATGAGGATCTCGTCACCCTTACAAATGGGGAGGCTGGAGTGGTGCAGAGGGGGCCACGGCAAGAAGCTGAGGCTCACTTCTCCCACCAGGCCTGAGGGTGGTGGGCCCAAAACCAGGGGGCCCTCGGGAGCCCTGATGCCTCATTTCTGTCGAGCAGGGCTTCCGCCTGGCCCAGCTGAGGCGTCCTGGTGTCTACAAGCCCTTCGTCATTGGCATCTCGCTGATGGTCTTCCAGCAGCTGTCTGGGATAAACGCTGTCATGTTCTACGCAAAGACCATCTTCGAGGAAGCCAAGTTAAGGGTAAAGAGGCCTTGCCCAGCTCACCTTGTCCGGGTGCCATGTGGGTGCGGCCGAGTCCCCAGGCCTTTGCCAGACCCACCTCTGCCCTCCTCCCCAGGACAGCAGCCTGGCCTCCGTGGTTGTGGGCGTCATCCAGGTGTTGTTCACCGCCATGGCGGCCGGCATCATGGACAGAGCCGGGCGGAGGCTGCTCCTGGCCTTGTCAGGTGAGGCCAAGGGCTGGGCTCAGCCCCTGCAGGGGTGCGGCCCGGGCTAGATCCCCGGCAGGGGCTGGAGGGTCTTTACTGAGACCACGGCATGTTTCAAGGAGGAGGGACGCGTCCCTGAGAACCAGAAGGACATTTAACGGGAGCGCGCACTGGGGGGTGCTCTCTGCAGACCAGGCCTGCGTGTGCGGTGTCCCCGCATCGCACCTGAACCTTGAACCTTTGCCAAGGACCTACAAAGAAAGTGCCACCACGGCCCCAATTCATGATGAGGGAACTGAGGGCCCTGGAGGGGAAGTGGCTTGGAAGCTTGTGGCCTTTGGGGGCAAGTGACTTCACCTCTCTGCCCCTCGGTTTCCCCCGGGCAGTGGGGGTACTGGTGGCCCGTCGTGAGGAGCAGGGGATGGTCCGCGTGTGCCCCCGAGCACGTGCTGACACCCACGAGCCCCCTGTTGGGTGAAGCTGTTGGGAAAGGCGGGGTCCAATGGTGTGCCGCCTCTCTCACAGCTCCCGCCCCTCAGGCTGGGGGGCCCTGCTTTGGGGAGCTTGTTGGAGTTCGTTGAGGTGTAAGGTCCAAGCCAGGGCTGGTCTGGGGCGGATGCTGCCCAGTCAGGGCTCCCGGGTGCCGCTCACAGCCCCTCTCAGAGGTGTCGAGACCAACCTCCAGCAGTGGGCACACTGGGTGGACCCCTGCTGCAGGGGCCGCCTCCCCCAGTGCCTGCCCACCCCCCACCTCCCCGCCCCTGCCCACAGGTGTGGTCATGGTGGTCAGCAGCAGTGCCTTTGGCGCCTACTTCAAGCTGACCCAGGGCGGCCCCAGCAACTCCTCACTCCTGGTACCCGTCTCCATGGAGCCGGCTGACGCCAGCGCAGGGCTGGCCTGGTTGGCGGTGGGCAGCATGTGCCTCTTCATTGCTGGTGAGAGGGGCCAGTGGGGAAGTCGGGTGGGGACCGATGGGGCACCCTGTCACTGCAGGGTTCCTGTGGCTTCCAGCGAGTCCAGGCCTACCTGGCTTGCCTGTCCACCTAGGCCCCCAACGCTGCATTTATAGCTCTGACCATGTGCCAGGCACCGAGCGAAGCCCTTGTCTGCCCTCTCACTAATGCCCATGTCAGTGTGCTGAGTAGGCCCCTTGGGATCCCATTCTACAGAGAAGGGGCCCGAGCGTAGGAAGCAAAGAGGGTGGCCTGAGACCTCAGAGCAGGAGGGCTCAGAGCTGCCGGGCCCAGGCCGGAACCCAGGCCCCCTCGGCCACACCAGGCAGCCCAGTGAGGCGCCAGCCCCAGGCTTTGCAGCCAGCGGACAAGCCCAGCCCCTGAGGGTCCTGACGCCTGTCGTGCTCCCACAGGCTTCGCTGTGGGCTGGGGGCCCATCCCCTGGCTCCTCATGTCTGAGATCTTCCCTCTGCACGTCAAGGGTGTGGCCACCGGCGTCTGCGTCCTCACCAACTGGCTCATGGCCTTCCTGGTGACCAAAGAGTTCGGCAGCCTCATGGTGAGTATGGGCGCTGGTGGGCGCCCCCCACAGTCAGCAGAGAGCACGTGTTAGAATTGCTCTCGGTACAGAAGATTCAGGACCCACGGCCTCAGGTACAGGCTGGGCCCCACCTGGGCACTCTGGCTGTCTTGGAGCAGGGAGGGGAAGACAGATGGGCCGGTGCAGGGAGGGACCTCTCAGGCCGTCTCGGTGGAAGACAGCAGGAGGGGCCTCCCCACTGGACGCCGGGCACGCAGGTCGGGAAGTGGGGCTTTGGGGTGGGCAGGCCTAACTTGGCCGTTTCCCTGCTGCCTGCCTTCTCTGAATCAGCTTCCTTGGCTGAAAACAGGAGGGGCTGAGGCACCCTCCTCTTGCGGGTGATGGGAACATCAGTCTAGTTGGACGTCTTGCTGCCTTCTCATAGATGAGCTGACACAGACATGGTCCCTGCCCAAGGGGCTTCCCAGCCCCTCAGGGGGTGGGGTGCTGGCCAATAGTCATTTATTCCCCCAGGGTTCCTGGTACATGCCACACCCAGGCTTGTTCCAAAGACAGGCAGGATGAGATGGCCACAGTCCCCTTTATGACAAAGGCTGGGGCAACAGCGGACGGTGGTGGGAGAATGGACCTGCTAGAGGCCGGGTTGGGCTGGAGAAGCAGGCCCCAGGAGGCATAAATGCCCAGGGCTGGCCTGGAGTCCACCAGGAGCTGGGGCCCATTCAGGCAGCTGCCCTGGGAAAGAAGAGCTGACAAGGGAGGGGCCTGTGGTTCTGGGGCTTGGGAGGTTGCTGGGGCTGGGCTGGGAGGGTGGGAACTGCTTGCTCTTCCCTCTGTGCCTCCGGGCCCTGAATGTCCGTGTGTGCTCACACCGCCCCGTCTCCACCTGCTGTTAGCTCACCTATTTCCTCTGGTTCCGGTTCCGAGACGAGAGACTTCTCTGCGGGCCGGGACCTCGGAGGGCAGGGCCAAAGCTCAGTGCAGAGAGTAGGTCTGCGGGCTCTGGAGTCAGAGCCAGGGCATGCGGGCCCAGCTGTTGCTTGGTGATGCGCCTGACCTGGGAGTAGTTACTTCATCACAGTGAGCTTCAGTCTCCCCAGCATACAACATCCACACCTTGGCCAGCGCTCAGCCCTGAGCCTGGGCGGGGCAGGCTGGGGCCCAGGTTGGGGATCACGTGAGGGCCCCGAACCTTCTACCAGGGTCACCCAGGGCTTCCTCTCTCTGCAGGAGGTGCTCAGGCCCTACGGTGCTTTCTGGCTCGCCTCGGCCTTCTGCATCCTCAGTGTCCTTTTCACTTTGTCCTGTGTCCCTGAGACCAAAGGAAAGACTTTGGAGCAAATTACAGCCCATTTCGAGGGGCGATGACAGCCCCGTCCCAGGAGTGGCTGCCCCTCCTAGCTGGGCCACTTTGGACTTCGGAGGGGACAGAGCCTGCCTGTGACCTTGAGCTGGGCCCCTGCCAGAGCCCAGAGCCCTGTCTGCCCTCAGGGAGCCAGGATCCAGGACCAAAGCACCTCGCAGCCTCGTCCTCCAGGTCCCTCCTTCCTGCCCAGGTCTCTCCAGCCCCATGAGCCATGGGCAGGAGGTTCCCGGTCCCTGGGTCAGTTCTTGCTGCTGCTCTGAGACTGGGAAGGAGGGGACATCTCGGAGGGTCTTGGCTGCCCCATGGCCAGACCTCCACGTGCCCTCGCTGTCATGACACGAAAGCGACAGTGGAGGAGGGGACTTGTGGCTCCTTGTTCTCTGGAGGAGGTGCCTTTGCAGGCTGGGTGGTGGCCCATGGTCTCCTCACCGGGCTGCTTTACCAAAAAGGAACTACGTTTGCCAAATAAAGATTCAACTCAGAAAATCAGGTCATGGCCTCTCTGTGAGCCACAGTTTGAGAAGGGCGTTTTCCTGTCTTTCCACAAACCGACCTTGCCAAGAACACTCACAGGCTTGCTTCCCATTCCATAACCTGCTTTACTCACTCGCCAGGCTGTGCAGCCCCAAGTGCGCTCACCTTGGCATCTTCTATCGGTTCTCATGAGGCTGGAGGGTGGGCCCATGGTCCAGGGCAGAGCGGGACCCCAGGGTTAGTTTCCAGAAGATCCTGCAGGACAGCTCTCAGCTTTAGCAAGATCCAAATTCCTGGGAGCCTTCCAGAGGTGAGGTTGCCTCCCCCATGTGGTTAACTGCCCACCTATGTCATCATTCATGCTGCATGGTGGGCCCTTGATGAGGCTGAGAACCGCACTGTGGTGTTGGCTGGAATGTGCCCCAAACGCCAGTCAGTGTAGGGGCGTGGCTCGGGGCTCTGACGTGCAGGCTGGTTTTCTGTCCACTTGATGGTGCACCAGCTGTAGCGAGAGCGCTGCATGCGCAGACATCTCACCTGCAGCTCTGCGGGGGCTGCTTCCTCCGGCAGCTGGAGGCGCTCGTACAGGTGCGGCACATTGGACTGTTACGCCCCCTGACGGATGTGTCCTTTATCTTTATGAAACGGCCTTCCCTCTCTCCCTGGCAGCAGCCCTTGTTCCGAGCTCTTCTCTGTCCGGTATCAGTGTAACTGCTGCCACTTTCTTTTGGCTGGAGTTTCGCGAATCATTTTTTTTGCAGCATCCTATACTTTTTGATGGAGTGCTGTTTGGCTTTCTCTGAGGATTAATACTTTCACTTTATTTTTTCAATTTTATTATTTTTATGGATTATAGTATTACGGTTGTCCCAACTTTCCCCCTTTGCCCCCCTCCACCCAGCACCTCCCACTCCCTCCAGCGATCCCCCCTCCTTTGTTCACGCCCAGGGGTCATGCATATAGGTTCTTTGGCTGCTCCATTTCCTGTACTTGCTCTTAACATCCCCCTGCCTATTCTGTAACTACCTAATTGCACTCCTTAACCCCTTCACCTTTCCCCATCCCCCCGACCCCCTCCCCACTGAGCTCCATCCCAACGTTCTCATATCTGTGATTCTGTTTCTGTTCTGCGTGTTGGCTTAGATTGTTCTTTAGATTTAGTTGTTGGCAGTTATGTATTTATTATCATTTTAATGTTCATAGTTTTGATCATCTTTTTCTTAAATATGTCCCCTTAACATTTCATGTAATAATGGTTTGGCAATGATGAACTCCTTTACCTTTATCTTCTCTGGGAAGTACTTTATCTGCTTTTCAATTCTAAGTGACAGCTTTGCTGGGTAGAATAATCTATGTTGTAGGTCCTTGCTTTTCATCACTTTGAATATTTCTTGCCAGTCCCTTCTAGCCTGCACAGTTTGGTTGTTTTTTTTTGTTTTGTTTTTTTGAGAAATCAGCTGATAGGAAATCCTTTGTAGGTAATTATTTGCTTTTCTCTTGCTGCTTTTAAGAGTCTCTCTTTACCTAACCTTTGGCATTTTAATCATGATGTGTCTTGGAGTGGGTCTCTTTGTGTCCATCTTGTTTGGGACTCTGTGCTTCCTGGACTTGCATGTCCATTTCCTTCACCAAAGTAGGGAAATTTTCTTTCATTATTTTTTCAAGTAGATTTCCAATTTTTTGCTCTTTCTCCTCTCCCTCCGGCACCCCTAGGATGTGAATGTTGGAACGTTTGAGGTTGTCCCAGAGGCCGCTTATGCTATCTTCGATTTTTTTGGATTCTTGTTTGCTTGATTGTTTGTTTTTGTTCTGGTTGCTTGTTTTTTGCTTCCTTATGTTCTAAATCATCGGCTTGATTCTCAGCTTCATCCATGGTACTGTTGTTTCCCTGTATACTGTTCTTTATTTCAGTTAGTGAATCTTGCATTTCTGACTGGATCTTTTTTATGCTGCTGAGGCCCTCACTAAGTTCTTTGAGCGTCCTTATAACTAAAGTTTTGAACTCTGCATCTGATAGATCGTTTATCTCCATTTCATTTAGCTCATTTTCTGGAGCTTTGATCTGTTCTTTCATCTGGGCCACGTCTCTTTGTCTCCTCGTTTTGGCAGCCTCCCTGTGTTTGTTTTCTGTGTATTAGGCAGAGCTGCTCTGCCTCCTGGTCTTGGTAGTGTGGCCTAATGTAATAGGCGTCCTGTAGGGTCCAGTGGCCCGGCCTCCCCTTTCACCCAGTCTGGGTTCTCAAAGTGGGCCCTTCATGTGCGCTAAGTAAACCCTCCTCTTGTAGTCGGGCCTTGGTTGCTGTTGGCAGATCAATGGGAGGATTTGCCCAGGCCAGTCAGCTGCAAGGATTGGCTGTGATCACTGACCACCAACCTCCCCCCTCCATAAAGGATCAGCTGTGCAGGGGCAGGGCGGTGGTGCTCTGATGGGCCTATAGATGTCCGCTGGGTGCACGGGCTCTGAGATTTCCTGGGCGGTGCCGGTCAAGGTCAGCCCTCACTGTGTTTTGCTCACATCCACCCTGCCTGAGCTACAAAGGAATCTGAGTTGGCTGGTACTTGTGCTGGGCTTGGAGATTTCCAGGTGAAGCCAAGTTGTGAATCTAGGCTGGTTGCTGATAGTGCCAGGCTGGGGCCATTCAGCAAGAGGTACAGCGGCTGGGAGCTCACTGAGGTCAGCTGTCGCTTGTTTGAGAGGATTTAGGAAGTTGTGAAGCATGGGCTAAGGCCAGCCACTCATGTGGGAAAGTCTCTGCTAACAGCTTGAGTGGGCTGTATATTGGGTGGGATGGAGTCTATGGGGAATCTCCAGGGCAGGGCAAACAGTGTTAGCCAGGGCGATGGAGTCTCAGATATGGCACCCGCCTGCCGGCTCTGTGGCTCTGAGACTCTGCCTGCCTTTCTGTGTGGGAGAAAGCAGTCCCCCAGCTCTTGCCTTTATTCCAGACACTTCACGTCCTCCCTGTGTGCCACTACCCCGGTGGTGGAGCTTGGAGGGAGGGAGTCAGTAGGTCCTTGTGGGAGTTCTGTAAGAGAAACTGCTTGAGACTCCAGAAGTTTCTTCCATGGACTCAATCCCTCCTGGTTTTTGCAGTCAGAAGTTTTGGAGACTTGTCTCCTGGTACTAGGACTCTGGGCTGGGGCCGGGACTCCTTGCTCCTGAGACATTCCTTCTGTATTTGTATCCACCACACGTGGATGTGGGACCAGTCTGGATGGATGTGGATTCTTTAATTTTGTAGTTGTCAGACTTATTCACTTTGATTTCTGATGGTTCTGACTGATGGTTGTTGTATATTTAGGTTGTAATTTCAGTGTGGTTGTGCAAGGAGGTAGGCCGTGTCTGCCTGTGCTGCCATCTGGACCGGAAGTCCTAGACTCAGTACTTTCACTCTAAAAATGAGCTTTATTAAGGCATATTTATATATTATAAAATTCAACAATTGTTGGTATAAAATTGATGGCTTCGGTCAAACGTACACAGCTGTGACCTGCCACCACAATCAAGACAGAGGACACTTTCACCACCTTGGAATGTCCCCTCAGGTGTCTTTGCAGCCAGTCACCTTCCTATGGCTATGACCCTGGCACCCACAGATGTGTTCTGTCCCTGTAGTTTTGCATTTTCTAGACTTTCACCAAAATGGAATCATGCAGTCTGCAGCTCTTCGAGTCTGGCCTGTAGCCCGGGAGAGGGATTCGGACACTCCGTGCGGTGCGGGTCAGTTTCCCCCTAGGCCGTCAGGGGTCAGGCAGTGCGTTGGACGCATGGTGCATTCCAGCTCCTGACTGTGGTGTGTGAAGCTGCCGTAAGCATTTGCAGACAGACTTCAGACTTCTGTGTGGAGTGGAACTTCTGTGTCACGTGTTAAGTTTATGTTTAACTATTTTAAGGAGCAGCCAAACTGTCTTCCAACGTGCCCACACCATTTGGCGAGCCCTCCAGCAGGGCACGGGAGTTCCTCCTCCTCCACACCCTCAGCGACAACTCGAACTCGATGTTACAAATAGAGCTGTTTGCATCGTTAGCTCTCTGAAAGTTGCCTTCTACTCTCTTATTTCCTCCAGAATCACTGAATGAGGTTGCTTGTTTGGTCCTTCTCTTTCATGCCGCTGGCTTACCTCAAATATATGGTGAGCTTCGGTCATCCACATTTAGGAATAAAGGACTGTGGGTTGCAGCTGGTGGGCCCCACCCCCCACACTTGTTCTCAGTTCTCTTATGGATTTGTTGCCTCCGGTACATGTTTCCTTTCACTTCAGCGGGATTTGGAGGATGAGAAGAGGAGGTAAATGTGTAAGTTCAGTCTACCAGCTTGAAATGTAGGCACTCTTCACTTTTTTAATGATGGCGCGTGTGTTAGCCACGGGACGTGGCAAACAGTAGGCGCTCAAATAGTTGTCGAATTTGTGACTTAAATCATTTGTATTGGAGCTTAAATCAACCTCACATTGTTCCCCATTCAGATTGTTTCCCATTCTCTGCTCACCGGCACTTCTGCTGTTACGTAGATACTGGGTTAGAGGCAGAAGTGGGAGACAGAGAGGGAGATGAAAGAGGGGGGAAGACGGACGGGAGGGAGGCGAGGTGAGAAAGCTGAAGGAGAGAATAAGTGAGGCATGATGAGGAAGCGGCCAGAGATGAGGTGGGAAACAGGGGCGGCGGGGTAGAGCGGGAGGTGGTGGGGGCGATGGGAGTGCAGGCAAAGACAGACGGTTTGGGGGGTGACTTGTGTCCCCTGACAGTCAGATGTTGAAGTCCTCAGCCCCAGCACCTTCCAATGTGACTAGACAGACAGGGCCTTTAAAGAGGTACTCGAAGCAGAAGTGAGGTCATGAGGGAGGGTCCTAATCCAATATGGCAGTGTCCTTAGAAGAAGCGGGGATTGGGACCCAGACACACAGGGAAGACCATGTGAAGTCAAGGTGGAGATGGCTGTTCGCACGACCAGGAGAGAGGCCTCAGAAGAAACCAAACCTGCCAGCGCCTTGCTCTTGGACTCAGCCTCCAGGACTGTGAGGACACAGGTTTCTGTCGCTGGAGCCACTCGGTTCATGGTCTTCATTACATTAGCCCTAGGAAACTGTCACAGGTGTGGTGATAAGGGAGATGGCAGAGACGGAGGAGATGATGGAGTGGGGGACAGACCTTGCCCAGGCGACCAGAAATCTTGTAGGATTAAAGCTTAGAGGTGTAATTGCGGTTCAAGGAACTGCGCACTGTGACAGTTCTCGTTCCATCCTGTGAGCCGGCCCCCAGAATGTGATGCACCGGCTGTGTCTGAGAGGGGCTCTTCTTCCCCACTGTCCCAGAATCCGTTCTCCGTGAGTCAGCACCGAAGACTGGGCGCAGGGTCTTCAGACAGGTTCAGGCACACATTAGGTGTCTTATGACAGACAGCCTTGGCACCTGTGCAAATCACTTCCCCATTCAGCTCAGCATGACAGGCCACCCACTGAGCCACCTTGCAGAAGGCTGGTCTTTGTACTGGATAGCTTTTCAGGGAGCTTCAGGCAGAGGCTGCTTCTAGCTCCTGCTTCTGCAAATGGGAGCTGGCAAAGGACCAGAGGAAAGCAGGGGGATGGGTCACCCCCCCACCCCAGGCTGCAGGGGAGATGATTAAACTTGTGGGCAAGGAAGACTTCATGTGGCTTCATCCCTACCTTGGCCTCTTTCCTCTGTAATCCAGGGGCCAGGAGTGGTGGCACCTTGGTGAGCAAGCACCAGGGGACTTAGTTTAAGTTCTGGTTGTACTACTTACTGTTTATGCGACCTGGACAAGTCGCTTAACGTCTCCAGGTCTCAGTTTATTCATCAGTGAAATGGGCATAATGATGCTATCTTCCTCATAGGATTGTTGTGAGGATGGAAGGAGATAATTGTGAAAAGCACTGAGATCTGAGGATGTCACAGAACAAGTGTTCGATTGATGTGCTGGTGGAGGTGAGACTGTGGTGGGGACAGGGAGCCACGAGTACCTGGTGTGAGGTCCAAGATGTGTCTCTGAAAGGGACATCTGAAATCTTTACCCATTTTTCTCTTTGTGTTGTATTTCCTACCCTGCTCCCCTAGCTACTCCCACACATGCCACCTTCTGATTGCTACCAGCACCCGCTTACAGGCACCAACAACTGCAGACACACGTGCCCTTCAGAGGTCCCCTTAGACTCTCCCTTGGGGCCTTCCCATCAGAGCACAGGATGCTCAGGGACCAAGAATCAGCCCCAGCTGGCGGCCCTGTGTTTGCCCCAGGAGCCTAACCCACCACTAACGGACACGGGACCACGGAGAAGAGGGATAGGATAGGACATTCCCAGAAACAGGTGCTGCAGAAGCTGATTTACCCAGGCCACGGAAAAGGAAAACAGGGTAGAAATCTGCACTGTCCACCAATACTCACTCCATCTTCCACGCCTACCCCCCAAAATTTCCAGAATCCTGGCTTCTGCAAACCTGAGACAAGGACTACTCTAACGCCACTTAGTGGCCACAGGTGGAATTGCATCAGCTGAAGCTTGAAACACCCTGCCACCTCCCAGTGGCCACGGGTAGGATCACAATACTAAGGCAGGAAACCCTCTGCTACCGCCTAGTGGCCAGCCTGGGGTTAGCACCTGTCGGGCCTGTGGGTGGGAGCAGAACCGCACTCACTAGCTGGAAAGGGCCAAAAGTCAAGGAATGCAGGCAGCCTTTGGAAGCTGGAAGAGGCAAGCAAACACATTATCTCCCCTAGAGCCCCTGAAAGGAATAGGACCCAGCCAACACCTTGATTTTAGCCCCACGAGATCTATCAGAAGTCCAAAGTAGAGAAGGGCAACCTTATCTCAAAGGGATCTAAGGGTGTGACCTGCCTAATGGAGTTAATCACAGTAAGATTCACAGGGGACCCACAAAGAGAATTATATTGGCAAAAATGCTACAAGCGGTGACCGAAGGGAACAGAGGCAGTACAACATGAAAAGAGACCTTAGGACCCCCAAACTCATTTCTGCTACCCAGGTGACTGCATTCCTGTCTTCTTATCGTCAAAATGCCTCTAAAACTGAATTGGTTATCCGAAAAACTGCTTGGGTAGTGAAGAATTTTCATCAATGCCCTGAGGAAACCCACTGAAATATCCCCTAGCACAGCAGGGAAGCCTCCAAGGGACAGAATGTTCCAGCATCTCCTCTCGCAATACTGCTGACCACACACTCTCAAAGTGAGTTTCCGCCCTTGAAATTACCGAGGACATTCCCTCCTGCTGATAAATAGTATACTTTGAGAATTCCAGGCCACCAACCGTGGCAGCCTGTCACACTGAGGGAGCCCTCATTTCCTTTATGCTTCCCAAATGCTCAGTAGGACTCAAGAGGAGCGTGACAGTGGCTGGGGTTGGGCCTCAGCTGAAGTTCCCTGAGAGAAGACCCTCGCCAACCGCTGCAGTGTAATCAGGGGCCCAGAACCAATGTAGGCCTGTGCCGGCGTTAAAACTACCACTCCCAGGATCCTTCGCGCCAAGTTGCTTCCCTTTGCAAGGCGGCAGCTGTGGGATTCCGGCGGTCTAGAAAAGCGTGTGCAGCATAGTGTGATGGGAAGTCGACTCTGGGAGCGAGCACTGGCGGAAGCTGTCTAGGAAGCACGGTCCCTGAGGGTGTACGGGTTACAGACTGGCAGCAACAGAGGAAAAAGTCTTTGGCCAGAAAGAGCGCGGAGATTTCTGGGGAATGGAGTCTGGTTGGGCTGGTAGGCGTGCGCGCATGACCGAAGGTGACGCTATTTAGGCGCGTCCCCTTTGGTGAAGAGCAGCACCTGGCGTGTGGCAGCCCCTGGGGCTGCAGTTTCTTGGCTCGTGCCGGCACTCGGTACCCAGTAGCACCTGCGGATAGCCGGCGGCGACTTTTCACGCTGTGCTCTGGTTGAGACCGCGTTGTCGGCTGCGCCTCGGGCTCCCCAACCGGGGCCTTGGCTGTGCCTGGGAGACTGAGTGACCCGGCCAGACAGGCCCCACTGGAGCTGCCAGCACCGCGGCTCTGACCCGGCCTCTGCGGGGAGAGGCCTTGGAGAAGAAGAGTCTGCGGTCAGAGCAGGCCTGCAGAACGGGGCTGGGCTGCCGTGAAGCCGACGCCCAGGGAAATGCTGGGAGGTGGAGGCGGTGTCCTGTGCTGAGACCCCAGGGCTGGAGGAAGGTGAGGCCTGGTGGCGGAATGGTTTGCAGGAGATCCGGCTTCTGGTTCCAGCCTGCCCGCCGTTACTGCTCTGTGGCTCGGACCAGAACCGTGCAGCTCTCCTTTCCACTCGGGGACGGTCTCCTTCGAATTAAAAAATCCTGGGGTCAAAAAAGTTTGAGGAGCTCAGGCCTGGGTAGTCTCTTGAGTATCCGACCTCTTACCACGATCTGCTTGATGGACCGATAGAACAGGGCCTGGGAAGGAAAACGAGACATGCTAGGGGTCTGTTTTCTTGATTCTGACCTCCCGGCGCTTGAAGCAGCCAGGGACGCTCGGAGTTGGAGCCTATTGGCTCCACCTGGGATGTCGGCGGGTTCGTCCCAGCTGGACTGTGAAGCTGTGTCGGGTCCTGGGGATTTGGAGTCAGAAAGCAAGAGCCCTGTTTAAGCTGCAGGGTTCCTGCCAGGCCTCTTAACATGTTTCTTCAAGGAGTAAAGGGTAAAATAACATTAAGTACCTCGTTTACCTCTAAGAACTGTAAGCATCCAATAAAGTAGCGTTTTTGAGAGCAAAGCAGAACAAAGGTGCATTAAACATAACCACCGAGGCCCGCGCCACCCTCCCCCAGATCAGGGAGCCCCTGTACGGGTCAGCAGCTCCGGTCTGACGCCCAGCATTTCGCTGCTTCCCGCGGAGGCCCGGAGGTGGTTGTCCTCTCCAAAGAGGAGCAGACGACAGGGGGAATTTGGTGCAACTCAGTAATATAAGGTCTGTGCCAAGACCCATATCCACACCTTTGTATTTTTTCTGATTATCCTACCTCTACTGGTTTTGATTGTGATATAATTCATATATTGTAATACTCACCTTTAAAGTATACAATTCAGTGGCGTTTAGTACATTCGTCCAGTTGTACAATCACTGCCACTGTTGAATTCTAGCATATTCCCAGCACTCCAGGAAGAAACCCACACCATTAACCATGCCCTCTTCCCCTAGTCCATGGCAACCCCTAATCTACTTTTTGTGCCTATGTCTTGCCCATTCTGGACATTTCATAAGAACGGAATCATACGATGTGTCTTGACTTCTTCCACTTAGCATAATGTTGCAACATGAATGAATGTACCCCGTTTCTTTTTACGGCTGAAAAATACTCCACTGCATGGATATACCACATTTTACCTGTTCCTGGGTTGGTGGACATTGGTTGATTTCCAGTTTGGGCTATTATGAACAACGCCGTGACATGGGTATGTCAGTGTCTGTGTGGAGAGGAGCTGCAGTGTCGTGTGGTAACTGTTCACCTTCCTGAGGAGCTTTGCCAGGTGGCTGCACCGTTTTGTATTCTCAGTAGCAATGGAGGTGTGTTCCCGGTTCTCTCCCTCATCAGTCCCGCCCTCCACCCCTTTCAGTCTCAGTCATCCAGCAGGGTGTGCACAGTGGAGTCTCGCTACGGTTTCACAGGCACTTGTCCAGTGATTAATGACATTGAGCGTTTTTTCATGCACTTTGGCTATTTGTGTATCTTGCTTGGAGAAATATCTATCCAAACCCTCTGCCCGTTTTGAAATTGGGTTATTTGTCTTTTTACTGTTGAGTTGTAAAAATTCTTTTTTTTTTTATTTAATTTTTTATTTTTTTATTGATTATGCTGTTACAGTTGTTCTATTCCCCCTTTCATTCCCCTCCACCCTACCCCCCCATCCCCACCATTACCCTCCCTTTAGTTTATGACCATGTGTCTCAAGTCCTTTAGATTCTATATTTCCCATGCTATTCTTGCACCCCCATCTATTTTCTATCTACTGTCTATGCTACTTATTTTCTGTACCTTCTCCCCCCTTCTCCTCCTCCCACTCCCCTGTTGCTAACCCTCCTTGAGATCTTCATTTCTATGTTTCCACTCCTGATCTAGCTGTCCTTTTAGTTTGCTTTCGTTTTAGGTGTGGTTGTTAATAACTGTGAGTTTGTTGTCCTTTCACTGTTCATGTTTCTTTAACTTCTTTTTCTTAGATAAGTCCCTTTAACATTTCATATAATAAGGGCTTGGTGATGATGAACTCCTTGAATTTGATCTTATCTGAGAAGCACCTTATCTGTCCTTCCATTTTAAATGAAAGTTTTGCTGGATAGAGCAATCTTGGTTGTAGGTCTTTAGATTTCATGACTTGGAATACCTCTTTCCAGCCCCTTCTTGCCTGTAAGGTCTCTTTTGAGAAATCCTCTGACAGTCTGATGGGGACTCCTTTGTAGGTGACTGTCCCCTTAGCTCTTGCTGCTTCTAGGATTCTCTCCTTCATTTTAATCTTGGCTAATGTAATGATGATGTGCCTTGGTGTGTTCCTTCTTGGGTCCAACTTCTTTGGTACTCTCTGAGCTTCCTGGATTTCCTGGAAGTCTATTTCCTTTGCCAGATTGGGGAAATTCTCCTTTATTATTTGTTCAAATAAGTTTTCCACTGGTGGCTGTGCCTTTCCCCCTTCTGGTACCCCTATAATTTGGATGTTGGAGTGTTTAAAGATGTCCTGGAGGTTCCTAAGACTCTCCTCATTTCTTTGAATTCTTGCTTCTTGACTCTTTTCTGTTTGGCCATCATTTGCTTTCTTCTGGTCCACTCCATTGATTTGAGTTCCAGTTTCCTTTTCATTGCTATTGGTGTCCTGTGCAATTCCATTCATTTCAATTAGTTTTGCCTTCATATATTTGTCTAATTTGTCGGTATAATCAACCAGTTCTGTGAGGATCCTGATCACCAATGTTTTAAACTGTGCGTCTGTGAGTTTTGCTATTTCTTCATCGCTTAGATTTATTGACTCTGGGGCTCTGAGATCCTCCTGCGCCATTCTTGGTCTGTTCGGGCCCTTTAAGTGTGAGAAGCGGCGCCTTGGATTCCCAGGTCACTGGGTTGTGACGCTGTAGGTGGGGGCATGGCCAGAGCGGGGAAATGGCGACCCCCTCTGCCGCTTCTCACAGCTGGGTGCTTCTCACAGCTGGGTGCGGAGGAGCAGTGCCTTTGGTGGTTCACCTGGGCCGGGCCACTCAGAGTTGCTGGGTTATGACGCTGTATGTGGAGGTGGGGTCAGAGCAGGGAAATGGCGGCGCCCTCCACTGCCGCTGGCAGTGGGGACCTGCCGGCCCAGTCCAACCGCCCACTCCCTCGCCTGTCCACCCGCGCACAAATGCGCGACCTCAGTCAACACACAGCCCTGGGCCCGGCTATCTCCCCAGCGGTCGCTCGCCTGGTTGCTCACTGGGTCGCTCACTAGGTCTGACCCTGCGCCTGGATTCCGCGGGCCTGAGTGTGTCTGGCCAAGTCCTCCTGTGCAACCCTGCTCCGCCAGCTGCTGGTTTCGCCCCTTACCGGTCAGGCTGAAGAATTTGTTGTTAACGGACTTCCGAAAAGTTCAATTTTCCGTGTTCTGGCTGTGTTTTCTGTTGCTAATATTTAGTTTTCTCTAATCTTGGTTGTGTGAGAAGGCACGGCACATCCACCTATGCCTCCATCTTGGCGGAAGTCGTAAAAATTCTTTATATATTCTGGATATTGGACTCTTAGGAGATTTATGATTTGCAGATATTTCCCCCCATTTTGTGATTATTTTTTCACCTTATGGTGTCCCTTGAAGCACGGAGTTCTTGATTTTACCGAAATACATTTTAGTTTTTATTTTGTTGTTTGGGCTCTTGGTGCCGAATCTATGTAACTGTTGCCTATTAGAGGACATAAAAATGTATAGTTTTCTTCCAGGAGTTTCGGCTTTTGCTCTGTAGGTCTTTGGTCTATTTCGAGCTTGCTTTTCTTAGTGGTACTAGGCAGGAGTCTAACTTCGTTCTTTTTTTTTTTTTTTTTTTTGGTGGAACTCTAATTGTCCCAACACCATTTTTTGAAAAGACTGTTCTTTCACCATTTAATTTCTTGGTAGTCTTGTTGAAAATCAGTTGTTCACAAATGTGTTTTATTTCTGGGCTCTCAGTTCTTTCCCACTGATCTGTATCACTGTGCTTATACTGGTACCACACTATTTTACTTACTGTTTTGTAGAAAGTATTGATACTGTGAATGAGTCTTTCAATTTGGTTCTTCTTATTCCATATTGTTTGACTATTCCTGGGTCTCTTCATTTCCATAGGAATTTCGGGACCAGTCTGTGTATCTCTGTAGAAAGCCAGCTGGGACTGTGACGGGAACTGCGCTCATGCGCACTGCCGGGCGGTTTGAGCGTGCGTGTCACGCACTCCCTGTTTTCATCCCTAGGCGTTTCCTCCTTAGTCCGCTGGTAAATAGAAACTGTTTCAAATTCCATGTCGAGGTTTTCTTTGCTGGTAACTGGAAGCACACCTGCAGAAATGCCCGTTCAGGTCTGCGTTTCAGTGGGCTGTCTCTTCGTGTTCGTCGTGCCTCCTGCAACCTCAGTGCCCTCGTTTATCTGTGAGAGTTTGTGGGTTCGTTCGGACTTTCGGTATCGTGAAATCATGAATAGTGTTTCTTCTTTTCCAATCTGGATGCCTTTGTTTCCCTCCCCTTGCCTGGCCTAGTCGCCCTGGTGAGAACTTGCGGTAAACTGCTGGGTAGAAGTGACGAGAGCAGACCACTCAGTCTCATTTCTGACCTTCCGTGGAAGCGTCCCGCCTCACTGTTAAGTGCAATGTTAGCTCTGGGAGTTCTGTAGATACCTTTTCTCAAGTGCAGAAGTTCCCTTCTGTTCCTACTTTACTGTGTTTTACCATGAAAAAGTGTCGCATTTTATAAAATGCCTTTTTGGTGTTAAGATGATCATGTTTTTCCCCCCTTTGTATTAATATGGTGTTTTACACAGATTGATTTTTTAATGTCAAACCAGCCTGTGTTCCTGGGATGGATTTCACTTGGTCATTTATCCCTTCTTTTGATTAGGCAAATGTCTGGAATTTGCAGAGCCACTTTCTCCAAAGAGTAGGTAATATTGGTAAATTATATACTTACTTGTTAGGCATCGCACCAACTGCTTTTTCCTTTAACCTTCAAAGCAACGACCTCACACGGGATTATCATCTCCATTTTACAGATGAGAAAAATGAGTCCTAGAGCGGTTTCATGATTCGCACACTGCCAGTAAGTGCTGGATCTGGGATACTGGAGCCTGTTATGCTCTAACGCCTCCTGTTCTGACTGAATTGACGGGATTTCCCAGGTAGGAGAGAATGGGGACATTTATAGCCCTCTCCGAGTCTGCAGAGTCTGCAGACTTAGCCCATGCCCTGAAACTTTCAATTGCCCTTTGAAACCCCCCCGCCCCCCCGACTGAGAATGTGAGACTTTCCAGCTTGGAGAGCTGCAGACCTGTGCGCCTCATTGCTTTTTCTCATCCTCCAGAAGCACCTTCTCTGGGCCCTCCCACTTCCCGAGAGGAAGGCACAGGAGAGGAAGGAATGGTGGCTGGTGCCCTCCGAGCGGGGCCACGTGTAAGTTGGAAATTTACTCTTTGATAGGCAGCCTCTTTTATTATACTAATATTAAGGGGGTTTTGTTGTTGTGAATTAGAAAAGGAATCCGTGTTTGTTGTAGAAAACCCAATAAATACATTAGACACACACAGCGGTGATACTGGGGGGAGAATGAGTAGGCACTTGATTTGTGGGGAGCTGCAGCAAAGGGCTGACAATGCCCAGGTGTCTGGGTGGTGGCTGGGTGAAGGCAGATACTCCTGGGCTGAAAATAAACAGACGCAGACTTTCTTGCCCTGGTGCCTTTGCTCACGCTCATGCCCTACCTTGGCTAACACCCTTCTCCAGCTTCTTCTGAGCCACCTTCTCCTACAAGGCCAGCTCAGTGAGTGCTCCTGTGGTCTTCCCCGATTGTCCTTCCCCAGCCCTCCACCCAGGATCCCTTTGCTGTTCTCTAAGCTGGTCCGCCATCTCTTTTGACACATTACTGCAGGCAGCTGTGTGTGCACCTGGCTGTCCTGGGGTCCATGTGCTGTGAGTCCACAGGGATGTGCAGTAAACATTCTGAACACAGCTGTGACATGTGCTGGCTAATTTGCACCTGATTCCTCATCACAGAAACGCACATTCTAATGGTTTTTTCTTACATCAGCTTACTTCCCAAGCATGTCATATTATTCTGTTCCTGTGTGTATGTTTTATCTATTCACATGTAAAGTCTGTCATACCAGATTTATAAATGTGAAGGTGAGGCTGCACTTTGTTTATTTGTGACACTATCCAACAGTGTCAGCCTCACAGGAGTGCTTTTCTGGAGCTACCCTGCATCCTTTCTGAGACCCCTCTGCGCCTGTGCACCATCCCCCCAGCGCCACCAGCCTCCCCACCTCCCTGTCCTCCACCACTGTCCTTAGTGTTACTGGGCGAGAAGAAACATGCTTGTCGTTTCAGAGATACATGCCCTTCAGCAATGTGACGGCCGCTTTCACCCACAAAGAGTGGGGGCACTCAGTCCCTGCTCCAAGGCACAGGTTCCAGGAGGAGACACCAGACAAGTCCAGGAACTTGGTCCTACTGGGTAAGGAAACCATTTAACACAGAATCTGCTCAATTCTGAGAACACCTGGAGGGATCCCGAATTGCTGACACCCTGGAGGGACAGTGTCACATCCCCCTTGTTCCCTTTTTGAAAAGGTCTCTTGGTGAGGAATAGGCATTATCATTGTCCTCCCCCACCCCCGGAGGGTGGCAGTAACCTCAGGCTCATTCCCTCCAGTTGCCAATTTCCCATCTTTCTAAGCAGCCTGCTTTATGAGCCTGACCTTGACTCCTTGGCTTGACCTCCTCCTCCTCGAGGCTGTTTTTTCCCTTTGATTACACAGAGGGGACGGTCTCAGTCCTTCTCTGCTGCTGCCTTCCTCATGGCTGCAAGGACAGTGCTCAGCTGCCCCTCCTCTTGGCACAGATGTACATCCCCACCCTTTCCTTGACTTTCAGGGTCCTCTTGTCCTTAGAAACCTTGAGCAGCCCCATGGCACACTTCTCACGAGGGAAACATACCTCTTGGTATATGTCCTGCATGAACTTGGTGTATTTGGTGAAGTGCCCGTGGTGGTGGCTGTGCCTGGACTTGCTCACGTTCTCAGTCCCCTTGTGGCCCTTGTTGAGGCCATGGCCATAGGGCAGCACAGAGCCATGGCTGCTGCAGCCAAGGCTGCTTCTCTAGCTCCTTCCAGAACTGTTTTACCGAGGCACTGGCACCATGTCTGTCTCACTACTGTTTTCCCTAGTGCCCGGTACCATGTAAGTGCTCAATATGTATTTATTGAGTGAATGAAATTAATCGGCCTGTTTCCACTCACCTACGTTCTGGGTGGCTCTTAGAACAAATCTCTAAAGCCCATTTTTCTCTCCTTGAATGGAACTTCCAGTTTCCCAGCCTGGCATGAACTCCCAGTTAAAACAAAGGAAAAGCCCGTGGGTGCTGCAGGGGGAAGGCCTACGGAGCACCTGTCCAGGTGAGTGAGCAAGCGCTACAGCGGTCAGTACTGCAAGCAGAAGCCCCTTTGAAGCCCACATTAATGCACCTGGTAATGCACCAGTGACTGGGGGTACAAAGGTGAGACTGGGGATACAGGTTGCGGGGGGGGCTATTTTAAATCAGATGATAGGAAAGACCACTCTGAGGAGGTGACATCAGAGCTGGTATCTGAAGGAAGAGAATGAACCAGCCATGTAAATGCTGGGATGGCCAAAAAGTCCCCGTAATAAATAGTTTTCTGTAAAATAAGACACATTTTTCATTTTCACCAACAACTCTATTGATCTGATAGTTTATGTCAGCTCCTGGCTTCTACTGAATGGAGGCCAAGGGCACTCGTAAACATCTTCTCGTGCGTAAGACAGCCCCCCTCCACAAAGATTTGACCAAAATGGCAACAGTACCAAGAAATTTTGCAAATTGCTTTTAACGTGTTCAGTCAGTCACAGCACCTTCTCCATGCACTGCACAAATTCTTGTTTCAGTTGTTTTTACCCTCCTCTCAATAATGTAAAGCATAATGTGTCAGAAATGTTGGGTATCTTCTTCCATGTTCAGTATTAAAATGGCTGCACAAAAATTCACCAGCTTTGGTAAGTTTTCTTAAATGCGCACGTGACAGCTGTCACAATACAGCGTAACAAAACTGTTTCTAGTGAAGTTAAAGACAACTAAGTACTGCTAGAGCCATCTTAGGGGGGAAAAAACTAATGAACTTTTTGGCCAACCCGATCTTTGGGGGAGAAACCCTCTGAGCCACAGCACATACTGAGGGTCTGAGCTGGAGATGAGCTTGTCTTGTGTTAGGATTCCAAGACCCTAGAATCACTGAACAGCAGGGAGTAGCAGGCAAGGGCCAGATCCTGGAAAGCGGTGGAGGCCCATGGTAAGGGATTCACATTTTACTCAAGATAGGGAATCACTGAGGTTTTGACCAGGGAAGGGACAGTATTTGATTTGTTTTAAAAGATAGACTTTCAGGGTTGAAGAGTAGAAGCCAGGAGATCAGCTGAGAATCTGCTGCAGACAGTCCGGTGAGAGAAGGTGGTGGACGGTCAGGAGGATTCAGGACGTAGCTGGGCATGAAAGCCAAAAGGACTTGGTAGTAAATTAGATTTAAGAGCAAGAGGCATTAAGGATGACCCTGGCCTGAGAATCTGGGTGATGGGGAAAACTGACAGCGACAGTGGCTTAAAGGGAAAACCAGCAGTTGTTTTGGGTGCACTCAGTCTGGGGTGTCGTCAGCCTTACCCAGGGTACAGCACTCAGGGAAGGGGTGGGCTCAGATGCGACAATTTGTGACCATCAAGTGATTTTCGGAATTGCTCCTTTTCCCATCACTTTCCCTCAGAGAGAGGCTCAAAGTCATACGTGATCAAATGCAGAGACACGCTCAACCAGAAACAGGGCCTCCGGTGTGCGGGCTGGACTGGGTGCAGGTGTGCACGTGCACGACATCAGGTTGAGACGGTTGCAAGGAAAATGTCCACGATGATCGTGAGTGTGCATGGAACACATTATTCCTCAGGCACCATTCTGGGTTCACTGTGTGCCTCAACTCTAAATTAGTCCTCACAACAATTCTGCATGAGAGCTACATCCACAAGTAAGTCTAAAGCACTGAAAAATTAAGTAATTGGACAAACAGGACAAAACCCCAGGAAAAAAACTAAGTGAGATGGAGACAAGTAATTTGGAGACCTACCAAATTAAGAGTTCAAAACACTGGTTGTAAGGATGGTCAAAGAAGCCGGGAGAAGAATAGGTGAACTCAGCAAAAATTTTAACAAGAGATAGAAAATATAATAAACCAATGAGGACTGAAGAGTAACTGAAATGAAAATATACTAAAGGGAGCCAACAGAGAACCAGCAGATTGACTGATACAAAAGAATGAGCTGGAAGACAAGTTCGTGGAAATCACCCAATCAGAACAGCAAAAATTAAATTATAAAAAATGAGCTTTAGGGACCTCTGGGACAATATCAACTGTACCAACATTCACATAACCACAGTGGTCCCAGAAGAGAAAGAGAAACCTATGTAAGAAATAGTGACTGAAAACTTCCCCATCCTGGTGAAGGAAACAAACATGAGGCTAGGAAGCAGTCCCAGACAAAGATGGAGCCAAAGCAGCTGACACCACACATCATAACTAAAGTGCCAGAGTTGTAGAGAATTATAAAGGCAGCAAGAGAAAAGCAGCTACTTACATACAAAGGAGCCCCCCAAAAACTACCAGCTGACTTTTCAGAAACTTCGCAGGCCAAAAGGGAATGGTGCAGTGTACCTGAAATGATGAAAGGGGGGGGAAAGCAAAAATACTCTACAAAGCAAGTTTATCATCTAGAATGGAAGGCTAGTTTCCCAGACAAGCAAACGCTACACCAGCATAAGAAAGTACAGGGGTGATGTCAGCATTATGGCAGAGCACGGAGACTCCTTTGTATCTCCCCTTAAATTTACAAGTCAGACATCTGTAATCCAACAAAGGTTCCTTTCCTCAACACACAAACATGAGATGTCCATGCATCGGTACATCTGAAGCAGGGACACTGGAATGCACAGGGGAGGATGGCTGGGGGGAAGGACAGGGTCAATGTCTGCAGATGCAGTGCAGCGGCTCTACCTAACACAGCAACGTTGGTGAAGTGGCCCCTAAAACACACACGCCCAGCAGAAGCTAAGAAGGGCGGGAGCCACACTGGACCCCATGAGTCTGGCTCCCTCAGCCCACCCCCCGGTTGCAGCAGAGCCAGGTGCAGCAGCAGAGATGTGTAACAGCACAGCAGTGCTAGTGGTCATTAGGAACAAAGGCAGCCCTGCAAGCCCGGGAACCCAGCTGCTTCCCCCACCTGCACCACGGTGGTTATGCCCTCAACTGAAGCCACCCAGGCACCGTGGGGATACCTACCATGAACCCCAAAGCACAAGTAAGCAAAAACAATGAAAACTTGCACTGTGCCTCAGCTAATGGCAAACAGAACACAGACCTCTAATGATCAACCTGTTGAATGAATCCTTAGGGTCAAAACAGTGTCTAAACAGGGCCCACTATCTCCAACACACAGGTGGAGGAACAATCAATCCATCAAGTACCATGAACAACCAAGGTAACATGGTAACTTCCAAGGACCTAGAAACCAGTCTGAAGGTAGAAGGCTGATTTTCAAGATTTCAATCATGAAACTCAATGATATACAAGAAAACTTGGAAGCACTTTAGTAAAGTCAAGAATAAAATTAATGAACCAAAGGAATACTGTACCAAAGAGACTGGAACTATAAGGAACCAAATTCTGCAGCTGAAGAACTATCAATAAATGATATGGGGAATACATTTAAAAAGCATTGGAAATATAGCAGACTGTTACAATCAGTGAAACTGAGGTTTTGGGTTTTGTTTTTTAAGATTTTATTTATTTATTTCTAGAGAAGAGGGGAAAGGAGGGCGAAAGAGGGAGAAACATCAATGTGTGGCTGCCTCTCACTTGCCCCCACTGGGGATCTGGCCTGCAACCCAGGCATGTGCCCTGACTGGGAATCAACCCAGCAACCTTTGGTTCACAGGCCTGCACTCAATCCACTGAGCCACACCAGCCAGGGCATGAAACTGAGTTTTAAAGAGAACTCAGAACTGACTCCAATAGAAAGAGCTATATAAGGATAATAGATATCTCAGAAAAAGAAGGGAACAGAAAGCTATTCAAAGAAATAATTGATAAGAACCTCACAAAACCTCACAAACCCAGGGAGAGAACTAGACAGCCTAGTACAAGAAGCTACTAAAAGAATATGCAATTATCTCAGTGCAAAATGACCTCCAAGATGTATTAAAACTATCAATGTTAGTGACAATTCTCAAAGCAGCCAGGGAGAAAAAGAACTGTAACCTACAAAGGAAAACTCATCACATTATCCTCAGAGTTCTGAGTGACCAGACAGGCCAGGAGAGAGTGGAATGATGTATTGAAAATACTGAAAGAAACCGCTAGCCAAGAACATATCCAGCAAAAATTATCCACAATGGAATATTCAGCCATAAAAAAATAGCATCTTGCCATTTGCAAGGATATGAATGGACCTACAAAGTACTAAGTGAAAAAAGAGGAAGACAAATACCAATTGATTTTCTTTATGTGTAATCTAAAAAACAAAACAAGTAAACAAAATGAAACCAACTCCCAGATACACAACACAAACTGACAGTTGCCAGAAAGGGGGAGTAGGGGGGGGCCAGGCCTGAAAGGGGAAGGGGAGTAATAAGTGTAAGCTCCCAGTTACAAAGTCAGTCCCTGGGGTACCAAGTACAGAATGGGGGGAGGAGGATAGAGTCAGGAACTGCGTGGTGACAGATGGTTACTAAACGCCGTCACTGTTATATACCTGAAGCTAATATTGTAGATCAACTATAAAAATAAGTTTTAAGAAGTCATCAAGAAAATACTCTACTAAAAATAACACTGGTTCAGTTAAATTTAGAAAAGAATAAAAGGTCAAGAGCCCCCTATCACCCTACCACAGAGGTAAACTCAACTCTTCAGTCTTCATATCACGAGACACAGTAAGTATGGTTTCACATGTTCCTTCTTCACTCTGCAGTATGTTTCTATCACTGCATATTCTTTAAAAGGTTTTTGTAACTTGCATTACAAATTAATACTGTCAAACATTAGGAAATACAGATAAGTATCGAAGGAAACAGTATTGTCCCTAATCCCACAACCCTAAGACAATACACCCTATACACCTGTTATCTTTCCAGTGGATTTCTGTAAGTTTCAAACATGAGTCAATTGCTGAGACCCTTGGTTGGCTGTGCTGTGATCATCCCCATTATTCAATGTTTAGGGGCTTGCTTTTCTTTTGACAAGACAATGTTGTGACAAGTGCCTGTTGCAGCTTTGTGTTATTTCTCAGTGGTGCCTTAGGGTAAGCACTCACAAGTGGAATTCTGAGGTCAACAATTTAAAGACCATGTGTGCAGCCATGTTGTTTTCTAGAACAGCCCCAATTCACGCAGCTGCGCCCATGTATGAGATGTCCTGTGGCCCTGCACTCTCATCAATGGTATAATTAAACCACTTTTTTGAAATTTTTAATTTAAAAAGTGAAAAGAATCATGATCATCAGCTTTTTAAAGTGAGGTCTTTAAGCCTGGTAAGCAGATGACCCAAACCACACTGAGAATTGTGAGGCTAAGACAGCTTGAAACAGCCCCAAGCGTGGGACAGCAGCCCTGCACGTGAGGGGGAGGACCAGGGTAAACCACCCCTCTGCAGCTTGGGAAGGGGGCAGACATCTCAGAGGAATCATCTTAGCCATCACGCACGGTTTAGAAAAGAAACGTGACCCAGTCCTGTTCTGGGTGAGAGGAGGTTCAAGCACCAGACCTGTCTGCATTAAGAACTCAACCGAATTCCTTCAGTCTTTGTATTTTAGTAGCATCTGTTTTTCCACCAAAGGAATTTTTTAAATCGCCTTTCTAAATTTTCTTTTTTAGACTGGAAGACGGTGTCTGAATCACTGCCTGAGCCAAATGTTTATGAAGAATCATCCCAGGACACAAGGGCAGAGCTGCCCCCGGGGGTGTCTGACCTTAGGACCTGTGAACCGGGGAAGAGCTTCAGCCTGAGACCAGCCCTTTCCCCACAGCAGAGAGTTCCCATAGAAGTGAGACCCCGTAAACTTGAAACACACACAGAGCGCTTCAGGAAGAACTTAGACGTAATCAGATCTCACAAAGCAAAACCGTACACATGTGACGAATGCGGCAAGGCCTTCAGTTACTGTTCTTCCCTCTCGCAGCACCAGAAGAGCCACACTGGGGAGAAGCCGTACGAATGCAGTGAGTGTGGGAAGGCCTTCAGCCAGAGCTCCTCTCTCATCCAGCACCAGAGGATTCACACCGGAGAGAAGCCTTACAAGTGCAGCGAGTGTGGAAGAGCCTTCAGCCAGAATGCAAACCTCACCAAACACCAGCGAACTCACACTGGAGAGAAGCCCTACCAGTGCAGCGAGTGTGGGAAGGCCTTCAGTGACTGTTCGGCCCTTGTTCAGCATCAGAGGATTCACACTGGAGAGAAGCCCTATGAATGCAGCGACTGCGGTAAGGCCTTCCGCCACAGCGCCAACCTCACGAACCACCAGAGGACCCACACAGGGGAGAAGCCCTACAAGTGCAGTGAGTGTGGGAAGGCCTTCAGTTACTGTGCTGCGTTCATCCAGCATCAGAGGATCCACACGGGAGAGAAGCCGTACAAGTGCAGCGCGTGTGGGAAGGCCTTCAGCCAGAGCGCAAACCTCACCAACCACCAGAGGACTCACACTGGAGAGAAGCCCTACCAGTGCAGCGAGTGTGGGAAGGCCTTCAGCCAAAGTACAAATCTTATAATCCACCAAAAGACTCACACTGGGGAGAAGCCATATAAATGTAACGAATGTGGGAAATTCTTCAGTGAGAGCTCAGCCCTTATCCGACATCACATCATTCACACTGGAGAAAAACCATATGAGTGCAATGAGTGTGGCAAAGCATTTAACCAGAGCTCATCCCTCAGCCAGCACCAGAGAATCCACACTGGTGTGAAGCCCTACCAGTGCAGGGAGTGTGGGAAGGCCTTCAGATGCAGTTCGGCTTTCATCCGACACCAGCGACTCCATGTGGGAGAGTAACTGGGCACAGGGCCAACATGGACAGGGACCAAACGGGGTTTGGAAACCTCAGATCTTCAATGTGTATCAGAGTCACATGCTTCTGTACCTTTAACAGTCACTATTTTATGTGGAAGGTCTCAGCTTTTCTTTCTCAGCATCTGCTATAAGCTTACACAACCCAAGTCCAACTCCTAGTTACCCACGCCCAGTGTGCCGAAGTGCTTTTCATGTAGCAAGCACCCCAGAACCCTGGGTTTGTAAGGCTGTGAGCAAGCCAATGAAAACTGGGCTCCTGCCCAGAAGCTAGGTGTCCTGGCACTGGCTCTCCCCCTGATGACTGCTGTGGTCAAAGAATGAATACTGGCCAGGAAGGAGTGTTTCTCTATTCTGGGGTCAGGACCTGATTTGGGGAAGTCAGTCCAAGTGAGAAAGGGACCCTAGGGCCAACCACTAAGTCCTAAAATCTCACTGGGAGTGGGCAAGGGAAAAGCTACACAGCTACTTACATCTCTCCATAAGATGCATCCTGTTCTATGGAGACCTCACAGGGAGGGACAACCGATGACAGTCCTAGGCTTTCCCTGGGCCAGAGGCGGGTGGGTCCACTTCACTTCTTCCCCCTCACTGGGAAACAACCATCCCCTTTTCTACTCTGCTCCAACCGGGGCCCTACGCGACTGGCACGTTATGGCAGCACGTGCTTTCCCCAGTCTGGTTAGGTGAGCAGCTGACTTCAGGGACACACTTTGCATTACTGGCCCTCTGCTGTTCGGGAAGCCTTTGTCCATTATCCTCACCCAAGGCCTCAGGCTTTGACGCGTGGGGTGACCTGACATGTCCTGGAATAGTTCTCTTCCTTCACTCATCTTTCAACTGAGCAGTCTGTTCTCCAGCCCTGACTGCACCTGCATGGTTAACGCCCACCTACTAATGGGAGAGCAGAGAAACAGCTAATGGCAAGGAAATGAAGTGCTTGGGCCAATCATTCCCATCTTCCTTTAGAATACTGACAAGAAGCCCCTTCTCCTTCCACATGGTGCTTCAAGCTGCTCAGGTGAGGCTTACCCCAGGGGCCCATCCCCTGTGTGTCTAATAAAGGGAAAGGGAGCAATTAAGCTCTCAAAGTGATGCAAGAGTAACATAAAGGAAACTGAGGAAGAGACTTGGGAAAAGGCGAAAACATACATTAGAAGACAGTCTGTTACCGGTTTAAAGCAAACAGATTCAGAGAATGGTAAGCTAGCCTGCAGCTAACTTTAGAAGTATACTTGACCCTCACTTCCACATAAACTCAGGACTGATCAAGGACTCATGATAAAGGTCAGGGTTCTTTGTCGTCTCATCAATAAGCCCCAGCTGTGCACCATAATCCTTCTGGCCAAGAACTAGTTATAGAAAGCTCTATAAACATCTCTACAAATAGTACTGAGACTTCCTCTCCAGATGGCTTTCCTGAGCTAGTCCCAAAGAGGGCAAAGACCTGTTACCTACAAGGCGCTCACTGCCCAGAATGCTACTCCCACAGGTTCGCCATTTGGGACCCACTAACCACCACCTGACCACAAAGGACCTGCCCCTTGCCCCAAGGAAAAGGCCACATCAAAGTCCATTGATTGTTAAGTGATCTTTAATTAAAATATTTTCCTTTGTAGTTCTTAACTCTGTGGAAAAGAGAAAAAGAAATCCTATCAGTGATAGGAACAAAAACAAAAAACCTGATTTCTCAACCCCACTACTGACCATTTCTAGAACTTTCCAGATTATCTCTATAACTACATTAGCTCCCCCACCTCTCACCCTGACTAAGCAAACAAAACTGATGCAGAAGTCACTTACAGCCGGGCACTCCACTGCACCGCTGTTGATGTCATCTATGATGTCATGAGGGTGGCGGCCATCCACGTTGCAGCCCACAGACTGGGCTGTCCCCAGGATCTCTTTAATGGTTCCTATGGTTAGCAAAGGGGTATCAGACGGCACTGTCAGCGCCACAGTCCTCAAGATCCTGCCTGGAAAGGACTGCACCCCCGACTCCCTAGTCCAGAGCTCAGTGCTCCATTTAGTTCTGTGAGCCCTCAGTGCAGTCTCCGCCCACAATCTCCAGGCCCAGGTTAGACACTTCTGGTTCTTACAGAATAGTCTCCTTTTAGGAGGGAAATGCCGGGTATCACAGGGAGGTGCCAGGTTACCCTGCTCTTACCAGAGAGTTCTCTAGCCAGAGATCGGTGCCGCATCTGCCGGGCAATGCTAACGATCTCATCAAAAGTGATGTTTCCACTGTGCTTGACTGCAGGAAAAAAATACAGAAAAAGCCTCATCACAACCCAAGGCCAGATCCGCCCCCATGTCCTCCCTGAGCCCTCTGTGAGGCTGTTCCCATGCTTTCGGCACAGAGTTACCCACGTGAAGAGCAACCCTGTTTCCTAAGCTGGGGTTTAGTATCAGCTCACCACTGGATTGCACCGGCCAACCGCAAACTGGTCAGGTGCAGTGGCGGGTGGCTAACGGCAAAACCCAGTCTTTACTAAGAGACTGTTTCAGAGGTGAGAGAAGACCTGCGTAAGTCACTGGGGTTAAGCTATTCGGACCGTCGTCCAGCTCCGAGATGCTCTTGTGACCACTAGTCATCACTTTCAGCAGCTTCACCCTGCCTCTTTCCCTTCTGCACGGCACTGCCTGGCCCCATCAAACCCCCACACCATCGCTAGGTTTCATTAAAGAAACACAGTTAGGTATCAAGCATTTATGTAGATAACACCACTCACAAACCACTCAGGTTACCAAGGAAAAGGCCACTCACTGTTTTTCTGCTTCTTTCTGTCTCGTGGTGGTTCTTTGAGGGCTTTGATGATCAGGGCAGAGGCAGAAGGCACTACTTCAATCTGCAGAAGAGAATCTCAATGTGAGTAAACCCTCCCTGACCCTCCAATCTGGACAACAGTGCCACGCCCTTGGTTCTTGGAGACCGTGGCCCAGACACACTGAATGTTCTCTACTTTCTCAGACAATTTTCACAAACAGAAACATGTCCTAGCCTCAGAGACATTAAGTCATTTTCCCAGTCACACAAGTGACCTGAGTTAATACTTGAGTATGTCTTTGACCTTGATTCATGCTCTGGAAAAAGCCTTCCCCAAATAAAACTGCCCTCACCACTCGAGGCAGGTGGCCATGCCAACAAAAACCTCCCACCCAGGAATCCCAGAGGGCTGCTACCCCTGCCCTCCCTCAACCCAAGTACCTGGGCCTGTCTGTTCTGAATGGTCAGTTTCACTGTGATCCTCAGACCCTTCCAGTCACCGGTTGCTTTGGCAATGTCATCACCAACCTTTTTTGGAGACTGCAGAAATAAAGGTGTGTAATCAATTCCATTGTGCCCCAAGTTTAAACTGCCTGAAACCCTGCCCTGTCTTCCTCACTTGTTAGGACCCAACCTTCCTCGAAGAGCACGCAACCGTACCTACCCAATCGAGACACAATGACATGGCTAGGGGTGGGGTTTGTTCAGGGTTGCAAGCACAATGGGGCAAAGTCGCTCACCCACCTTCCCTCTTTAAGGACCTATGTGATAATGTAGGGGAAAACTTTCAAACAGCATTATAGTCCAATCAGGTCTTTAAAGCTATCAGGTTCCTGTGTCACCCAATCCAAGTCAACCTGCCTGATGCAAGCCTGAGCATATGCTACCTTTAGGGTTTCCTAGTGACCACCAGGAATCAAACGCCCACAAGTGCCCGCTGAGCTAGGGGCCAGGAAGAGTACTAAGACACCAGGCAAGCAAGATGGGGGAAGAGCACGTGGACCACTGTGCAAAGAACAAAGGCCTAACAGTATTTAGGGAAACCAAGTTCAGCAAAATGGAAAAGCAGCCAAATAAGGCTAGTCATAGAAACCAGCAGGTTTGGAGCAGGACAGGAAACACAAGCTATTATAAACTTCACTAGAAGTTTCACCCACGCCCCATTTAATGTTTGTATCAGCGATATGCCTGCTTCCCTCACTAGAAAACCCAGGGTGTCACTAAACCACATGACTTCAAAACCCTCATTCGGCTCCTTCCAGCCTATCCCAGATTCACCAACAGCGGCTGTTACGGAAATACTACAAGGCCCTGGGTCCACCTTTCACATATAACCTTTCCACTGCACCTAGTACCGATTCAATGAGCCATCGCCAATAACACCCCAGGTGCGGTGCAGCCGTGTTTGACGAGCCACAGCAGAAAAGAAACTCCCCTCCCCGAAGCTAACTTACCAAGCCCAGGGGGCCGATCTTGGGGGCCAGGGCGGACGTGGCACCGACTTCCCCGCCGGTGCACCTCAGGTAAACTGGGAGGAAAAAAACCGGTGAGTGGCTCTGCAGAGCTACAGCCATAGCCCTCTCTGAGCATCGTTCCGGGGCTGGCCACAGCGCCAAAGGCCTCAGGATGAAGGCAGGCGGGCCACCCCTTCCTCGGGCGTGCGCCGCTCCCAGCACCACATGGGACCAGCGACCTTCAGCTGGGAAACAGCTGCGGAGGCCCGGACGGCGCCGGCGTGAAGGCACACAGACCCTGCCGGCCAACCCAGTCTACCGGGGGAAGGGCCCGGAGACAAACCTTACCCTAAGGCGAGCGGGCTGCAAAACCGCCACAGGTCTTCCGGTCCTCCCTCCCCATTTACACGTGGGCAAGCTGAGGCCCAGAAAGAGTGAGCGACTCGGCCGGGGCTTCACAGCGCCCTGAACGCGGCCCCGCAAAGGCCTCGACTAGGCAGCAGCTTTTAAGCGCGATGTGGGAAAAGGCAGCAATTGCGGAGGGGCCGCATGCCCGACGGGCTGCGCGGAGAAGGAATGCTCCATCCCGCAGCCCCGGCGGTATGTAAGACACGCACCGACTTTGACCTCGTTGGGGTCGAACTTTGGCGGCATGGTGGAGGAAGCTGGTGTCGGATGAACCCGGATTCGGGACGACCGAAGAAAGTTGCACCTTCGCCTCCTCCGAGCCGAAAGCCGAAAGACCGGAAGAGTCTTCAATCACGCCGGATATAGGGAGGAAAACAGGCCTGTCGCGAGAACCGCTGACTCCGCCCAGCCTCCGAGCGACGCCCTTGCCGCCATGTTGCTTGTGGGCAGGTGCGGGAGGCTGATGAGTGGAGGAAACTGGCATCGCGGTGAGCTGTGACTAGGGGCTCGGGAGGGGTTTCAGGGCAGTTAGCCTAGGGGAGGCAGACAAGAGAGGGCTGCTCCCAAGATCTCGGCCCCCCTTTTCCCCATTCTCCCTTATCGTGAGGGTCACCCCACGGTCCCTGTCATCCAATCCTGGAGCCCCGCCCCTCCACTGAGAGGTCCGCACACATTACAAGACCTCAGGTCCACTGCGACCCCGGCCCCCTTTTAACTCCCTCGTGACGTGAGCATTTTAGTTATCAAAACCATTTCGTTGGGGTCCAAATCCGTTTTAAACTCTAATTCTAAGATTCTGCGGTCTTCAGAGTCTCACTTCGTCATCCTGGTCCGTATGAGTTTCCGAGATCCTGAGTTTCGGTCCCCAGCTCCTGCGTCTGGAGACCTGTCTCTCTGGATCCACCGGCGTTCGTTCCAGGTGGTCTGCGGCCTGGCGTCCGTGACCAAGCCCTACGAGTGACCAGCTGCCTTCGGGTTCACCCGCGGGAACGAAGGTCGGGGACCTGCCCACCCCCAAAGCCAGGTCAGGCACCCCCCAGCTCCAGCCAGGGGAGGATGGGTGTGGTTCTCCGTATCTAGACTGGACGTCAGGGAGGGGAGGGGTGCTGGATGGACACCGGGGGCAGGTTGGGAAGAGCTGTTCTGGGAGGAAAGAGGGAGGGATGGTCAGTGTGGAGTAAGTGGAGAGGGGGTGAGAGAGGGTTAGTCATTGAGGAGCAGAAGGGTAAGAGCTGGTCATCAGGGAAGGATGGGGGAGGGTTGTTTTTAGAATATGCCCCCTCCCTGCAGGCAAGTGGGGTGGGTGATGAGGGGTCTGAGCCAGCTCTGCAGTCTCCCACGGCCCTGTGGGCGGAGACCTATGGTCTCTACCCCTACCCCTGAGGACTGGGAGTCTAGCTCCTTAAACCGTAGGAGGCCCCGAATGTTTGTTAGATGGGTGGTGCTCCGTGGCTGACAACCATTGAGCGCTCATTATGCGCCAGATACTGTGCTATGGCGTTACGAATATGAAGTCACTGGATCCTCGTAGAGCCAGGTGTTGGTAACATTACTCACACTTTACAGATGAGAAAACTGAGGCTCAGAAAGGTGACCCAAGGTGACATGGTTGATGGGTGTTAGATCTGGGGTTTCAATGCAGTTATATTTTGTTGCAAAGCCCCTGCTATTAACCGGAAGTGTCCCAGATTGCTTCCTGGCCCATCGATATCCGACAGAGTGCTGATATTTGCAGATGCTGCGCAGGCAGTGAGCACCTGGCTTCTGAGTTTGGAACGGTGCCCTTGGTGTACTTAGCACAGACTAAAAGTTGGGCAATTCCACAGGACGAGGACTTCAACGGGCAGAATTCCAGACTGGTTTTGCTGCAGTCCAGCCTGTGTAACCAGGTCACTGAACTCAGTGATCAGTCAGTCCCGTCACTGTAAACAGGGCTGTGGTGAGAATCATGGAAGAATAACTGTGACAGTGGTAAGGCACCTGAGAATTGCTTTCAGATTTTTATCTTAAAAATCTCTTTGGTTATGATGTAGTGACACTTCCCAAGGTCACAGCTGGCTGATGTCATGCCATGTTTGATTTGTTAATGCCACTCGGAGAGTGTTTCAGAGGCTGGAAGTGATTTGTCAGGCCAGTCTGTTCGAGTCCTCAAAGTGCAGCCTTAGAAAGGACCTCAGAACTTCTCTAGGTCACTCCCTTGTCTAACTTGTGGGAGAGATGGGAGCCTCAAATGGGGTAAAAGATGCCAGGGTCTCACGGTGGCCAGTGGCAAATGTGGGCCCGAAGCCCGGACACCTGGCTTGCTGCTGTGCTCTTCCCACCACGTACTGGCACTGAGCACCTGCTGTGCCCGGCTCGTGACACAGAGCGATGGTCGAGACGAGCACAGCCCTGCCCTCAGGGAGCTTACAGTCCAGCAGATCAGCCGCGTGCTCTGTGTTCCCGTGCTGCCTGTCCTGGGTGCTGAGGGGCTGCGACAGATGCCCCAGGCCCCAGCTTTTCTCCCATGCCCTAGAGTCCTGAAGATTGCTCCGAGAAGAGGGAAGGATGCCGCTCTTCTTCCGGAAGCGGAAACCCAGCGAGGAGGCTCGGAAACGCCTGGAGTACCAGATGTGTCTGGTGAGGGAAAACGGGTTTCCTGAGTTCATCCCCATCGCTGCCTCTGCCCCCTGAAGCAGGGCTCCGTGCCGCCCCGCACACAAACCGTGCTCCCTCCCCGCCACCTCCCCCACTCCCAGAAGAAGCCTCGGACTTAGAGCACAGCCAGGAGGCTGCCTGGGAGGTGCTCAGGTGCCATGTAATTCCCTCCATAGACTGGTTACACCTGTTGTTACTTGTTCACTTGCTCTTCCTGCTGGCCCTCAAAGCCCTTTAAAACGGGTCAGTGGTCCAACTACAAAGTGGACTCGCTGAACCAGATGCTGTCCATGGGTCCCTTGCAGGTCCTTAACCCTATGTTTCTTTGCCTGGTTCGTCCACTCCACAAGGGTGTTTTGTTTGGAACCTAAGAATTGCTTTTATCCGTAGGCAAAAGAAGCTGGAGCCGATGACATCCTCGACATCTCTAAATGTGAGCTCTCGGAGGTAAACGGGGGCGGTGTTCTGGTCATGAATTGGATCTGTCCTTTCCTTTCTGGAATTGTGTGTCCCTGGGAAAGAGACTGGGGCTTTGGAAAGTCTGGAGTCACTGGTCAAGAGATGTTTCCTTAGATTTTGTTCTTGTCCGAAAGAATTGAGATGATCTTTGGTCTCAGCATAGTCCTCAAGAGTCAGGAGTCCACCTAGAAAATGTCCACAGATTCCTAGGAGAGCCTGGATTTCTCCGGCCTCTGCAAAGCACCCCTGATAGAGCTGATGATGCGAATGGGCTGGGCGGCCTCCTGCCAGCTGGTTGGGAGAGCTGACTGTACCCCGAGAACCACTCCTCCCCAACCGCTCCCTGGGCTTAGCCGCTGTCCACACCAGCGTTTGGCATCGTTTGCCTCCTGCCCCAACTCTCCCTCACGTGTGTGCCGCTCAGGAAACAAATTAAAAACTGGCAGGTGGGGAGACGCTGACTCTTCTTCATTTCGTCTTAGATTCCGTTTGGGGCTTTTGCAACATGCAAAGTTCTGCAGAAGAAGGTGAGATGTGAGATGGGTTGTTTTCACTGCAAGTTTGCTCGTTTGAAGTCGAGTGGGACTTTCAGGAGCTCTCTTCCTGGCACCTCTGTGTTCTCCGACTCGCACCCCGTCAGCCCGAGGCAGCTCTTCCCCAGTTAGGAGAGTCAGCCTCGGCACGGGCCACCCTGGGTCACACGCTGGCTTCACCCCTGGTGACTTGAGCAACTTCCTTAAACTCTTACACCTCCATTTCTTCATCTATGACACGAACACATTCATCGCTTTACTCTCACGGAGCTACAGTGAGAATCGAATGAGTGACAGGTAGAGAGGTAGAGACAGACATAAATGCACAGAGCGTCATGCCGCCTCGTGGTAGACCCCGAGCACCCTCATTGTTACTAGAGTAAAAACTACACTCCCCTCATTCTGGTCACCCCAGGAAGATGAAAGTCTTGGCCGCTCTGAGTGCAGCTACGGAAGAGTATTCTGCACATCTTGTCTAGGGAGGGTGGGTGAGAAGTGTCCCACGCCAACAGAGGAGTGAGCTTCCTGGCACTGGAGACGTCCACGCAGGGCCAATGCCTCACAGAAAAGACACAGATCGAGCCCTGGCCACGTGCCGGCCCTGGGCCGAGGGGTTTTTGGCCATTAGCTTGTTAGTCATCAGGGCAGCCCTCAGAGATCAGGCCAATGGCAGGGGAGTCCTGTCTCAGAATGGAAGGTAGAATTAACCCTCCAAGGTCCCTTTTACCCTTGAAATTCCGGGTCTTAAGGTCACCCGATTCCTCTGGGATCCCATCCCATCCGCCCTGTGGTGTTTGGGGGAGCAGAGCGGGCTGGGCGGGGCAAGGCAGGCGGGGCCGTAGTGCCTGCCCTCGGCCTTCCCCACCTCCTGCTCTCCACCCTGACGTACCTGGCGCACGTCTTTCCCACACAGGTGTTTATTGTCCACACGAATTACCTCACTTCCCTGCTTCCGAAATCCTGCAGCCTCCAGAGTCTCATAACCATCAAGGTACTGGGACCCTTCTCCTGGGCGTCGGGGACTCTGTCTGGTGTTCCAGGAGGCAGCCAAGCATCCCTCTGTTAAGGTTTATGGCAGACAGACAATGTAGTCATCAACCGGGGTTTGATCACCATGGTTTACTGGGCACTGCTCCGTGCTGGGTGTGTGGTGGGGTTAGGAAGAGAAGCAGCCGCCGACCTTGCCCTCGGGGAGCTGGCCCGCAGGTGAACTAGCAGAGAGCAGGGAGCCTGGTGGTCCTGGACAAACTGAGCAGGACGGATCCTGGGCACCGGGTGGCCACTGTGTGAAAGCAGGTGACCCCGGGGCGACTCCCCCCTGACCGTCAGGACAGGAACTGGGATGTCGTAGTCACACAGCACGTGAGCTAAGACCGCAGGACTGTGCCACATGATGGCAAGCGGTGGCGGGGGGCGTGCGCGCTGAGAGAAAAGGCGGGCAGCCTGGGCCGCCGAGTGCTCGTGTGCTTGACTCTGGTGCACGGGGGGGGGGCCGGGGCATTTTCACTTCTCTTCGTTGTCCAACACGGGTTACTTTTCCAGTCAGAAAAAGATACCGTTAGCGTTTTTAGTGTTTATGTAGACTTCTTCCTCATACATACGTGTGGTAGATATACACGTGCGTGCACGTGTCCCTACATACTCATACCTGCATCTGTGTACCTTCCCTACACCTTTTACGTTCATTGTCACTGCTGAAAAAATTAACAAATACAG